GGAGCCAGAAAAATACTTTAGGGTGGTCACATTAATAAATTTTAATTATTTTTTTTGTATAAAAGTTACCTATGACTTAATTCAATGTAACTGTTATTTTAGTTGTAAATTTCAAGATTAGATGAAGTCTACTTTCAATCAAAGGGATGCATTAAATTATGTCATCAAATTAAATCTAAATAGCATTTTTCATTTTTTTTTCAATTGATCATAAAAGTTCATAAATACATATTTACTATAATTATGCGTAAAAATTCATTAAACATAAAAGATTAAAAAACGATTTGCATGGAATGAACAAACAAAAATAAAAGTAAATTAATTAAAATTTCGTATGAGACTAATTATTATCATTTTACAATTAAATCTGATTATTGTTTATCATTTAAAAGAATTACAAATCAATGATATCAATAAATAATTTTTTTCTATATACAAAATGGTAATAACAGTTTTTTATTTATTATCCTGTAATTTATTACATTATGACGCTCATTTCTATACAATAATAAAATAATCTTATAATTTAGAAAAATGAACGCGATATGTCTAAATATTATTTGGACATGTTTGTGTCTAAAAATTTAAGAATAATAATAATTGCATCTAATTTAAAATTTAATTTTATATTTTAACCAAAAAAAATATTAAAATTTAATTGGTAGGAACTCAATGGTTTGTAACCATTGGATGGATAGTATACGTTATTAAATGAAGGGACTAATTATTAGATTTAATATCATAATATATTAGTTCCAATAACATTATTTAAAAATTAATTATTATTTAAGTAGTCGTCTATCTTAATCGATATCATAATAATAAGATGGACACAATTAAATATGTCTAAATTTTATTTTAAAAAATATATATTTATTGTAAAAAAAATTGAGGATGGACACAATTAAATATATCTAAATTTTATTTTAAAAAATATATATTTAATATCAAAAAAAAAAATTGAGGGGGCACGGGCCCACCCTGGTCCAATGGTGGCTCCGCCCCTGCATTCCACCTAATTTAACTACACCTACATGTTACCCATTTTGTCTAACACACAACCCAAACTCTTTCTCTTTTCCCCATTAACCATCTCACTTCTCTTAGTTTATCAAAAATCATTGTCATCCTCCTCAGTCTCTCATCTCTCTATGCAAACTCCAACGATGGATAGATCTTCTTCAACGACACACGACATAATCTGGAAACTCATTGGACTTACTCACTCAGAGCATCCACTCTCTTCTATACAAATTGTATTGGCAGTGATCTAACCTCTAGAAGTACTCTCGCTAGTAATCTCTCCATCTCTGGTAAGTGTGAATAAGTGTATTTATTGACACTGATACAATTATCATGCAATTGAAACAAACACTCAAGTTCCATCACTCCTACAAAAATCAATAAAATAAGAAGAAATAGTGACAAAAAATACTACCACCCCATTTGGGTTCCGACTAATCATTAAGTAATTTGTTTGATAGTGTAACAACTTGACTGATATAATAATAGGTGTGAAATTGATGCATAGATATCGCCCACAGCCCAAGCTATGTAAGCCACCGCCTCTGCTCCTCTCTACCGCCACAGCCCCCAGCCACCATCCACCCACAATTGAATTATATTAATGAATTTTTAGTGATAACAATTCAAAATAATAGTCCAAGTGGATAAATCAAACAAAAAAATGCACATCTTAAAATTGTCAACAATGGCTTCCTATCTTCTGGAAAAGAAAGCAAGGAAGACGATCTCAAATTCCATTTATACCCTCATAATTTTAGTGTATTTATATTTTTACCCCTTAATTTTTAGAAACATCATTATTATTTCTTAAGTTTCAAAAATAATATTATAACCCTAGAACTTTTCTGGAAATTCTTCTTCTTCATATAACTTTAAGGCATCTTTGACACATTTATTAGATCATGTGTGGGATCTATATCTATAACTAATGCTAGAATTATCAATTGCTTATAACCAATTATTTTCTCTCTATTTACTTTCTAGCATAAATTGTATAAGTGGAGTTTAGCCTCATGTGAGACTTCAATAGTCAATTCCTATTGGTTGGAATTTTGGAGGTGTGTGATTTATGGAGGATGACAAATTGATTATGTGGGTAGTTATCAAATATTTTGTGTTTAATTTTTATAATTGTGCAGTTAGCAAATGTTTAACATTTATGTGTGTTTATGAATATTAATGATTTTTTTGTATTGGTTTAGTGGTGTATGCTTTGACAATAGTTTATCATTTTTAATTTTTAATGTTCGCGTGGTTTAGTTGTGGATATATTGTCATTAATTGATTGTTGTTAAATATTATATGTTAAAAGTGTATTGTTTGTAGCTTGATTTAGGTTGGTTTTATTTAATTTCTAATTTTACGATAAAAATTTGCATAAAATTAAAAATATTTCTATTAAAAACACATAAAATACATAATATTTCTAAGTTTAGTGCTTCTTTTCCAAAGTTTGACAATTTAACATTTGACCTCAATAACCACATACACATCGTCACTACAACACAAAAATCAATACCCAAATGGACAATGTCACCATTTTTTGACATGTAAATTATTTAGTATATCGATTTTTTCAAAACCTTAGGTATAATATTTCATTAAAAATCATTATATACTTATTATATAATTTTTCATCATTTTTATTACAAAACTGATTCATACCTAGAGTACACTGTAAGTAGATTTTCTTATCACGCATCTTAGTACTAGTGGTTGATATTTACTTCTTACTTCTTATCAATCAATGAAGTTTAAATTGTCTTTATAATCCATAAATAAAATCATCAAGTTATTATTCATACCAAAAATAAATCACTACTGTATGAAAATCTATAGTTCTTAGAAAATAAAAAAAAAAAAAAAAATCAAAGCCCAAGTTAATCAACAATACAAAAAAAATAAGTGACCAATACAAAAAAAATAAGATACCAATTGCACCAACAAAAAATATTCAAAACCAATATAATCGCTATGTGTTAAAATTATTCAACCATCATATCTTTGTGTGTTGAAATTTTATAAGTAACGTAGTGCCTTCAGGCACGGGCAATGACTAGTAAATAGATAAGAGAAAAACAAAATTTTAATATTAGTCAAACTCTTAACCTATATATGGATATAGATAGATATGAGAAAGAAAAAAATTTAATGTTAGTCAAACTCCTAAAATTTAGGAGTTTTTAATTTTTAGTTTTATTTCATTTCTAAAGGACAAAGATAGTTTAGTAAAATTGATAAAAAAACGGATTTCATAACAAATCTGTTTCTTTGATGAACTTAAATCCAAACAAGTCTATATAGAGAACTGACCTCTAAATTTCCCTTTAAATTGCTATAATCCGTGACTTGTCCTACTGTTTGTAGTTGGATTAGTATTTTTCTCCACTATAACACATTGGGAATGCTGCCTGTCCTATCATATTATAAAATGAGTTGAATTTGAATAAATTTTTAAATTTATTTAGTATTTAAGTTGAATCTAAACTATCTGTGAACCAGCCCATTTTTTTTTACTTATACATAACACACATATCAATATTACATATATTAAGGCTATTTTAGTAAAATTGGCAAAATAATAAAGTTTTTATGTTTTTTTTAGTGTGATTTAGAGGTATTTTATGTTCAAATTTGTGTTAAAACTTAGATTTGTGTGCATTTTTGTGAAATTTTTGGGTTGGGAATTTAAAATTTGTGGATTTAATTTTTTTTAATGAATTATTTTTGGCTCGAGCTCAGTTTGAATTCTATTTGAGCCAAGTTTGGATAATATTTTGAGCTCGATAGACGAGTCGGAGTATAATCAAGCTTAGAATGTTCAGTTCGATTAACACCTCCAACGAGATAGACATAATAGTGAGATTATTCCATTTTGATCTGAGCGTTACGAATTTTAAATTGCAAAATCATCTCCACACGCATGCGTTTAGTATCATATAATCCTTCCCACACCCTCCGGTGGCATGGCAGAAACCTCACGCACCACGCTGCTTTTTACTACTACCATTTAGAAAATCAACATATATGATTCTTGTCCCCATGCCAGCATCACTCAACGCAACAAGTAGTGGTAGGGTTGTTCACTAGAGTCGACAAATAAAAAATATTGTATTTAATCTTCCGAGCAAATGCATTACAAAAGGTCAATTTCTTGGTCGACTCTACCCAATCGAGGATTATGTTCTGACCGAATTTCGTTCAAAAAAAATCAGCTCTGAATTCGAATAGAATTACATAATATATCACATATTTGTAATTTTTTAATTATTAATTTTTAAATCATTTTAACAACTCAATTAAAGTAATTTTTGGACTACTTTTACAATTAAGCTGTTAAAATATAATATAATAATATGTAAACCAACATAATAACCAATTACATTGAGAAAAACATAATAAATCCTATATATATTCTCTAAAAGTCTAAAATACCATACATAAACAACTACAAAACAATGTCATTTTATAACAAATATTTTGTTTTTTCAAAAAGTAAATATATATACGGTTGTTGGGTCGGAATGCGAAATTTTTATGGGTATTCCGCATTCCTACCCAATCATTTGCGGAATACTACAATTTGTTCCATAAGCTAGCAAAAAATTTGTAGAATTCGAATAATCAGGTCAGGTAGGTAAAAATTTAAACACACCTAAGTAGAGGTGATGAATCGTACTGGCCAACCATGGCAAGATTTCAAAGTTTACATCAATGGCACTAACAAGGTATGCCTGTGATGGTAATCCCATTGTGAATCTCACTGCTAGTATGAAAACCCAACTACCCTAATGTCTACATTTATAAGCCCATCAAAAACTAGACAGTGTAACACAGCAAGCACACCACACTTTTGTTATCCAAGTTCCTCAACTATAATCCACAGAGACAAAAAAGAAAATTTCCAAACAATTCTCTAATTTCCTTTAAACCTCCTCTTGATAACTTTGCAACATGTTTGAGTGTAGGCTAAATCACCTCCTCCACTCTGCTTGGATCACCACCTCTGAAATTGAAAGACACAACCTTCAGGACAGATCAAAAAAGTGAAATAAGCATCTCATAAAACCTATAATCAACAAAAACACCAGATGAATATTGTGATACACGAATTCAAAAATGAGAATATCTGTTGTAATTGTAGCTTAGTTAAACTTAAACTAAGAACAAGAGAAAGAGAGCATATAAAGAACAGAAGAGAATGGGAGAAGGTTATATTTTTATTAAAGATTGATCTACTTAAATACATGAGTTTGCAACCAGAAATAAAAACAACAAATCCTAAACTTTAGCTACTAACATTAATAACTAGTAGCTAACAAAAAATCAAAACAAATCTCCTAAAAACTTGGTCAAAGAGTATATAATGCACTGAATATCAGTTGCAACCCTTAAAACCTGGTCTTAAACACACCTGGCATTCAAACCTAAGCTTGCAGCCTCAGTTTTACATGTGCAGCCACCTTTGCTAGCCATGTCAGCATCCATATCAGCAACCCTGCATCTAATGATGCACACATTCAACACTCCTCCTTGCATCAGTGGCTGGAGATTCCAAGTTTCTCTCTTAGAAACTTAAACCTGCTTCTAGGAAGAGCTTTAGTGAAGATATCTGCTAGTTGGTTTTTAGTCTTGCAGTACTTCAAACACATTGCACCATCTTTTTGAACATCTCTGAGAAAGAACAACTTTATACTGAAATACTTTGTTTTTCCATGAAAAACTAGATTGTTGGAGATGGCTATGGCTGCTTGGTTATCCACCATCACCTCTGTACTCATTCCTTGCTCCAAGTGTAAATCAATTAGAACTTTTCTTAGCCATAAGACCAGATTAACAACAGCTGTGGCTGCTATAAACTCTGCTTCAGCTGTTGATTGTGCAACAATTTCTTATTTTTTCGAACACCAAGAGAACACACTTGATCCAAAGCTGAAACAATTGTCTGATGTACTTTTCATGTCATCTAAAGATCTTGCCCAATCACTGTCAGAGTAACCCTGCAACTTGAAACTCTGACATGTACTGAACTTGATACCATAACTTAAGGTTCCCTTGACATACCTTAAAACTCTTTTTACTGCTTTAAAATGACTTTCACTTGCACAATTCATGAACCTTGACAGTACACTTACAGCATGCAAGATATCTGGTCTTGTTACTGTGAGATACATTAAGCAGCCAATTAAACTTTTGTAGAGAGTTTCATCTGCATGTTCAGCTCCATCATCCTTGCACAACTTCTTCTTTTGACACATTGTAGTACTCATGCTTTTACAATTCTCCATGTTAAATTTCTTTAGTATCTCCTTTGCATACTTTCTTTGACAGATGAAAAATTTATCCTCTTCTTGTTTAATCTCCATTCCAAGGAAGTAAGACATTTCTCTCAAGTCGGTCATCTCAAAGACTTGCATCATGTCTTCTTTGAACTGCTGGATAAGTTCAGTATTGTTACCTGTAACTAGAAGATCATCAACATACAAAGAGATCACAATTAAGTTAGCTTGATCACCTTTGACATATAAAGTTGATTCACTAAGGCTTTTAACAAAGCCTAAGTCCAACAAATGCCCATCAATTCTGTTGTACCAAACCCTTGAGGCCTGTTTTAAACCATACAAAGCCTTCTTCAAAAGATAAACCTTGTTCTCACGTCCTTTCACAGCAAAACCTCTAGGTTGCTCAACATAGATTTCTTCCTCTAGAAATCCATTTAGAAATTCTGATTTCACATCAAGTTGATAGATTTTCCATCTTTTTTGTGCTACAATGGCTAACAGCAGCCTGATTGTATCTAGCCTTGCAACAGGGGCAAATGTATCAAAAAAATTCACACAAAAAACTTGAGCTTGCCCTTTTACCACTAACCTTGTTTTGTGCTTGTTAATTGAGCTATTTGCATTTAACTTTGTTCTAAACACCCACTTGACTCCAATCACCTTTCTGTGTTCAGGCCTTTCAACAAGTTCCCATGTCTAATTTTTTTCAATCATGGAGAACTCCTTCTGCATTACAACCCTTCATTTGGCATCCTTTTCAGCTTCCCAATACTCTGCAGGTTCAAGAATTGCAACGTTGAATCTCTGATAAACATCAGAGAGTAATCTAGTGCCTCTTATAGGAGGTCATCAAATAACTCATCCTGATTTTGTATAGGATCAGTAATCAGCTTCTTTTCTACAGTATTCCAGCTCCATTGCTCATTCTCCATAAAGTGCACATCCTTGCTTATCAGAATTTTCCTTGTGTGAGGATGGAAAACTCTGCAAGCCTTAGATATTGAGCTATATCCCACAAAGATGTCAGGCTCAGCTTTCTTATCAAGCTTGTCTCTTTTTATCTGTGGCACATGAGTAAAACACAAGCATCCAAACAGTTTAAAATTTTGCAAAGAAGACTTGTAACCATACCAGGCCTCAAAAAGAGTCTTTCCATTCACTACTTTGGTGGGAAGCCAGTTTAGCAGAAATATTGTATTGTTTGCAGCATCTGCCCAATACTCTTTGGGCAATCCTTTTTCATAGAGCATGTACCGAACCATTTCCACAATTGTTTTGTTCTTCCTTTCACTCACTCCATTCTGTTGTGGAGTGTATGGAGCAGTAAGTTGATGTTCAATGCCTGCTTCATCACAAAATAAGTTAAGTTGTTCTGAAGTATATTCTTTGCCATTGTCAAACCTTAGAACTTAAATCTTGCAACCACTTTGGTTCTCAATCCACTACTTGAATTTTAAAAAAAACTCTTGCAACTTCTGACTTAAATTTGAGAAAATAAATCCAACACATTCTAGTGAAGTCATCAATGAAAATTATATAATATTTACTCCCTTTAAGTGAAGGAGTTCTCTAAGGTCTAGCCAGATCAGTGTGGATGTATTGCAGCTTCTTAGTTGCTCTCCAAGTTGACTGTGAGAAGGGTAGTCTTGCTTGTTTGCCAAACTGACAAGCCTTGCAATTTGGCACATCAGCTTCCAAGTGAGGTAATCCCTGAACCAGCTGCTTCCTTTGTATAAATAAGATTGTTGCATGATGAAAATGACCTAGTCTTTGTGCCGAGTCTTTGTGTTGCTCATAGCAATAGGATAAGTTGCATGTTCCTCCTTCATTGGATCTAGTGAGAAGATTTTGCCTCTCATTTTGATTATAAAGACTTCCTTATCATTGGCATCTTTGATTAGACATTGCTTATCTTCAAAGATGACTTTAAATCCCTTCTCAAGTAATTGTCCCACACTTATCAAGTTTTGGTCAATATCAGGTACAAACAAAACATCAATAATTAGTTTAATACCTGTGCAACTTTCAATTGCTACAATTCCCTTTCCTTTGACAGTAATGTGCTCACCATTGCCAATTCTGACTTTTGATACCTCTGATCTGTCTAACTCTCTGAAAAGTTCTTGATCATAGGTCGTATGATTGGTACAACCACTAGCCAACATTCACTTGAGTTGCTGCTTGCAAAACAAGTTGCTTCAAACAATTGTTCTTCCTCCTCCTGCTGGTATGCAACTTGAGGCTCATTTCTCTGCTGAAAATTGCTTTTGCAGATTCTCTCATGATGCCCCAACTTATTGCACTTATCACACTTAACATCAAGTCTTCTCCAACACTTCAAAGGTGGATGACCCTTTTTGCCACAGTGTCTACAAGGAGGAAATTCTTTGTTGTTTCCTCCACTACTGTTGCTGGTGTTAGCAGCTGCTCTTGGTGTGCTAGAATTCTTCTTTTTGTTTTTGTTTTTCTTGCCATTTTCTGCTTGGTTGATTTGCAATTTAGCTTGCAATGCTCCCTCCACAGAACCTTCAGCCCTCATTATCCTTCTTTGTTCTTGGGCCTATAAAGAATTTAAAAGTTTTGCCAAGCTGATTCTTGACAGATCTTTAGCATTCTCCAAGGAAGAAATAGTAGCTTCAAATCTTTCAGGGATAGTTAACTAATATTTTTTGAACTATTCTTGAATCAGAAAATTCAGAACCAAGTAATCTTACCTTGTTGACAATGCTAAGAAGTTTATCAACATATTCTTTGATTGTCTCTGACTCCTTCATTTTCTACATCTCAAATTCTCTGACTAGATTTAACATTTGCATTCCCTTGATCCTCTCATCTCCTTCATATTCATTCTTGAGGAAATTCTAGATTTCAAATGCTAATTTCATGGTCATAATTCTAGTGAAAATTGCTGGTGAGACAACAACAAACAAAGAAGCTGTGGCCTTTGACTTTCTTGTTTTCCTTTCTTTATGATTTCTGAGTTGTGCCATTGTTGGATCATTTGGTAATGGAAGAACTTTGTAGTCTTCCTCAACAACTTCCCAGAGATCGTTTGCCTCTAGGTGTGCCTCAATTCTGATTGCCCAAACATGATAATTGTCACCATTAACCATGAGGCTGACCATGAATACTAGAAGCACACAGCTGATGTAAGAACTCTAGGTGTCAACAACATTATTAGAGAACAAAATCAAGTTGTTCTGATTACTGAAGATGAACTCAATTATTGAAAGGAAAATCTCAAGATCATAATCAAGCCTTCAAAACCTCCTTACTCTTAGGACAACTTTTGCATTACCCACAAACAATATGCATGCATAAATGCACATGCACTTTATCCATCAGATATAATCATCTCATGTTAAGAAATTCTCACCAATACCATCTCTAGAAGAAGAGATAGATCTGTCACTTTTTTTTTGCATCCTTGTCACTTGCTTGAACCAGCTTCTGCGCTCGTGGCGATGAACTCAACTTGCCCTTGATGGAAGAAGGTAAGGAATGCCGCCTGGTTATAACATTCTTCTCAGCTTCCTCCAATCCAAACCATGGGGAGACTTTCCCTCTTAGCTTAGCCTTTGTAGACTTGGTTGTTGCCATTTAGCTGGGAATTCTTGGTGTGTTGTGTGACCCATTCTCTTGATTATCATGTTTTGCAGGTAATGAAGCTCTTCTCCTGCTGGTTTTCTAATTCTTTTTGCTAATTTGATCATCCTTAGGATCTACCATAGGAACATACTCACTTCTAATTTTAATTTGTTTGCATTGCACGTCAACAGCAGGATGATCATTTAGCTCAGGTACCGGTCTCTGCACTTCTTGCTGTTTTGGACCATCTGGTCATCAGAGGGCTTTAACACTCTTACTTCTAAATTATTTGTCACCTTCTCAGCAAGAACATTTACGTCCTATTCTATAAAACCAGGGCCAGTAGAGTTCGATGATTTCTTATGTATTTCTGTTGGTTTCTCTGAATTGACCTCTGGCCAAACAAAAGTGTCTGATGTGGAGTTGGAATTTTTCTTTAGATTATTTTTAACCTTCTCGATCTCATTTTGGGCATGTTCCTGAACAAATTTTGTGGAAGGGTTCAAAACTTTCTTCAAATGGAATGTCCTCATAGATGAAAAGAACAAAAAATTGATCTGTTTCAAACTATATTCCTTCAGAAAATAGATCGATTAGATAGCCTATTATCCTCCTCTAATGGAACCAAACCAAGCACGAGATTGTTTGGGAACTTGTTTGTTCCAAAAGGGTGTTAGGGATCGAGTCGAGCAAATGGCCAACTTCAAACATATTGGTCAAGCTTGGGAGGTTAAACAAATCGAGCGAGCTTATCTTCAAGTTTAACTCGAGTTCCAATCTCAAGTTCGATGCATTATATATATATAATTGAGCTTAAGCTCGAATTATGTATTGAACAAGCTTTAAAATGAGTGCGAGTTCAACTTGTCTATTAAATGTGCTTTAAAATTGAGTTCAAGCTTCGTTCATTTAACTAGTTTCTATCCAAACCAATCCCGAGCTCTTTGCAAAAAAAAATTCATTTGCAGCCCAATCCTCCACCTCTAAACAAGGAAAAATAACATCATTTTTATGACTACTGATGTGTACTTGTTGCTATGTACTCGGGAGCGTAGTAGCCTCGAGTGCCAATGATCCTGGTAGAGATGTGTGTCTTGTCACCTTGGGGGCCAAACTTAGCTATTCCAAGATATAAAAGCTTGGGAGTCAAGTCCTGCAAATATCACCCTTACTGTGATTTTTTCTTCCTTTTTTTTCCTCTATCAATGGAACTGCAAAAAACTACAGTTTAGCATTATGGTAGTATGTTAAAGGATATAAAGCTTAGTGCACGAGACTCTTTTGTTATTACAGAGTTTAAAGAGCGTTAAATATATGTTGACCTATTCTTCATGTGCATGTCAATAGATTGTTTACATGACACCAAAATTATAACTGAGCAACCTTACCAACCTTATCGTGGTGTTAAAGACCGCATTGACTATAATTATTTACAAGGATGAGTATAAATGAGTAAAAACCTCTAGGGGTAACTCAAGTGGTAATAGGAATGAGTTGTAAATTTAGACGTCTTGATTTTGAATCTTGACAATCCCTTGGGGTCAAGCTTAAGAGATTTATCTCTCTTTAATATCCTAGTCCCGACGTAAATAACCTACCTTTAACCGGACTTTAGAGAAAATTAGTCAAGGTGTGTGTAAGTTGACTCGAACACTCCTAACCGTTGAACAAAAAAAAACAAATATAAATGAATGAAACTAACATTGTCAAGAAAAATATTACACGACTTAAGATCGCGATGAATAATTGGACTTCCACAACTATAAATGACCATAGATAAGTGAAATTAACATTGTCAAGAAGAATACTGGATGACTTAACATCATAATGTTTGACTAGCCTTCCATAACACTATGAATGATCATAAATAAAATGAAAACTGACATTATCAAGAAGAATATTGGTCGGCTTAACATTGCGATGAATGATTGGCCTTCCAGAACTGTGAAGATACTCCAATCCCTTGGCTAATCCAACAGCAATTTTTATTCTCCTTCTCCAATTTAGCTCTGTATCCCTTTCTGTTTATGTCAAACAACAATTCTTCAGTATGGTTCCAGGTAGTAAATGTTCATACCCAAATTACACAGCAATTGGAAATTGTTTCAATGTGAATGTCTAATGCTGTTGGTGCTTATGACCTTTCAAAAGATTGGTTTCCAAGTTTCCCTTAGGCATGTACTCATACACTAAACATTTATGCTTAATGTCGGAATAGTATCCTACGAGCTTCACCAGATTTGGATGGTTAAATCTGCTCAAAAAATTTAGTTCATTCTGCAAGAACAATGATATTTCAAAGTTTCAGGTGAACAAGTGAAGAAGTATATATAACACATTGACCCCCATTATACAATATTGTCCATTTTAAGTTAGGTCGCATAACCATATGATAAGATTTGATTATCATAATCTATCCCCTTAAGCCCAAACATTCACGTTTTGATCCAACGCCACCCTAGTTGATGTGGGTTTTCGAGACTACTACAGTCTAAAGCTCCTATCCACTAGACCAAAATTGCTCAGTCTTAGAGTATATTCAATCCTTATCTTTTTTTTTTAAACCCAAATTTAAATTTGGATAAAAAATTCTTAAAAATATTCTTTAATGCTAGATTCATACCCATATCAAATTAAGAGAGACTCTTTTTTTTGCTCAAATCAAGCGAGACCCAAATCCATACCTAAATCTTTTATTATGAAATTATCCTCTCCTTTTTAAGATTCAAATGTCATAGTTTACCCTCATTTTAATTTAAGTTTATTCTAATTTAAATTTGTATTTTTTTTCTTTTAATTTTGACTTTTTTTCATTGAAGAAGTTTATATCAAATCAAATTTTTTATATTTTCTGTTTTTTACTCAAATTTAAATAATAATTTGAATTTACATTAGAGATAATCTTAAATGACATCCACGTCACTAGGGCCAATGGCTTCAATACCAAATGTAAAGTCTCAATCATCACTTTGTGATAGTCGTGCATGACTTTAAAACACATCGGACAATGAAGATGCAAAACTTAACACTTATAATCCGAGACCCAACCAACATGCACAAGCACACATACCAACACACATTCATAGAGAGAGAGAGAGAGAGGGAAAGAGAGATCCTAGACCTCCCATTCCTCTTGGCCTTGAGCTCCTTCCTTCTGAGCTTCTTTACTCTAATTGGGTATCCATCGCCTGGTTTTGCAGCATTCATGGTGCAATAATGGATCCATCCTTTATATACCTCACCGCAGCCACCTTGGGCTAGTAGATTCTTTTCACTAAATCTCTGGGTGGCAATCTTCAGAGTATTATAGCAAAAGAAGTTGAGCTTATAGGACTGAAGCACCTGATCAGCTTTCATGCTCATCTTCAAGGAATCATAAGTGCCATATCTCTCATCTTTCTAAAGAAAAAAAAGCACAAAATCAACATCACTAAATTGGTAAAAAAAAGTATTCAAGAAACTTCATACCTTTTCGTATATTCAAAGAAGCTGGTCCAGAATGAGAAATTTGAATCTCATTGACTCCTTCAATGAAAGCAAACAAACAATACATTTCATGTCTAAATGGTTTATCTATATGAAGGTTTTCCACAATGAAGATTCAGGATTGTAAAGTATGATAAATATGCATACCTTTCTTGGTATTTGAAGGAACCAACGAATTTCTCTCCTGCAGTACTGGTTTTGAAGTTTCCCCAGGATGAGAGATTTGAATTCCATTGATTCTTTCTGTAAAACCAAATGATTGTGTAAGGGGTAGAAATCGCTAAGGATCTCATCCCTCCACTTGAAGGATTCCGGCTGACCTGGCGGCACCGAGTCCCAGTAGCCTTTACCTCTCTTCGCCAATAGGACCATTTCCTAAGACAATCCCACATCGGAAGAGAGTCGTCTTTCCCCCTGCCATATAAGTGAACACTTCCTAAGGCTACTGGGGGGTCGCCCGCGTGGGTTAACCCAGGTCAAGCCGAAATCCGTAGTAGAGGGTTCTACCCTTACAAATTGAAAATGATCACAACAACAAAATTGGTTTTTTAGCAGCAAACTAACTCGTCGCAAAGGTATAAATTGGGTCGCTAAAAATTTTCAACTACAAACTTATTTCGATTGAAAAATGATCACTATACAAATATAATTTTTAGCAATAAACTAACTTGTCGCCAAAATATAAATGGGGTCAAACTCAATTCATTGCCCTTTTGTGGCCTTAGGGTCAACAAAATTATTTAGAATTTGAAAAATTATAGAGACAAGTTGTAACGTTATAAATTTGAATTTTAGTAATTTTTTAAAGTCAAATTATGAAGAATTTATCCCTCATAAACACTTTAGTTTGGTGTGGATGACTTGTTTTTACCGGACAAGGGAAGAGATTAGTCGAGGTGCGCGTAAACTAATTCAGACATCCTCACCGTTAAAAAAAAAAAAAAGGTAAAGTATGTAACAAAGAAAAATTACACACCATCCCGTGTGTTTAAAGAGATTGATGAAGATGTCTTCCCAAGTGGTTTAGAAGATTTCCCTTGATTGGAGAAGCGGATCTCATAGACTCCACCTGTGAAATCAAACATATAAAATTAATTGTTTAATTTAATATGTAAATAAATTACTATCCAAAGAACATTTTCACCTTTCTTTGTATGTAAAGAAGATAAATTCTTGTCTCGAAGAGGTTTAGAAACTTTCTGGGGATGAGAAATTTCGATCTCATTGAGCCCTTCCACGTGAAAAACAGTTAAAAATTATAATTTCAGTAATGCATCATCAAATTTCAAGTATTAAATTCTTGCATCAACTGAAAAATATATACTCTTCAGCCCCCATGATAAACCTGTGGGAGGTTGAGCAATGCCAACTGGTTCGTCGGGTTGTTGAAGACACTTCTGAATACAATTTCCCATGGTTAAAACTAATAAACTCATGCAAGAAGAAAGCTAGAAGCATTATGAGGAAGGAGAGTTGGTTATATAAACAGTGGTAATAACTATGCAACTTTGTTAAAATTTTTGTGGTGAAGATGACAATGAAAAAACTTAGTAGAGAGTTTTAAAGGAGTATATTTTACCAAACAAGCAGCATTATAGGCGATGTTCATTAGGCTAAAAGTTTGGCAGTAACCCCAAGGGGTTGAGTATAATAGCGACAAACTGTAAACTCAAACGTCTTGATATTGAATCTTCGTAACCTCTCGGAGTCAGACCTTAGAAGATTTATTTTTCATGAATACCCTAGTTTCGACATAAATAATCTGTCTTTAACCGGACCTGTAAAGAAATTAGTCGAGATGCGTATAAGTTAGTTCAAAGACTTCTAACATGGGATGACATAATCAGATAAACACTGACTCAGGACGGATCAGCTCATCCGATGATTGAAGTTCATTTTAGTTCTAAACTAAGTATAGGACTAGGATGTTTATGTATCATTTTTTCCAGCGGTTTTTGGGATTTTTTGGGAAACAATTAAATTATTAGTTGTTTATTGTTATTGCTGGCCTTTTTGAACATTAATTATATGTGGGGCCAGCTGGGAGATTTTTTAACTATATTTTTGTGTTAACAATCACTAAAATGAAGATATTCCAGGAATCTGTTTTGTTCATTTGATGATAATGGTATGATCTGCTAAAAACAAAAGTGGTTAAACAAGGGATGAACTGGAAATTTGTAGCATCTGAATTCAACTTTGTTGGCTGCGAGTTTAACCGAAGAACGGGTAGCCAGTGGATACATGTATTCGGGATTTACGTGACAGTACTGAGTCCAAAAGATGCATGGTTGGGACAAATACCCGTAAAAAACAACCAAATGTGATTTATCTGGTAATCTTATCCTTCAGCTGCCTCCTCTTTTGTCCAGGATTGTTTGGGTCAATATGATTACAACATATTTCTTGAATGTTTTGCTAATTCTAATAGTTTTGATAATTCTGTTGGGACGGACTCTAACCTAATTATTTGTGGGAAACACAAACACCAATGTATTTTGGTCTACATTACACCAACCAAGATCATTTAACCATTATTCTGTAAGACATATTACTAGTAACAATAATAAGGAAAAATTATACTTAGATCCCTTGAACTCTACCCCTTGTTTCACACTGTCTAATAAAATCAGTGGTGAACAGAGGTGAACAAAGAAGAAAATGAAAGAAGAGAGTAGAGGATTGGAGAGGAAGAAATGTCTTATATCACTTCCTTATCGGGAGAATATTACAAGAAGTATTTATATACAAACTCACCATCATTCAAGCATCACTTTAAAGAAAGCTAACTAACTCTCACTAATTAAATACTTCATAACTAATTTTGTAACAAATTGTAACAAACTAACAACTGGCTCTCTATTTGCTGACATGTCTTATTTCTTCAACAGACCCTCAAGATGGAGAGTGGATGTTTAACACACTCATCTTGCTGAGAAGAAGATGAAATTGTTGTATACCAAGTGGCATAGTGAATACATCACTGAGCTGATGAGCAGAGGAGACATGAAGAGTCTTGACCACCCCTTCTTGAACCTTATCTCAGATGAAGTGACAGTCTGGTACGCTCATGGAACATAGGATTAGCTGCAATGATGAGTGCAGACTTGTTGTCACAGAAAATCAAAGCAAGTTGAGGATGAGAATTTGGAAATCAGCTAGTAGAGTAAGTAACCAAGTTAATTCACAGCAAGTAGAGGTCATGGATCTGTACTCTGCTTCAACAGAAGAACGAGACACAGTTGTTTATTTCTTGGACTTCCAAGAGATTAGAGAAGGGCCAAGAAAAACACAAAATCCAGTGATGGATCTTCGGGTGTCTAAACAACCTCCCCAATCTACATCGCAAAAACTTTTGAGATGCAGGTCTGAAATGTTGGGGAAGAAGAGTCCTTGTGCTGGTGTAGATTTGAGATATCATAGCACACGATGAACAACATCTAAGTGTGATTGTCTAGGCTAATCCATGAATTGACTCAAGATCTGAACTGCATAGGACAAGTCTGGTCTAGTGAAAGTTAAGTAGCGTAATCTGCCTACTAATCTGCGATGAGAAGAAGGTTCTACCACCTCAGGACCAGAATCTTTATTAAGTTTCAAATGTTGCTCCATGGGAGACTTCGCTAGACGAGCACCAAGAAAACCAGAATCCCGCAGAATTTTTAAGATAAACTTTCTTCGACATATAGAAATCCCTTTTGAGGACCTTGCCACTTCAAGTCCTAAGAAGTATTTCAAAATGCTAAGATCCTTAATCTGAAATTGACTATGGAGAAAGGCTTTAAGATCATCAAGAGATGAAATGTTATCTATAGCTATGATAATATCATCCACATAAATCAATATAGCTATGAAATCAGAATCAGTACTCTTAGTAAAAAGAGAGTAGTCTGATTTGGACTGAGTAAACTCATGTCCAAGTATGGAGGCTGAAAGTTTGGAGAACTATTGTCTTAAAGCTTGTTTGAGCCCATAAAGGGACTTATTCGAACGACATACTTGATGATCATTTGTTTTGGCATAACCAGGAGGAAAATCATGTATACTTCCTCAGATAGATCACCATGAAGAAAAGTATTTTGTACATCCATCTGAAATAGGTGCTAGCTTCTAGCAGCTGCAATAGCCAGAAGACACCTGATAGTAGTAGCTTTAGCAACAGGTGAAAAGGTTTCAAGATAATCTAGGCCTTCTCTTTGAGTGTATCCCTTTGCCACAAGTTTGGCCTTGTTTCTTTCAATGTTACCATCAGCTTTGTATTTGATTTTGTAAACCCATTTGCAGCCAATGGAAATTTTGTCCCGTGGCAATGAAGTGAGGATCCAAGTATTGTTTGCCTCAAGGGCTTGTATTTCAGCTTTCATAGCATCACTCCATTCAGTGTGATGAATGGCTTCATGGAAAAATTGAGGCCCATAGTTAGATGAAATTGTGAGACTAAAAATACGATGCGAGGTGAACAACTTATCATAAGATAGAAAATCAGAAATGTCATGTGTTTTACCTAACACAGAAGACAAACCGGAGGCTGTGAAGAGATAAGTTGGCTCTGTTTGCTAACTTGTCTTTTGCTGAAATGTCTTATTTCTTCAACACTGTCCTCTAAACTCTGCACTTGCTCACATTGCACCTTAAACTACTAGTCATACTTCTCATCCCAAATCATAACAACAATGGAATCTCATGTCGTTAGGAGATCTGGTATTTCCTTACTTAGCTGAGCAGAATTCTATTTTCACCTTGTTTTGTCATGAAAAATTGGACAAAAGCCAACGATTCAAGCAAATATGAAACTCAAAACCAATAATTTAACATGCAATGTGTGCAAGATAGTTTAGTGGACAATATGAAATGCTGGTATAGTTTAGTGAGACCTAAGTATAATTTACTCTAATAATAAAGGACTTACAGTGTGAAGTATGAACAAGAAGAAATTGTAAGATGACCCCATTTTTTCACTTGGTAGTATCAAATGAGCCCAGGAGTTCCCCCAAACACTTCAGTAGGGAGTAGTATCCTCTAGGCAGAGAAAAGAAAAGCCCCTAGTGAAGTGTTTAAGGGGAACTCTAGGGAACACCTGATCTTCATTCAATGCTTCTACTTTGTTTGCTTTGGTAAGCCCTTGCCTAAAATCCTCACAATTTATAATGTGTTGTTACCTTCGCAAATGGTCTAAGTGTTCAGGCTCAGAATAGAGATATTCATCAAGCCAAACCCTGGGAGGATGTACCTAGTCGCGAATTCGGGGTAGATGAAAGGAATAGAATCATAGGTGAGTTGAGTGGTCCTGTAAATCCTATCCTTTTTCATTCTGTAGAATCTTTGGCCTCTCATTTTTCAGATTTTCTTGTAAATATAAACCTCTCTGAATCTCAGAAGTTGGTATTGCAATTTTATGTTTGTTTCATGCACATGTAATGCAAGGTCCAGAAGCAACTTTATGTCAAGTTAATTGCAATGGCAATATTCATGTGGGCCACCTTGATTTCTTGACCAAAACCTAGTTTCATCGGTGTTAAATAACTAATCTTTACTTAGGCGGTCTTGTTTGTGACATGTGTTTCATGGAATCGAATTTCGGAAATATTTTGTGTAAGATAAGATTACGTACATTCAACTCTCTCAAGTTCTTGCCTTTGTAGTGACAAGAGTCTTAGCTGGTACAATAAACTCTGATTATGGACAATAATTATCATTACGTAAAGCTAGTTAAGCGGAGTCAAAGATACCATGGACTAGTGCATAAGCACATGGACTTAGGTAAAATGTACTTGTGTCCATAACCTAATGGCTCTCAATCCGAAAAGTAAGGGTGTCAATTTTTGACTCAAACTCAAACCTGATTCGAATCGAACCCGACACGAAATCAAAAATAACACGATTAGTTGACATAAGTCATAAATAAATCAAATTAAGGTTTGACATAAATAACACGATTAATGAGTACTATAGATAGAAAATAATTATTTAATGAGTATTGTAGATAGAAAATAAGAATTTTATAATTTTTTAAATAGTATTATATTAGTTATTGTCAAATTAAATAGTTTTTTATTAACACGAATATTGACACGAACCCGACACGTACCAAAAGTGATACGACACAAAAATGACATGACCGAAAGTGATACGACACGACACGATAGACACCCTTACTAAAAAGGATAGAACTTAGAGATGAAAGAATTGAGATGGAGAGGAACTTTTGGCCACTTTCCAAATTGTATTCTCTATCCCTCATCTATCATCGATTTCTGAACATTCAATTACGTTCGTATCTCTTTTCCTCTCAAATTGCTATATGCACTTGTAAAGATCACACCATTTCTAAACTAAAATAAACATACAGACTAATACAATACATATAATACATGACAAATTTAAACTATTGAAAACAGAGCTGATCAGGTGCCAACTAGGGTTGATCCTAGGTGACATCAGCCCCATGACACTGGTTGATGTGTTTTTGGTACTTGTTCTGCACTAATTCATGTTTCTATGATTTAAGTAAAATATTAACAATTTATTACTTTATGAAAAATTTCAATGGTTAATAACAACATTTCTTGTTGCTGATATTAATTGGAGGGATAAAGGCTAACTTTGCTGATGATAATGTGACTTTATTATGTTGATATTACACGAGAGTAGTACTAGAATAGATGACCCCCTAAAAAGTTCTCGTGTTGCACCCATTTTTCAAAAAAAAAAAATTATGTTGATATCACACAAGCCATCACAATCGATAATACTATGCAGTTAGAAGATGTGACACTCTTGTTACATTCAGCCCCACCCCTATAGTAGGGGGAATACTTGGTCCGAACCTACCTCGACTTTGATATTCCCAACAAGTGACCAACACGATTGGTAGGGTTGTGAAATTTCTAACTTGATCTAATACCATTTGTCACTTTCGTGTAATTCAAAAGCTTAAGTTATTAAGTGAAAAACCGACTAAAATCTTAAAACTCCATATGTCACCCCTTACTCAATTGATGTAGAATGTGACATTGCATGTTATTCTCTATTTATACATACGTATTAGTTATTATTGAATTATATCTATTGATATGTGTAAGAAATATTATGAACATATTATCATTTGTGTAAGATATATCACATATTTCATGTGGTTATAGAGTCAATTATGACGAGGTATGATGATTGAGATAGGCAATTTTTATGTCAATTACTAGAGTGAGAAATCATGACAAAAATCAGCAAAACTGGGAAAAAAATACAGAAAAAAAGAAGAAGAAAAGAAACTGACTCTTGACATTCATAAAAGATTATGAAAATGAATGTTTTCACTTATCTGTGTCTTAGTTTAGTCCCATGTTTGCTCCAAGTGCACTTGTTTTTTTAACTGCTTTTTTTCAGTAAATAATGAATTTGTATAGCACAAAGATGAGTGTTAAGTACAAGGTATAATCCCCCCCCCCCCTCCCCCTTAAAAAAAAACAAAGAAATAGAGCAATAGAACAAACTTCCTGTAAATGAACTGAGTTCGAGCTCGGGCTTATGTTCGAAATTAAACTCAAGTTTAGGCTCATGTGAAGATTAAATTTGACTTGCTTATACAAATGAATAGTAATTTATCCATAATATCACACATAATAAATTCTACACAAATCGTATCTAACTTCAAACTGAGGGCCAAATAAAAATACTAATTAAAGATGTCAAAACTATAAAGGGTCAAATAATAAATACCAAAAAATCAATACACGAGGCGAACTAATTATCATCAGGCTTAAATGACCTCTAAAATTGAATTCAAACTCAATCCATTTGATTAGTGCAAGCAGGGTAATCAAGCAGGCCAGTGATGCACTTGGTAGAGCTAACACAAATGTAAACAGATCCATCTTCTTCAAAATAAGCTGAGTAATAAGGAGATTCAGTGGATTCTGAATTTTTATAAACTTCATAGTTATTAGAAGCCCTTATAAGAACAGGCTGCAGTAATCTAGCCATTTGTTAGATTTTTCTTGTCATGCATGTGTTTTTAGGGCAATGTTATATGTTCGCCATTAGATTAATAGTCAGTCTCAACATTAAATAAAGTCTATTGTGATCATCGAATTAAGTTTGTCAAGTTTGGTACGATATCACTGTTGGGATTTTCAATTACTAACAAAATATATTCTATCAAAGATCATCAAACAATATTTATCGAAGAATGTGAATTTGAATTCTCTTTACTATATTTTTCTTCAATTTCTTTCAATAGTAATTGATAATTGTGATTACCTTATAGATATCCAATAGAATTAGAAGGATATAGGTAAGCAAGTTTACTTGAAATGGTCGTGCTTGCCCATTTGACAATTGAATATGGTACCTTCCTTTGGAATAGTTCAGAGTCCCCGTCAAACAAGCAAGCATGACCATTTCAAGTAAACTTTTTATTTTTATTTTTTTGGATAGCATAGCAAGAGTACTACAACACGACATCACACTATGAGGAGATTAAATTCGACACATCCAATGCCTCACAAAATAAGAACGAATTATAAACTTAGACGTAATGAGTTTAAAAGTTGATAATTCTCTTAAAGTCAAGTCATGAATGATTTATTCTTTATTAATTTTTTAATTCCGACATAGATGCTCTACTTTTGACTGAATAGGAGAGAGAATTAGTTGAGATATGCATAAATTAACTCAAATACTCTGATCATGATATTAAAAAAAAAAATCTAATGCCACACCCCTGATGGACCTCAGGTCCAATTTAAAGTAAACTTAGCTCAAAGGGAATCAATAGACAAGGAGACACCGACATCTTTGAATAGAATTTTCTAAAGATTAGACCAAATACTTCAACATTTTCAACTATTTATTCGACTGTTCATGCCAAATGATGATGAGCAGCATATTTCTCGGTCAAAATTTAATTATTTGCAACAAAGTGATGGAGTTTTTTTTTTTTTTAAAAGTATATTGTATTAATTTTCAACTGTATACAAACATTGTAAATCTGTACCAATGCAATAAGACAAATATGATAGTTGAAATATCCAAACCAATTCTAAAATATATATTCTTTGTCTGGTCTGCCTTATTCAGCTACATAGTGTACGTAGGGTTGAATTTTCGATGAGACAAATCAACACAGACTCAAAAAATACAAATAGTAATTCTACAAACCTGTTTAATCAGTGTTTTGAATCCTTTTTTTAAGTGGTTTAGCTACCATTACCATGTGAACTCAAGTATGATTATAAATAAGTTTGATAATTTTCAAAATATCAAACACATTTAACGAAATAAATAAAATTAATATTGACTAACACTTAACACAACACGACATTGTCATCATCCTTGGTGCCGTGTGTGTATATATTGTAGAATATATTCTAAACTTACCAATCCATGGCTTTTACATTCATCAGAATCAATCTTGTCTCTCTAGTCATCCTTCTCTGTTGGTTTATAGCTGTGGACAATACAAAGTAAAAAGTGTTGGGATTTAATACGCTTTAAATTGATTGACAAACGCATATAATCGAAGAACAAACTAAAAATATAAAACAATAAGAAATAAGAAAGAACAAGACACAGATTTTACGTAATTCGATAATTTACCTATATTCACAAAATTGTAAGAATTTTACTATTGATAGAGAGTACGTAACTGTTGGAATTTTACTATTGAGAGAGAGCATAATAATACAGAGGGCAGCTTTCACTTACAATCAAATTCTAAAAATTAAAGTAGCGGTTTTTATATGTCCTATATACCAAGTTACAAAACAGGCCAAAAGAATTTTTTTTAGTTCCATGGATCAAGGTTTAGAAAATTTCTCATTAAAATCATACAACATTATTTCAGGTCAAATCATCATTCGGATCAATATACAAACTAGACTCCACTAAAGGCCGAGTCCTTCCTCAATCCACTCCTCTCTCATGCTTTTATCCCATTACTGTACTATTTCTAAAGCTTAGCGTTTTGTAGTTTTTTTTTAGCTATAACTGATCTCTTTATGGCTTAATTCAGTGGTTTAATTATGGCGGCAACATAACTAAGCGGAGGATTGCTGATCAACCCAACAACCGTTCACAATCTCCGGTTAAAATGGAAGTTCTTCGCCGGAAAAGACATATCTGCAACACCAGCGGTGGCAAATGGGGCAGTGTACTTCCCATCATGGAATGGATAATTATATGCAGTGAATGCCTTCAATGGTAGTCTTATATGGAAGCAAAACGTCGGTGAGTTAACTGGGTTGCCGGGAACCGGGACTGTGGTGAACGTGTCGGTGTCGAGAGCCACTCCGACGGTGGCCGGGCACCTTTTGATCGTCGAAATTTATGGACCTGCGGTGGTGATTGCCGTCTCACGGTGGACTGGAGAGCTTGTTTGGTCGACTCGGATTGACCCGTGTCCTCTGGTTCTCGTCACCAAGTCTGGAACACTACACTTATTGTGCTTCCGTTTGATACGATGAAAGAATAGGAGGGTAAAAAATTATATGGATAGAAAGTTAAAAAAATAAATAAAATATTATATTTGATAAAAAAAAAAGTAGAAAAAATAGAAAAGTAACTTTCCTTCCAACTCACCAAAATTAATCTATCTAAAATTAATGATAAAACATGTAAATATATTTTTAAAAATTAAAAAAAATAATAACACACATAAATAATAAATAAATAATAAAAAAAATTAATTAAAAAAATATATATTTTTTCCTTCTTAACTAAGTGTAAAAATTTTCGACTCAACACAATGACAGGATTCGAATTCGATATGAAAGTAAACAGGTCAACTCGCAACTCGACACAACACAATTAATTAAATGAGTTAAGTTAGATTTGACTAATATTCGACACAAACTCGTAATGACTTAACACAAATCTGACACGACATGACTCGACTCGATTGTCACCCTTAATCTTAGCCAACACAAAAAATAAATTATCATTTTTATTTTTCATCCATCCAATCAAACACATAGGAAGGAAAGTGTATCCTTCTTACTTTCCATCCTTGAGGATAGAAAGTGTATCCCTTCTACTTTTACTTTTCATTCGTCCTACTTTTTATCCACCCTATCAAACGGAGCATTAGGATTTGCTTTCTCTCTCCTATCCTTCTTTCATCCTTTTAAAAGTTTACAGATGATGATAGTTTTGGGTGAAGTTTGTGGTTTTAAAAAAAATTAAACAATTTAGTAAAAATTAGGGTAAATATCATAATTCGTCATTAAATTTTACATCCAAGTTCAATTTGATTCTTGAACTTTTAATTATTTCAATTTAATTATTCAACTATCAATTCGTTTCAATTAAATTTTTAATCTGTATTCACCGTTAGATCAATCAGAAACTAGTTCAATCGGGTCCAAGTGTTATATGTTTTTATTATTTTGAGGTAAATATGGGTAAAAAAACTTGATTGAGATAAAATTGATGGTTGATGAGTTAAATTGAAATAACTGAAAGTATAGAGATCAAATTAAAACCACAAGGCAAAATTTAGAAACCAATTTTTACCATAAAAAGAATTTTATATAAGATTAAATCAATTAAATTTTTTTCATACCATTTGAATAGATACATTTTTGGTTCTTGAAGTATTGGAGAAATTTGCCCCCAAAAAAAAAAGTATTCGAGAAATGCCAGTTTGATCCATCAACTACTAATTTGTTTTAATTGCACCCTAAATATATATTTTGGTTTATATATAAATAGTCCAATCGGTGATGGATGTTAATGAAAATTGAGACCCCTTTAGGCATTCATGACATTTTCTGTTAGCTATCATAAGGACCATTTCAACTCAAATTATAAACTATAGGTTGGTAACAGATAAATTGGTAGTTTATAGACCAAATAAGCAATAATTCGAGCATACTTGAAAGACAATGTTTTACGGATTAAAGTGATAAAATTAGAATTATTTGAGACCAAATTGATACGGGTGCACATTTTAATTGTACTTTTTACTTATTTTTTTCGGAAGGATACCTTTTATGCTATGGTAATTATTTTGTATAAATATTTCTAAATTAATACAAAAGTAGTATCATAACTCTTGTCCAACACCATCACTCACTTTCCTAACTTTAAACTTCTAAGAAACCCTACCAGCCAACCTATGTTACACTTTCCGGGGCAGCATGGTGAAGCTAGATGTTAAAACCGGTGCAATTTTGTGGCGAACCTATACACTTCCAGATAATGGTGGCAGACTAGGAGGCTCACCGGGGCAGCTATATGGGGAGGCATCCCCGCCATCAACATTGCCAGGGGGATTGTTTACGCGAGCACTGGCAACCTCTACACGGCTCCACCAGAGATGTTGTGGTGTCCGGAAGCTCAGAATAATCAAACAAGACCAAGTAGTCCAGATCAGTGCATTGGACCAGATGTTAATTTCAACTCAATTTTGGCGTTTGACATTGGTTCTGGAAAGATTGTGTGGTCTAAGCAACTAGGGGGCTATGATATTTTTTATTTTGCATTTTTGGTTCCTAATAATCCTGATTGTCCACCGGGACCTAATCTGGATGCTGATTTTGGGGAGGCTCTGATGCTGCTAAGCATATTTGTCAATGGAACGATACGCAATTTGGTGGTAGCAGTGCAGAAAATTGGCTTTGCGTGGGCTCTTGATCGTGACAATGGCAATATAGTTTGGTTTAAGGTAAGTACATAATTGATTGTTGGGTATGGGATCGCGATGCCTTAGTGATTTCTTTATAAGGGTAGTGTCAGCCGACTCAACCCGTAGGACGAATAGTCCTAGTTGTAGTGGGCTGTCCTCCACAACCCTTAGGAATATAAAACGTATACGAATTCCACTTTATTACCAGATTTTCTTTACACGGGTAGTTTTATGCAGCTATTGCAAAGCTTTGTGGGTAAAATATGACTAACACATGAGTGAGATTAATAGGTAATGCTAGAGTGACAAAAAAGTGGGACTTGATAATATGGTGCTCGTGTGACGGTGCTAACTAAGCAAAACGTCAATTTGGGGCTTGATTTTTGGACCTAAATTTTGTAGGTCTTTTTAAATTTCTATGAAACAAAATTTTGAACATCGATTTGGCGCTAGTCTTACATTTTTGTTCGGAATTTTTTTGATTGGTTGCTACTGTCACACTAGTACCACACCTTTTGGTCACAATTTTTCTTCTTATTTTGTGTTACTGTAGCATATTATAGCCCTACTCGATATCTTCATACTGAACTGGTTATTAATTCACTAAGAACTTTACTATGAATTTTGTAGTTGGCTGGAATAGGAGGCAATGAAGGAGGAGGGACATTGGGGCACAGCCACAGATGGAAAGAGAGTATACACAAACATAGCCAACAGCAACAGAGAAAGTTTCACACTTGCACCATCAACCCAAACCACAACAGCAGGTGCATGGGTGGCCCTGGATGCAAACACTGACCAAATCCTCTAGTCCACTGCAAACCCTAGCAATGACACGTCGCAGGGCCGATCACGTTGGCCAACGGAGTCCTTTTCTCCGGCCCTGTGGCTCATAATGGCCCTCTATACGCCATGGATGCGAAAACCAGGACTATTTTGTGGTCATTCAAGACTGGTGCTACTATATATGGGGGAGTCTCAGCAAGCTATGGCTGCATTTACCTTGGTAATGGATATACAGTTGGTCCGGGAACTTTCCACCCATCTTGGACTCCAGAAACTTCACTCTATGCCTTCTGCATTGCATGAAGAGATTGTTGCGTCCGCCAAAACTTTTATCAAATTTTAGATCCCAAAAGATTTGGCACATAGTCAAACGTTTTACTACGTGTTTTAGTGGATGAAACATTGTTGTTGCATGAAAGACTTGACCTTGGGACACGGTTGTTAGCTGACTAGGTGTGCCACTGAGTAGTCTTCTGAAGATTTGCTCAGTGTGTCCTTCAATATATGTTTTGAGCGTCTTTGAAATTTTTCAAGAATAAGATACATTGACTAATCGAAAAAGAAGACTCGACATTTTGAAAGTGACTGAAGATTGAAAGAAGAATTTTTTGGATTGTATCATATAGGCCTTGTAAGAAATAAAATTTTTACTTGCCTTAGTTTCTGAGTGTAGTTGGGGGATGCTGAAAGCATCCTTCACTCAAGTGAATCTGGTCAAAACTGCCTTTGATTTCGGCAACATAGTATTGTTTGGCTTCGAGTAAAGCAAGGAAGGATCCAGAATTTTTGTTTATCCCAGGCTAAACTAAGCATTCATACGACTAACAAAATATGAAATGACAGTGAAAATTCCCAGTTCATTAGATAGGTTTCTATCAGCCTCAGAGAAAGCTTTTTGATTTCTCCAAATAGAAACTGTTTGTAATCCTATTAGGAACCATTTTAAACTGTTGAATTGTATAAATTAATTGAATTGCGAGTCACTCCTAAAACTTTAGCCACCAGATATTTGTGATTTTCAGAGTACTTTCCGCATTTGTATGCAAAATGAAACTACTCACAAAGGGCAACAAAAGCAGCACCTTAGCTAAATGACCTTTTTGCACAATTTTTCGAATTAAAAAATATTTAGTGAAGCTTCTTACCTCATCTTTTTGCCGTAAAACAGAAGATAGAATAGAAATTATCTGCATCTTGGTGGTGAAGTGAACTATACCGACAACCCTTTCAGTTGTTGCAATGAAACTATGATTGCCGCACCAGCCATGAACCCAACAAAAGTTGCCTCGGAGAGAAAATCAATCACAATCCTAACCTATAAATCACCGAATACACATTTAATTGTGTGTGGGAACACAAATGTAAATGCTTTGCTAATATAAGTTTTCATCCTTTGGAAATACATATATTCCTAATGCTTTCCTCAAATTTCTAAGTACGAAAATATTTCTTCAAATTTTTAAGTACCTTTCTTCTGACTGATTTTTGTCAATATCGATTCAGAGCCTCACCCAAAACATTGATTAACAGAATCAAGATAGTAGTGAAATTAGATTTACTAAACTACTACATTGATTCTTTAAGCCCACTTGTTTCCCTTCCAATCATACCGGTATTAATAATTTCATCTTAGAGGTGTTACTCTGGGGCATAACCATTGTTCTAAATCTAAAGTTTTTTTATGATTTATAGTTATAAATTATACCAAAAGGCATATCTTTCTCAAAAGGTGTTTCCTTTTGGCTTTATTGAGAAAGTAATCTCCATTTGTAAAAAAAAATTCCATCAATCCTCATAAAGCAAAATGGATATTGAACATAAAAAACAGATCCACAATACTAAGTTTAGATTGCAACTAATTGTTTATATTTTAGAAAACCCAAAGTAGCCTGAAATAATCCAACAAAGAAAGTAGCAGTGAAAACCAATTAAAGATAAAGAACAGGCTCCTCAGTATAAGAAACCGTCTCACTAAGCATTGTGCCCGTGACAAGAGAGGCAATTGAGACTGGACCAACAGCTAGATTGAAATTAATCAGACAAAGCATAAACGTAAATTAACCGAATCAAATTCAAAAAATAATGGAGTTCAAAATGCACAAATAAGTAAAAAAAAAGAAAAGGAACAGAGAAGCGTGGAGAAACCCTACCCATGCATGAAAACTTCAACATCTTAAAGAATCTTCTTTTTGCAATAGTAACAATTCTTTAGAAATCCCCCAACCATCTCGTATCACTCTGATCAACACTTTCTTGTACCGGAGACGAGAGAGTCAGAATCTTCGGGCTCGATTGATAGACTTTCTCAACCATCGAAGTCTTCAAAACCTTATTAGGATGGTGTTTGCATAGAAGAGAGATGATGGGAGGGTTTTTGTGGTAAAGTGGCAACCTGAGAGAAAAGAGACTGACTTGATTTTGGGGGAAGTGACTGGCCGCTGAGAGAGAAGACATTGCCGGCATGTATTTGGCATGATTTTGGGAAAGTGACTGAGAGACCGTTTAAAGTGAGAAGAAACTGAGAGAGACCAACTGAATTTAGGGGAAAGTGACCAAGAGAAGAGAGAGATCAACTGATTTGGGGGAAGTTTTGTAGATGGACTAGGTTGGGTTGGGTTGGATGGGATTTTTTTTGGGGGTGGGCTGGTACTTAGTAGTAAATTTTTATTTTTTTTTATTCTGGGTTTTAGCCCACTTTAGCCCACTAGTAGATCCATACCATCCCTAAAGATGTATTGACGTACTAGATCAGCTAATGCTCCCATGTTGATGCAATGTATTCCACCAGTTGTTGCTCTTCTTTTAGCTTAAACATGAATTACAAATTCTCCGTTTTAGAGAAATCAAAAAGTGTGAGCGCTTGGAGTGAGCCCTACCAATCTTTTGGAGAGAAGATATCTTTGACTTGTCCATGATCGAAGGCAATGTCGAATTTATTTCTACCATGCAAGAAGGGAAACAAAAATAAATCATAAAAGAAACCAAAAAAAGAGAAGAAAGTAAAGATTACTTCATAACCGGTACACATTTGAGGTTAAGCTTTTAGGTCAAGTTTGAGTTCAACTGTACATTAATGCTTTACCAAAGTTCTCCTTCCTACACTAACAATCTAGAAAAATATCATTTATATGTGAGTGGGAGTGTTGGAGTTCCAAAGCAAAAAAAAAAAAAATCTGTCACATCGGATAGCAATAAAAAAGTAGATGACTTCAAATATAAATATTACAATAATGATATTCAGATTTATGTTGATTACTCTGTCAAACTTAGCGGCTCGCCTAAACTGGATTAGAGCATGTCCCTAAAGAGACAAGAGTGGTTAACCTTTAAAAGATGTGGAAGGGATTAAACTTAAATTTTTTGAATTTTCAAAAGTTAGACTTAACTATTAAATCACTCGTAAGAATTAAATAGCGAGTTTGACCTTTAAATTTGGGTCAAAGTTGAGACCAGATTCCAAACAGTGCCACTGATCTTGGTTAGTCATCTACCCAATTCAACTAGAAAGAGCAGTAGCTTTAGGGCTGTGAAACAAATAGAACCCTAATGCTATAAAATAGATACACTAAAATGTGAGGAATTTTCAACCTATTACACACTAAATAATGTCAGGTGGCACCCAGAGTTCCCCCAAACACTTCAGTGGGATAGGATTAACCTTTACTCTAAAAAGAGCATCTCAAGATAATCCCAGTGAAGTGGTCGGGAGAACTCCAGGGGAGACCTGACGCTCTCTCTCTCTCTCTCTCCCTTCTTACTTCCTTGGCAAACTAATACACATCAAACCACCTATTTATAGCAACTTGATAAGTTCATGTTATTGTATACATTTGGACATGCAGGACCTCGTTTGGGAGGAAAGAAACCAGGGTAAGTACATTTGGAGAGCTTGAACCTGGCCGGGATTTTGGGTCGGATGATAAATAAGGAATAATATGGAGGCCAGTGACCACAAATTTGCCCTCTGCCAATCTGTGTTATCTCGCTTTCCAACTTTTTCTTTGAAATATGCTCTTTTTTTGAAGCACGAGATTTTTTACGGGTATAAAAAGATCATATATACGCAGTCTTATTCTTATGCTCAAAAGAACTATAACATTAAAAACTATATTACTTATGTGAAGGACGTGTTTATAATAACTAAGTGCATGAGGTCAAGCACTCTCATATAGGATATGGGTAAATGCAGTAGAAATTTTTTATTTTATTTTATTTTTTTTGCTATTTAAAAAGTTGGAAAGGGCCACCAGGATAGTGTTCTCTAGGCATGACTTAAGAATTCTTACTCGCTACATAATGTTTAATTTAAGTCATAGTTATTAAACTGAAAATGGTCGAACTCGTCACTATATCCCCACCGAGACGCAGATGAACATCCAATCCCTTCTCAATAGCATCTAGTTCACACAACTTCTACCACAAGCAGATTCAAACAAAAATGTGGATTGGTATGAAGTTGACGAGACTGTAAGGATACAACAGAAAAAAGGTGGAATGGTGAGGCGCCGACTGACTTACTTTCTCTACCATGCATCTACCCTGCGGTCACGTCTAGGTTCAGTCTTCACTGCTTTAAGATTCAATACCCACAGCTTTATAGACTGAACAATCTCCAAATATCCTTTGGTGAAGAAAGCTTGAAATACTTTACGCATTATCAAGTCGTACAGCCTTAGTTCAAAACGGACAATGTAGTTAAGCCTTTGCATTCACATCCAACCGAAAGATGGATGGGGTCGGATGGTAGCAACTAGCGTGGTAGATTGTGGTAACTCGGACCCATCCCATTAATTCATTTAATAAAGTGTGTGTGTGTGAAGTGTTTGAGAAATGTCAAATTTTATATAATTCTAAATCAAAATAAATAATATTAAATGCTGCTTGATATTACGTACCTAGAAACTAATGTAGGCATTACGACACTATAAATAGTGGCATTGGCACATAGGTCGGCATGGCTTCCCCAAGCAATTGAAGCAAGACATCAAGTCAGATTTCCCCTAGAGTTCCCTTGACCACTTCACTGGGTACTCATCGTAAGTAAAAAGGCATTGTTACCCACTGAAGTGTTTGGGGGAACTCCTGGGGTTATTTGATAAATTATAAAAAGTGTGAAGAGAAGGCAAATCTTGACGTAATGGTAAGGTTATTCTATTGTGACTTAGAGATCACTTGTTCTAGTTATAGAAATAACATCTCTGCTTGCAGAGATAAACTTACATACATCTAATACTTCACAGATCACACAATAACGTGAGTCTCGTGTATTAAGTATGCCTTTTTTATGAACAGTGTAAGGGCTGGTGATATTACTATCAATTCCTCATTTGTCAATATTGCAGGCAAATTTGAACATATGGATTTCGGTTTTAGTTGAAAACTTGTCTTTCTTTTAAGTTCTGTGCCCTGTCCTACTGTTTGTTGCTGGATTAATATTTTTCTCCACTATAACACATTGGGAATGCTGCCTGTCAGGATATAGAGCTATTAAACAATCCAAGGTGACTCGTGAGCGATTTGGCCTCTCGTATTATAAAATGGGTCATATTAGGAATCCAGTCTAATTCACCAATTCTCGGAAAGAAACTGAACCCAGCTCACATACCGCTTTAATGGACGAATAGGAATCATATTTGAACTGGTGACACGAGAATGATATTGAGCATGTTTCCATCTCTTCTCTAGTAATTTACCCGATAAATTGATAAGTCGGGCATTTTCGGCCCACCAAGCGAAACCGGTGATTTCTTGGTCATGACCAGCTAAAGCTATTATAAATTGAGTGAAATCTGGATAAATTTTTAGACTTGTTTAATATTTGAACCGTGTCTAAACTATCTGTGAATGTGCTCATTTTTTTTTACTTTTACATAATACACATAAATATTAAAGATGTTAAGGCTATTTTAGTAAAATTGGCAAAATAATTAAGTTTGTATGTTTTTTTTTTGTGATATAGAGGTATTTTACGCTCAAATTTGAGTTAAAACTTAGAGTTGTGTGTATTTTTGTGAAATTTTTTGATTGATAATTTAAAATTTGTGGATTTAATTTTTTTTTAATGACTTATTTTTTGCTCGATCACAGCTCGAATTCTGTTTGAGCAAAGTTCGAATAATATTTTGAGCTCCATAGGCAAAGTTCGAGTATAACCAAGCTCAAAAGATTCGGCTTGATTAACACCTCCAACGAGATAAACATAGTAGTGAGATTATTTCATTATGACTTAAGTGTTACGAGTTTTAAATTGCATAAACATCTTCACATGCATACGTTTAGTATTCTCTCCGTTCTTAAATATTTGTCGTTTTAGGTTTTTGTACAAGAATTAAGAAAGTTATTAAATAGTTCTAATATGAGTAAAAAATAATTGCACAAGACTAAAATATCTTTATTCAATACGTATTAGAAATGAAAGAAATATAAAAGCACTAACTTACACTTAATCTATTAAGCACTTATTGAAAAACAGAGATAAGGGTAAATTTGAAAGAAAAAATATTAATTATGTTTTAGTTTCATTAAATGACAGATATTATGAAACAAAAATAATTGTTCAAAATGACAGATATTTAGAAACGGAGAGAATATCGTATAATCCTTGCCACACCCTCCAGTGGCATGGCAGAAACCTCACGCACCACGCTGCATTTTACTCCTGCCATTTACAAAGTGAACATATATGATTCTTGTCCCCATGCCACCATCACTCATAGCAACAAGTAGTGGTAGGGTTGTTCACTCATGTCGACAGATAAAAAATATTGTAGTTTATCTTCCGAGCAAATGCATTACAAAAGTTCAATTTCTTGATCGATTCTATCCAATCGAGGATTATGTTCTTACCAAATTTCGTTCAAAAAAAAATCAGCTCTAAATTTGAATAGTATTACATAATATATCACATATTTGTAATTTTTTAATTATTAATTATTAATTTTTAGACCATTTTAACAACTCAATTAAAGTAATTTTTGGACTACTTTTACAATTAAGCTGTTAAAATATAATATAATAATATGTAAACCAACACAATAAACCAATTACATTGAAAAAAACATATAAATCCTATATATATTCTCTAAAAGTCTAAAACGCAATACATAAACAACTACAAAACAATGTCATTTAAGAACAAATATTTTTTTTTTCAAAAAGTAAATATATATATACGGGTGTCGGATAGGAATGCAAAATTTTTATGGGTATTCCACATTCTTACCCAATCATTTGCGAAATACTACAATTTGTTCCATAAGCCAGCTAAAAATTAGTAGAATTCGAATAATCGGGTTAGGTTGGCGGAAATTTAAACACCCGAGTAGAGGTGATGAATCGTATATTGAATACAGACCAACCATGGCAACACCCCCATGCTTCATCAATAAATTCAGAGAGTTCAAAGTTTACATCAATGGCACTAACAAGGTATGCCTGTGATGGTAATCCCACTGTGAATCTCATTGCTAGTATGAAAACCCAACTACCCTAATGTCTACATTTATAAGCCCATCAAAAACTAGAATGTGTAACACAGCAGGCACACCACACTTTTGTTATCCAAGTTCCACAACTATAATCCAGAGAGACAAAAAAGAAAATTTTCAAACAATTCTCTAATTTCCTTTAAACCTGCTCTTGGTAACTTTGCGGCAACATGTCTGAGTGTAGGCCAAATCACCTCCTCCACTCTGCTTGGATCAACACCTCTGAAATTGAAAGACAACCTTCAGGACAGATCAGAAAAGTGATATAAGCATCTCATAAAACCTATAATCAACAAAAACACCAGAAGTATATTGTGATCCACGAATTCAAAAATGAGAATATCCACTAAAACGTTCAATTATGTTGTACATACAACCATGTCTAATATGAGGCTGACCATGAATACTAGAAGCGCACAGCTGATGTAAGAACTCTAGGTGTCAACAGCATTATTAGAGAACAAAATCAAGCTGTTCAGATTACTGAAGATGAACTCAACTATTGAAAGGAAAATCTCAAGATCATAATCAAGCCTTCAAAACCTCCTTATTCTTAGGACAGCTTTTGCATTACCCACAAACAATATGCATGCATAAATGCACATACACTTTATCTGTCAGATATAATCATCTCATGTTCAGAAGTTCTCACCAATACCATCTCTAGAAGAAGAGAGAGATCTGTCACTTTTTTTTCCATCCTTGTCCCTTGCTTGAACCAGCCTCTGCGCTCGTGGCGATGAACTCAACTTGCCCTTGGTGGAAGAAGGTAAGGAATGCCGCCTGGTTATAACTTTCTTCTCAGCTTCCTCCAGGCCAAACCTTGGGGAGACTTGCCCTCTCAGCTTAGCCTTTGCAGACTTGGTTGTTGCCATGTAGCTGGGAATTCTTGGTGTGTTGTGTGACCCATTCTCTTGATTATCATGTTTTGCAGGTAATGAAGCTCTTCTCCTGCTGGTTTTCTGATTCTTGTTGGTGATTCGATCATCCTTAGGATCTACCATAAGAACATACTCACTTCTACTTTTAATTTGTTTGCATTGCACATCAACAGCAGGATGATCATCCAGCTCAGGTACTGGTCCCTGCAGTTCTTGCTGTTTTGGACTCATCTGGTCATCAGAGGGCTTTAACACTCTTACTTCTGAATTATTTGTCACCTTCTCAGCAAGAACATTTACGTCCTGTTCTATAAAACCAGGGCCAGCAGAGTTCGATGATTTCTTATGTATTTCTGTTGGTTTCTCTGGATTGACCTCAGGCTGAACAAAAGTGTCTGATGTGGAGTTAGAAATTTTCTTCAGATTTTTTTTAACCTTCTCGATCTCATTTTGGGCATGTTCCTGAACAGATTTTGTGGAAGGGTTCAAAACTTTCTTCAAATTGCATATTTGTTTTTCAGACTTCGAAGTCGAAAGGTTTGAACCAATTTCAACATTTGCAGCCAACATTCTCCGGCTGCTGCATTTTGGCCTTCCTTGCAAATTTCTAACTGCTTGAATACTGCTGCCATCCTTTGGGTCAAGCTTCTTTGGTTCTAAATGGGATCCCCAAACATGAGAAATTGTCCAGCGTAATAGCCAGTCCCACGCAAAATTTTGTTCTCCTGGACCATACTGAATTTGCAGAGGCATTGTAGTCGGTGACGAAGAAAGTAGCTGAAATTGATAACAATATAACTAAAAGCTCATTTTGGAATAACACTAACAATAAAAAAATATCAAATGAAGAAGTAAAGATCAGTAAGAATATTGTTTAACCGATTATATTTGCTCAACTCTCGGAACCACTGTGGTTACAAATTCATTGTGAATTAGTATTTTTATTGACAACCAAAAATTCTAAAAGCATGTTCCCAAATTAACCAGGTGAGCTACATGAATCTCATTTCCCTTGAAACTGAGCAGCACAAGGTTGAAAAAAGGGTCCCAGGAAAATAAATAGCCCAATTTACCTGACGAATAAAAACATTATTTAACAGTTTCCCTGCAAGACTAGATGCATTGGATTTACAAGAATCCATCCATTGAGCATCCTGGCAAAAGAAAAGAAAACATTACTCGACTAGAGAAAAGCATTAAATACAAACTATCCATCCCATTTGCCCAAAACAGAAATCACACATCACAGCTACAAGCTGACATAGCAATATATACAAAGACAACATTAAGGAAAACATACGTAGTCCAAACTCCAAAGAGATACAACTCTTAAATGGATCAAATATGTGCAATGTTCCAACATGCTTTACATCATGACTATATGACACACTATAACCTTCATATATTTTTGTAGCATGAGAAACTCTCATGAAACACTTCTCTGGTAAGTCACTAGCTTAGGACAAACTGTAATCAAGAAAACAATTGCACCACTCATTTGAAAAGTTACCAGTTTTCCCAAACGCTGATGCTTAAGCACTTCAGCCCCAACATCAGAACGCCTGACCTTTTGACCACGAATAAGTGCCTGAAGCTTAACAATCCTCTGCACACAGTATAAAGTGGCAACAGCCTGTCTTCTAACCAAATGACCACGAACAAACGCTTGCAGCCTTATAATGCCCTTGAGGGCTTCAAATGCCCGGCGAGCCTTCAAACATAACATACTATTAGTACAGGTAAAACCTTGACTAAAAAAGATGAGTTTTTTTTTTCAATTACAAAAACAGTTAAAGATCTAATTGAAATAAAACAAATGTAAATAATGCCAATATCTGTGATCGATAAATTTAAAAATATAAAATGTAGTACTTGCACATTCAGAAATGTATGGATAATAATGAGAATAGTAAATGATTTCATTCAATAAAAGAAATCAAATTAACATAAAAAGATGGGGTATATTATTCTGATTTCTCTTCTTAATTTCATTTTTTACAGCTATATTCACATAATTGTCATAATAGGAACATGGAACATGAAATTTCAGAAGAATAAAATAATCGCATAATTATTTTGCAAACATCAAGTAACATTGGCATACATAAGAAATGGAACGGGTTGAGAACATTACTATTTATATTTTTAGAGAACTTGAAAGCCAACATAACTGAATTTTACAAGTTACATCACCTATAAAAATCAAGCACAACAATAAAAATTAGAAAGGGCACAGCAATTACCTGATAACCCCTAAAAGCAGCTTGTGCCTTTGTAGCCGCTTGCTCAAGTCTGATTTTCTCAGAATCTTTAGGTAAACTGATATCTGTGGTTGTTTGTGCATATCCACCTTGCTTGGCTGGAGATAACAGCACCCCATCATTTGGCAAGTTGGAACCCACTCCCATTTCCAAGTCTGATTTCTCTCTTATTCCATCACCGATACTAGCAACTGGCTGTGAGATCAACGGAGGGTCCACAGCCAAATTAAATGCTAATTCCTCAGGAGAAGCTACTGCCAAATTTGGGCTTTTATATTTCTTTACATAAGAAACAGAGCATAAGTTTATTTCCTTGCATATTTCGGAACTTTATATTACAAGCATAAGTCATAAAAGGAAAAAAAAAAAACAAGCTTGATCAAGAACCAATTTACAAATATAGAACAATTAGCATTCAATATTCTCTACAAATGGCTAAACATCAAAGTGTTTCGAGCATTATTCTTTTATAAATATGAAGTTTTGAAGTGATACATCAAGAATAATAACAAACTCCTTTGGCATTGCAAAAGAAGTCACCAGTCAACTGATCTGATCGGATTACATATTTCAATCAGATTTTGTTGGACCTGAATTTAAATCCAATTAAAGAATTCCAATTTGAACATCCGTCAATTTCCTTTCACAGTCCATATCCGAACCCATGCAAAAATCGAAATCTGACCCGAAAAACCTATCCTATCCGAATAAACCAATTTGATTGAATTTAGCAAACTACATCTTTATTAAAATTCAATTCTATCAAACAATTACTGAATCTAGTCATATATTCATATATTTATATGCCTATAACTCAAATTGGATCATAATCATATTGAAAATTGGCATATGAAAATAAAAACCGTGAAATACATATAACAAATGCGATTCCGAATTTGGATAATCGATGAAAAATACCATATCCACATCTGACTAATGTGGTTCAAATTCATATCGAGTTCGAATCGAAATCCCACCCATTAACCGGCCTAGTCTCCATTGAGAACAACATTAACATTTTCATTTACAGAACCATCGAAAATTTCACTTTTTGAATATGTAAAATGCAAATAATAATCTACATCATGATGAAACCAAAGTTACACCATTGGCATCATGAACATAAGTTTACATAGCAGGGATAAAACACGCTGTGAACAACTACACAACCTTTCGATTGTTTTCAAGCAACGTTGCAAATGGCACAAATCATAAAATTGCTGTCACATGCAAAGCAACAAAAAAAAATATTTGTTTATGCACCATCATTTTCTAGCACATCTGAAGAATTGTTTTCAATAGAACATTGAATAGTCCATTCTCCATGTGTTATTGCGTTACATAACAGATCTCAGTCCCAGGACAGGGGCAGGAGTTCGAAAAGGAAATATCTTGCATGCAGATGCCAGTGCCACGCCACTTCTACACTTACGACTTCAAGACCCCCACCCAAGAGAGAACCCAGAAAATGAAGACATAGTAAAATAAGGCAATGAGAAATAGTCAAGGAAAACTGAAGAATATAAAGGGGTCCCAAAAAAAGTGATAGGTGGTTAAAGGGAAAAAAATAAACATGCACAGCATATAAGATGGTCTTCCACTTTGGAGCATTTTTTCCAAGTGTGTCAATTTGTTTATCTTTTTTATTTTTTTTATACAAGTAAAGGCAGAAAATGCATAACCATGCTGAAATGGTTGGAAAAAAAAAAAGGAAGAAAATGATGAGTTGCAGAACTTTCATTATCCTGATCTTCCCAGCAATGTACGCACAAATCAAAAGATTATGTTGGGTTCCTTGACTATTCAAAGACCAAAACTAGATATAGATGATTTGAAATTTCAAGTGTCCAACGTAAAAACAAGAAAAGAAATCAAAATAACATAAAGCCAAAAACACATGTAAATTGTCCTATTTTTTTTTAATCATCCAGCACAAGTACATGAAATTTATCCTGCCTCAAAAGAAGAATGAGGAATTCAATGGTTATACACATCTTACCGTAATCTCTCTTCCTTTTGACAGCTTAGATTTGGATGCCTTTTTCCCAAAGAGAACAGATTTGATCCATTTTCCCGGAGATCTGCCCATAGCGACAAGGCAAACGTCTACAAACTATCACTCGCAGACAACCTGCAGGATTGCAAGTAATTGAACCCCAATTCTTAAAATGCAGGTGTAATTGTTGGGATAAAAGCGCAAGGTCAATTTTTCTCAGAGAAGAAAAAAAGGTCAATAATGTCACGATATTGCTTCTGTAAGCCCAAAACGTGCTGTTGTATTTTCTTGAAGACGAAAAGCCAAATAGGTAATTTTAGTTTAGCTAAACAATCAAACAATGGCATAAGTCCATGTGAGGGAGTATAGAAACTAGAAAGTATCAAACCATGCAGGTGTAACAATCATCTAACCCCAAGAATGAACATTACACTTTACAACCTATTTCCTTGTCACCCAGCGCATTTTATACAAAAGAAGTGCTATCCATCTTTTGTGTGTGTGTGTGTGTGTGAGGGAGAGAGAGAGAGAGAGAGCTGTGGTGTGTCACAACAGGGGGCAACAATGGCAGCCTCTTTTCTGAGTCAAAGCAACTGCAAATCTTATATACTACAGCAGAGGCAGCTGCTTATTCTGAATTTTCTTCAAGGCGGTGAAATCTTTCTAGCTGAATCTTTTCCAATCAAGAAAAACACATTGGTGAATTGTCATTTTCTCATAAATGTTCAATTAAAAGTTAAAACCAAATCATAATTGGATTCTTGACTTGCTCTTTTAGCTCTTCACATCCATCTCCAAAATTTACCATAAATGTTTCTTTATATGTTTGGCACCTTGAGCTATTCCTCTATCATGATTCTCAGATCCTAGTAGACAACACTAATTGCTTTTAGATTCCTTTTCACTTTTCCCCCTTTCCTAATCTGGCAGTGATGCTAGGAAGTATGACCATTCAATTACAATGCAAAAACTAATTAACACCATAAAGCTCCCTGAATCGGAAAAAAGGTGATGAAAAAAGACATTTCGTACACAAGAAAGAAATCAAAACCCCATAATGTAGTAACCAGTGAGAAATTGAATGGGCAAATTGTGTGATGTCCCAAAACTCACATATGAAATCTCAAACTAACGTACTTTCCTTCCTGATTTAAGTGTGTATCACAACATGTGCAGTATACGGTAAGAAAAACGCCAATAAAGGCCAAAGCCTTCAAATCCAAGTTAATGGTGTATTACAGTTTCCACAGTCCTTATAGACCATACCATCTGCTTCGGTAACCTCGTCATTTTTCTTCACACTTCCTGAGTTGGTATCTATGCCATCATCAATGCAAGTAGGACTAAATCTAGAACAGCTGCCTCTCCGAAAATTGCAAAAACAGCAGTACAATTCATCACAAAACGGATACCCTTAAAAAGCGGCAAGTCTAGAAATCACATTGATACTATTATCATGCAAAGGTCCATATTTATTCCACAAGTGCAATATACGAGCAAACAAACTAGGTACGTAAATAGCCTATTTCCCACTTTCTTAAACTCTCAGGAAAAGCTTATGAACTAACCCATGAAAAGGAAAACAATAAAATGTACACCAATTATAGTGAAACCCTCCGGACCCAAAAGAAAGAAAATACCACCACCCTCCCCAAAAAAAAACTTCTTCATCTCCCTCTCTTACTCAGTGAATTTTTTTGTCATTTTTGGCCTTCAGAGGGTGGGTCTCATTGGCATTGTATCATCGAGATAAAAACAAAGTAGAACAAAAGCTTTACACCTGCATCAGGTGAAACAAAAGGCCGGCACCCACAACTACAATAGAGCAATTGAACACATTGAAAACAGAAACATCCCCGCTAAGAATGGAGCATGAACAGACCAAAATCAAACAACATATCAAAATACGGACAACCAAATAAATGTGTGATACTCACCTGAGAAATGTAACTACTTCAAAACCCATAAATCAGCCATTCCTGAAACGCACCTGAGAAATGCAACTACTTCAAAACCCATAATTTAGGTGACCTGAAGAAACTACATTAAGCAGTATGGGAGTGTATTTTTTTACCATTTGTGAGAAGACAACCTCCATTTTTACTTGCACTATGCAACCACTGCACGACACAATGCAGAGAGTCACTAAATTTGTTTCTGTTCCTTGTTTATCTCATCTAGACGGCGCCGTTTTCTTTTCCTAGGTTTTTTTTTTTTTTTGGGTCAATTTCTTTTCCTAGGTTAGAAAATTCGAGGTTTAGCTCCAATGGGCAGATTTTGCTTTCTTTTTTTTTTTTTTGGGTCGGTCAAATGGGTAGAGTTCTTGATTTGGCAAAAAAAAAAAAGAAGGTTATTAACAACTCTTGTAAATTTATATAAATGAATCCGATAATCAAAAATATGTTTGAAGTTCATAATGCAAAATTTTATTCTTTGACCGCATATATTTTAAGTTGATGTGCTATAATTTTTAAAACAATAGAAACAAATCCACTCTTCCCTCGCAGAATCTTTACATGTATTTTATGTCGAGCACCATCCAATTGCTCTTGTCAAGACCCTTGAATATGGAAATATGTTCAAGTGAGGTTGAGTTTCGACTTATGATGGACTGTACGAGTGTCGGGCAATATATATGTCCTTTTGAATTACTTGATCACCACTACATTGGCATTACCATGATATGGCAACGCTAAAAAGCCCCAACACTAGCTCCATTACTTCGTCTGTGGCAGGATGACAGGACTGCTCTAACATCAGTCTGTTAGTATCAAAGGATAGGAAGAGGTCTAGCCGATCAGTAGGATGTGCTTCAGACAGGGCACTGTTTTGGTGGTTACGTCCCAGGTAAGGATGTTGCTGTACCGTTCACTCGGAAATCAGGGAGTGCAGCATTTATGCCTGTTTAAACACACAAAAACTGGCCAAGCACCATTACGAATGCATGCTTTCCACAGCCAAACATTATAAATCTGTCATTAAACATAAGTTCAATTGAACTACAGCTAGTGATAACAAGAAATTTCCTATGTACATTTCGTAGGCAAAAAATGTAAGAGAGATAAGTAGACCTAAAATCCTTCCATACAAACAAAAGCAAACTTGTGATATAATCGTTCAAAGAGTTCACCACACAATGTTTTCACGCCAATGTTATTCAAACAGGCCATTCAAGCGTTTCGAAATTCAACATCATCCTACCACGACAAATCAGTCGGCTGTCCAACTTTGCTCAACGATCTCCCGTACTCTCCTGTTGTACTCGCGTTTGTTCTCGCTGAACATCCGTGCAGCTTCTGAATTGGCTGGAGAGTTAGGGTTTGGGTCGCAGAGCAGTGACTGACACAAGAAAATCACGGATTAGGTCAATTAAAAGTGGACCAATAATAACACAAAGGAAAATGGATTTTATACGTCTTCACTGTGTTACATTGTAATTAATGCAAAGACACGCTATCACAAACACAGGAATTCAAGATTTATGCAGCATACAGTACACAAAAAAGAAACTGGAGTTTATGATATTTACATCTTGTGCTTAGACCAATGAAAGAATCAAAAAAATCGTACAATGCTTTGGGACAACGCGTTCACATTGAACCAATGTCTCATAATTCATCAGAAATTGCACCCCCAGTGTGGAAAAAATTGATGCATCAAGTTGATGGTGGTTGGACCTTGAAATTGGAAATAACTAGGGGTAACTCGTGCCTGGAGACACGATATAACGTAAACCTAGATTCTTGAGAGGGATGTTAGTAACTGTTGAATGAGTCTATTTGAGACCATCGGATAAGCTTATTGAAATCTACCCTGTTTTATATTATAGAATTGGTCACAAATTCTCTTTTGGTGAAGGAAGGTATTTTTTAAAGAAATCATGATTTACCTGTTGAAACCAGTACTTGTGAACGGCTGAGGTTTTTTATTTCTATACTAGGGGTTATGCTCAGACAGCACCCTTTTGCAAATAGGAAGAATGAAAAAGATATGAGGGTGGGAAGGAATTAGAATAGACAAATCTAGGTGGTTAAATGTGGTAGATGAGAAATTATGTGTGGTTAAATGAAAGAAAACATGGTCTATTAGTAATAGACTTGGACTTACCTATTACTAACTACCAACAAAGGGAGAGGACACCAAACCCCATCCTCACAATTTATTAATAGTATAGATTAGAGTGACAACACGAGGCAAGAAAAATTAGAGAAAACAAGGACTACCATCATGGGATCCACAAGATCAAATGCCATGATCTGTAATCCAGCATTTTAGTTTGCTTCAATCACAGCGCAAATACTGTTTACCCCAAGATAAGAACAATTATCATTACTGCTCTCAAATTAGAAATCAAGAAAAGAAGTGAAAACAAAAAATTAGTGGTGTATTTCGGGTAATAAGTAAAAAAAAGGTTTGAAGTGTCAGATTCACAGGGACCTCTCCTAATGCAAGATTGGTCACACAAACAAGCCAATAATGCGGCAACATAAAACGTCACCCTGAAATTGGGCAAGTGAAACGCGAAAACCTAGAATGTACAGTTCAAGAATTTTGATATCACAAGATAACAAAGAAGCAGCTTCTTGTTGATTTTAATACATAACTGAGCTACTAAATAAAGTGGTCTTGCAAGAGGATCGTTAATTTTCCTCCCCAACAACTCAACACCTACATCCAAACACACAGGCACACACACATACAAGGGGACAAAGTAATTTTCAATAAAGTTGCAAATTATCAGTAAAAATACAACTGCACTTTCCACGAAATTCTGCATAACACAAAAATGATAGTTGTGCTGGATGCACCACAGCCTGAATGAATAAATAGGTAGGTCTGCAGATTCAGGTCTACCTTTGCCAGTTCTTTTTTTTTTCATATATACATACAAATTAATGCACAATAGGAATCCAAACGGAAGTAACTAGCAATTAGGAATCCAAATGGAAAATGCACAATAAAGAGGTCGCTGAGGTTAGCCAAAGACAAATATCTACAAAAAAACTACGTGAAGATCAAGGAATGCCACACCCTATCAAGGAGAGAGAAAAAATCTAGCATCCTTTCTTATTAGACACGACCATAGATTGTTTCTCACAGCCCAAAGATCAAGGCTAGCACAATCAATTGCCAAGAAGAAAAATCTCATTAACATATGCAGGTTGACTAGAAAAATAATTTTTTTTGAATTCCTGTAAGATGAGCATTTATGACCTACAAGGCAGAAGTAACCAAGGAAAATAAAAGAAAAAGGCTAACTCTTAGACATAATGGAAAAATATGGAAAGACATAGAGAGGGGGTTAGCCATTCTGAAATCAACGCATTTAAATTTAATATAAGACAGCTCAGGGTAATATCATGCATAAGTTCCAGTACTAAACCTTTCCAACTCAACACTGACCAGTTGTCATTTGCCAATTTATCATTCCTCAGATTACAGCATTCATGGTCCCACAATTTCAAGCACATACAATACAACAATTGGTAGATATTCCCATACCTGAATAGAGGTGAGAATTGCAGCCACGTCATAGATAGGACTCCACTGATTTTGCAGAATGTCCAAGCAAATGCTTCCATCAGCATAAACTGGCAAGAGGTCAAAGCAAATGAAGACTTCAGTGCCAGCAAAAGCAGAATGATCACTCAGGCACTAATTTAAGTCCATTCATAAAAGAAGGTCTATTGCAATAAGAAACATAGTAACTATGATTAAAACTCCACAGAGCACATTTATTACACTGAGAACAAGAGAGGAGTTTGAACAAGTCATATTGTCTTGAATGCAAAGTTCTTTCCCTCCAACACATAAGATAATTTGGATTTGAATGAAAAAATTTGTTAACCATACATTATGTTTCCCCTTACACTTACACCCTGTAAATCTGAATATACGAATTGTCATTGACTAAGACCAGTTTACTGCACATTACAACTAATTTTTCAAGGCAAAGCATAAAAGTGCACACAATAGTCATAAATACATGGCATTACCAGAAAATAAAAGCAGCTATGGATAAACATAAACCTACAGAAATTATGTTCAAGTTCTAGATACAGCTATGGACAGCAACATTGATAGAGAAGTTGCAAAAAATTAGGCCCAAGGAAAGGCCAAATGATAGCACTAGAAACATCATATGGATGGTAAATGAGACAAAATACATACACACAACAAATGACAGTATACTGGAAAATGTGAATCAGTGCAGATCTTGCTTTCAACTTACTGTTGGGATGGAACATTCGAGAAACAAAACGCACAGTCGGTGGCTTATTTGGATAATCCTCCGAAAACTGTAGTGTCAATTTGAACGTACCTGGTAAAATCAAAGTATCAGATATAAGGGCAAAAAGAACATAGAATACTAACTTTAGAACAATCATTAACTATGAACAATAATAAGAGTTATTAGCAGCCTGAAAGGTATGATGACCACTACTTCAAATTGCAAGTACCACGCTAGCCATGGACTCATATACCATCTCACGCAAGTTTTTTGTTGATACCCTTGGAAGATCAGCAGAGGCTAAACACAAATTTCAGCATCCATTGATCACTTAATTGAATACATTGACTTCATGCAAACACACAAGCAACAATGCATTCGTTACTTTAATATCTGTCAAACCTTTGGACTATAATTAACCTAGCTTCATGATTCATAACAATTGCTAAGAGAGTTTCCTGTTTTCCATGTCAGACAGCCAACTGAATCATGATAATAAATTAATAACATCATTCCACAAAATTCCGGGCCACGCATTCCACACGTTACAAGAAGCTGCCCTCTGAACATTCCTATCTAGGTAGTGTGGAAAGCTCTATCATCTTGCACAATGGCATCCACGAAGAGTAGCACAATCAGCCCACCATAGCTGAGATATTTAATTAGATAATGCATGCAAAGCTGATCAAGCTCCTATTAAATCAGGAACAGGTACAAAATTATCCTCACAGAAGCAAGTGAAAGTGGTAAAACCATTACAGTTCTGTCTTCCTATAGAAGCGAATGGGATTCTAAGACAAAATATTATTAATTTGTTCAGATGTTTGCATCCTCAGATTATGACAACAGCATTGCCATATACTATTGCTTAACAGTTAGACAATCAAATTAAAAGACATATCGAGGACAAGTTACTAAATGCTCTTCAATGTCTTCAGAGCAAAATTAGTTAAGAAGATTTGCATACCTCCATCCCATGGCGTGTCATCAGGACTGCAATTCAAGCATGAAAGTTTATCAGTTATTCCACTTTAGAAAGATGATCAAAGCCATATTCAAAACAAAGTGAAAGGAGGACATGTAGACATAAGTTATGTTATTCTTGACCTACCCAAATATAACGGCATTCCAAAGCATTATATTGTTGTCTTGAGGGGCACCACTGATGCCTGCAGGAGGGTCTTGTTGCAACCTCTTAAAATCCCTCATTAGCCTCTTCCTCGCAGGAGTTGACATCCTCACCGCCTATACATTTGATCAAGGAAAACAAGAAACTTCTTAGTAATTTTAAAAACCTGGACAGTACTTGGATAATTTCAAATGCTAAAAACTAGGGCTGTGGGAACTGATCAATAATACAATCCAAACTCAGACCTTCAATCAAATAAAACCTTTTTTGTTTTGACAAACAATAAGCTCAAACTTGTAATCCATGTCTAATCTTTAAGATGCCATATACAATGCACCACTGTGCCTTGTAATCAAACCAAGCAAGAAAAAATCATTTCTTGAAACTTTTTTCAATGAAGTGCAATTGAATAATTGAGCAAGAACTTCTGAACAACGCAGTTAAATATTTTACACAAACTGCCTTCAGCTCACATGAGAGTGAGGCAGTGAATGAAGAATATGCGTACACATACACATATATAAACATATCACCTACATGTATCTCCTGTTACAAAACCCTGGAACTTCTTCTGTATAGACTTTTGATGCAGTGGTAAAATGCTTAAACTAGTGATAACAAGCCCGTGGGCTCGAGGACAGCACTTTAGACAAATAACGCCAAAGACCGCTCGATGTTCTTCCAGCACCTCTAATTAACAGGGACCTGACTAGGGTAATGGTCTTTTATATATAGAACTTATTATTGTATACTGGAGTTTCTAAATCTACCATAAATAAAAGAACGCAGATCCATATAAAGTTCGCATCCTCCAATCTACCAGAGACATAAGCCGAACACCTCAAAGTTCTCACAAATCTATCAACTTTACGAATTAGGGTTTTTTACTCGATCAGAATCCAAGTAATTCAATCAAAGCAATTAAACAACCCAAAGAAAAAACCATCAAAGCAAATCAATGAAACACAAAACAATACAGAAAACGATAAAATTACACATAGGTAAAAGATGCACGATGAGTAAGCTCTCTTACTTATAAGCAAACGCGGAGAGTACAGCCTTAACAGAAAGACGCGTATATGTATGCGTGTGTTGTCAAGAGAACGAGAGAGAGAGAGAGTCGGCTTGAAGCTATCTGATGATCGATTCGATTGCTCAGACGGGGCGAATGGAGAGAGAATATCAGAGAAAGAATTCTATGGCAGCCGAGAGAGAGAGAGAGAGAGAGAGGGGTCAGCTGTCCCCAGCACTTTGTCTTGCCAACTGGTGCACTTCAATTTTGTGGCTTCTTCTGCCCAACTAGCCGGTCATTATATATTCCATTTTTATGCATTCCACCGTTTCTGTGTGTATATTAAACCACTGCGTATCCTCGCTTTTACGATGTACGCAACTTACTGCACTTTCTTTTGGGTGAATCACACTTTGCACCCCCAAAAGATTTTAAAATTATCAATTTGTACCGAATATGAACAGGTTACGACATGCACATGGGTGGTAATAGACAACCACCTCTATCCCCATAACACTTTTTTAACACGGATTCAAGTTTAGATATCTAATCTCGGGGGTTAGATTCTACTCTGGTCCACCGCCTAGGAGGATTTATAAGGGGAAAAGTAAAATTTAAGATCTACAGTTCGAAATGTAGTTTTAGGATAATTAGTTTTTGAAAATATTATATAATTCAAATGAAATCTAAAAAGTATAATTCAAATAAATATCATTCGTTGGATGAGTGATGAATGAGAGGGTCTTATTGAAAAAATTAATGAAACTCACTCGTTAAAAAGATAATATGCATTTAAATTGTAATTTTTTGAATTTTATTTGAATTATGTAACATTACTCTTAATTTTTTTCACATTTTACTCTTAATGTTATAAAATGATTGTGATGTAACCTTCAAACTAATTTCTATTGTTATTTTCGTCAAATCTCATTGTATTTAGTGTGGGGGTCACATAGTAAATTTAACAAAAATTATTATTGAAGTAGCAAGGGTAAATTAAAAATTCTGAAATCTTTTGGGTTCATCCTCCTTTTTTGGAATCTCGTGAGTAAGAAACCCATTTTCAAGAAAATAAAAATAAAAATAAAAAATTGCTTAAGCCTAATTAAGGGTAAGCGTTGGGAAAATGGAGATATTTTAAGCTTTCTTCTTATAGACTATGAATACCACACAATAACTATCTTTTTAATTTTAATTTCTTATTCATTGACAATTATATTTTCTCCTCTTCCATAGTTCTAAATCTCACATTCTTTACTAAAAATTCAATGCATCGATCTCACAATTTCATTATTGTGACATTCAGGAAACAAATAAATAAAACAAGTAAATCACACTACTCGTACCTGAAAGTTTTGGACATGAAAGTAATTATACAATCCGAGGGATCACTTGGCACCACCATCACTGTCATTGGTCGTTAATATGTAAATCTATGATGTAGTACCTCAAAACTTGAAAACGGCTATTGTCGCCAACAAGAATAAATAGTTCATACCAAATATGGCAATTTGAGCATCTTTAATAGTATATTTTTATTTTAAAAAACATATTTGACAAAAATTTAAAATAAAGAGTGATTTTTTTTTTAACAACTCTAATAAAATTCTTTATTTTATTAAAAATAGTCTTTAGTCCGCAAAATTGCTCTATTTTCTTTTACTTGTTTCCAAACCTCCACTAACAAAGTAATGCAAGACCTAACATAGACTTAAAAACTTCATTTGACAATATCTCTCGACAACTGTTTTCCTAATTTCTTCTATCCAAAATAAAAAAATGGTGGATATTTAGGATTTTTTGTTTTGTTTTTGGTTTGATCAAGATTCCTATCAGATATGCTTTTAGCTCTATTCCATTGGCAAAAGAAGAAACCACCTTTTTTCCATTGTCACTAAATAATTTATAGATTTTTTTTATTTTTTATTTTATAAAATAGCCTTCTCATACTCGTTGAAATATGGAATGGTTCTTAGTGCAATAACCTCCTCTTTACTACACAATGTGAAACATCCATTTAAATCGGAGGATATTGGTGTAATGATAAGATTATTTTATTATAATTTAAATGAGTTACGTAAATTTTTGAACGTGCACAAAATAAAATCGCATCATTTAATCATTCTCAAATCTAATGAAACTAGAATGCACTCGGCTAGAGTGGTGAAGTAATCATGGAAAGATTTCAGTTTATTCATATGGAATCTTCTAAAAGAGCTTTTACAACTGTCCTCTCCTCCACCAGATAAACAGGCCTATTGTTGCTCGTGCTGGCTTTGAATGGCCCTGGATGCCATGTGGTATCAAACTACTAGTCTTGTCCTCGTGCCAAAAGAAGGCATTGTCAAAGCTTTCAAGTGGGCATTCTAATATGCGCCTAAGTTGTAAATTAAGATGTTTTAAATTTAAATTTTAATAATTTTTTAAACTCAGATTATGAAGAATTTATCTTTCATGAATACTCTAATTCTGGTGTAGATGATTTGTCTTTGAGAAATTAGTCGAAATATGTAAGTTGACTTGAATATTCCTAACCGTTGAAAAAAAAACTAATTTACTAGAACAAAATTTAAGCTGAAATTTTGACCAATTTTCAGTACCGAAAAATTATTGATTGAAATGGAGTCGGTTACACATAAATCATGACAAATTATATCCAAGAGTAAGGAGACAGAAAATATGGTGGATGGTGCTCGGACGTGTACCCTTACCAAATCATTCAATCATACCGTTACATTATAAGCATTGTGCGTGCAGGATCTTGCACAATATAAAAAACGAGAACAGATCTCTCCTTTGGTGAACTCGAGTGAGTCAGTTGAGTGGTCAACCACGCTGCTTGAGACAGCCTGTGAGGTCCGGTGGTAACCTGGAACGGCAACGGGAGACCCTCGTGGATCGAAGGAACGATCCAGTAAGGCTGGAGAAAGGTTCCTAGAACAAAGAAGAACAAGTTACAAGAGCGCCAGAATATTTTTCGGCTTATCCCCTCCGACGATCAAATCAGTTTTTGAAAGGGAGAGGAAGAAGAAAGCACTGAATATATTTCGTAGTAAAGAGTTTTTGTTACATACCGTCTTGCCTTTTACGAGGAGTATTTATACTTCAAAAACTCATGATTGCTGTCAGTATTGTCAGTAGGTGATCATTAGGTACAGGCAGTGTGCGCACTGATTTTGATGAAGAATGTCTTCTCTTCTTTAACTGCTCGGAGTCCCGAGCAATCAATGCTGTGTCATCGGGCTGCCGACTGTAGAATGAGCTCCACTCGGGGATGATGCAATAAATGCTCAGCCTTAGAGACATTTATTGTCTTTCAATTCCGAGCCTTACCGCATTGAATGCGGTCTCATCAAGGGAATGGTGTAATTAAATGTTTGTTTTCCCAAGTCGCGTGTCAGTAAGGGCATGCGGTCTTTCTGTCTCTGATGTGACACAATTTGCCACGCGTCCATCCCTCATTGGCTGTGGACCCTGCCTTCCTGTGCCTTCTGACACCAATTGTGTGAGACGAGACCATGATAGCTAACCTAAACTAGCCTAGGCTAATGACCTGTACATCAACAGCTTATACTGGAGCAGAGAAAAGGCATCCTGGACGGGGATACATCTCGGTACCGAGGATAGGTACATCTCGAGCCGAGGGGGAGCTGTACATGACGACCGAGGTACCATATCAGACCGAGGGACACGTGTCGGTTCGTAAAACGTACTTAACCATGTGTCAAGTACCTCGGGGGCGAGGGAGTTGTAAGCCAATGGTACGTGATCTCAGTAACAGGATTTTTAGTGACGCCGAGGACACGTGTCTTCATCTTAGAGTATTTCAGAAAAGTCTCATCAAGCATGAAAGTAAATTCAAAGTCTCAACTTGAATAATAAGATTTAAGTAGTAAATACAAGTCTTAAATTTGTTTCTCGCCCAACATGTGATTATTGTGCGCATCTCAAATTTATGTCGTAATTTCGAGCACAATGAAGATATACTTGATATAGTTTTGCCATTCTTCGGTAGAGGGTGCAAGTTTCGCCTTTCTTTCGTAGTCTTGAGTTTGAATCCTTCTGTTGTAGTGGTTCCTCTGAAGTCTGAACTTGAATGTTCAACTTGCCTTTCGGAGGTGCTATGATGACTAGTTCAACTATCTCAAGTTAATAGTTATAACTAAAATCGAATATTCTATGATAAGTGAAAACTTCAAGTTAATATTCTGGAATTGTTATAGCCGGTCATCTGTGACCACTTTTTTAACCGATAGTTAAAAAAATAACTTTGCCATTTAAAAAAATTCAAAAAGATAAGTAAATGTTTTTTTGGGGAGAATTAAACTTAAATTTCTTGAAGTTTGTCATTTAATCACTTAAATTTTTTCACATTTGATATATATCATACAAACTCTCTGGGTTTTATACATGTGTAACATTTGGGACTGTTTGATAAATGGGACTAGGGGGACTTTGAAAGATAGGTTAGTGAAAAATAATTCAAATGACACACAAAATTCATATTTTGCCAAAAATTTGAAATCTGTGTTACCAAGCTCAGCCCGCTATTGATCTGAACTTTAAACCTCAAATCATAAGTTTCATCAAACCCAGGGGAGAGATGGGTTTCAGACGAGGGTTAATGGGTTTAGGATACAAAAAGATAATTATATCTCATACGTATACAAACATGGATTTAAATTAGATTGATGAAGGGATAAAATAGTAATTTATATACAAATATATTATTATAATAGTAATATATTCGTTAACATATCAAATATGGGTATGAACTGGATTGAATGTCAAATCTCATCTTTTTAAAAAATGGGAAAATCAATCCAAATACTTCCCAAAAATCCAACCAAATAAACCTTTAGACTCAAACTGTCAACTTCATTAGACATTTGTTAGTAGATTACACTTAAATCCTTTAAAATTTTTAAATATATAATATTTAGACTTCACAATTTTAAAATATTATACTTAGACAAAAAATACTCTAATAAAAAAAATATCAAATATTTTAAATTTTACAACCAAAATTCATATTCTATTATGTCACTTATTAAAATAAAATTAAAAATTAAAATCTATTTTTTCTTTAAAAAAATCATAATTAGTATATCATTATGCTATCTATCGAAATAAAACTAAAAAATCAAAAAAAAATGGTCAAACTGTAATAGACACAATATTTTTTATCTTTAATTGAAATAATAAGAGGTATAAATATAATATTTAAAATTTGAAAGATCTAACTGTTATACGTTTACAAACTTCAAAGAATTTGAGTATAATTTACTAACGGATATACTTACGAATATTGAAGAGGTGTAAGTGTTACATGCATATAAATTATAGGAGATTTATGTGTAATATTTGAAATATTAAGGGATTTAAGTAATTAAGTAACAAACATAATTCTCTCTTATAGGCATAAGGATTTAAGAGCAATGCTAGACAGACTTAAACATTAAACTTAAAAAAAAGAGATTTGATAATTACAATAATTGATTTTACTATAAATCACAGTATTTACGAGAATCTATTTTATATTTAATATAATAATTATCGAGCCTAAATTTTAAATCCGTGCACAAAAGTCCGGATTTAACCATTTCCCATATCTAATGAGACCGCCATTGTCAGAAAGGCCACAGTGACGTTGTCTCCTGCGGGAACAACCCATGAAGAGAGAGATAGCAAATCTAGTTGCCGATGGACTGTACAAAAAAGCTCTTTGTTTAAACTCACAACTCCACTCTTCCTCTCTCCGCCCCAACAAATTTACCTTCCCTTCTCTCCTCAAAGCTTGTGCCAAGCTCAGATTAATTCCCCAAAGTCAAATGCTTCATACCCATCTCGTAAAAACCGGGTTTCAAACAGATATATACACTGCCACAGCACTGACGGATTGTTATATGAAGCTCCACCTCTTAAATGATGCTCTCAAAGTGTTCGATGAAATTCCTGAACCGAACATGGCTTCGTTTAATGTTGCAATTTCTGGGTTTTCACGGTATGGGTTTTACAATGAAGCCTTGAGGGTCGTTAGGCTAGCTGCTATGAAGGGTTTCAGACCAGACTCGGTTAGTGTAGCTAGTCTGTTGTCTGCTTGTGAATATGTTGAAATTGGCATCCAACTACAGTGTTGGGCAATGAAGATTGGTGTCGGAAGGGATATTTATGCAGCAACGTCACTTGTGACAATGTATATGAATTTTGGAGAGTTGGTTTCGGCAACGAAGGTGTTTGAAGTGGTTCAAGATAAGAATGTGGTGTGCTACAATGCTTTTATTTCGGGGTTGTTGCAACTTGGGTCTCCACGTGCAGTCTTGGATGTGTTCAACGATATGAGGAGATCATCAGGTGAAGAACCCAATTCAGTGACATTGATTTGTATTATTTCTGCTTGTTCAGATCTCAAGTATGTTGGATTTGGTAGACAGGTTCATGGGTACATCTTCAAGGTTGAGATGAGTTTTGATACTATGGTTGGCACTGCACTAGTAGATATGTATTCCAAATGTTGTTGTTGGCAAAGGGCCTTTGATGTCTTCAAAGAAATGAATGGAAAAAGGAACTTAATTACATGGAATTCGATGATCACAGGAATGATGTTGAATACTCAGAGTGAGAATGCGGTTAAACTTTTTGGGCAGCTAGAAACTGAAGGATTGAAACCAGATTCAGCAACGTGGAATTCAATGATCAGTGGGTTTTCACATATAGGGAAAGAGCTTGAAGCTTTTATGTTCTTCAGGAAAATGCAATCTGCTGGTGTAATGCCAAGTTTGAAGTCTATCACAAGTCTTTTACCAGCTTGTTCAGCTCTGTCAGCGCTTCAAAGTGGAAGGGAGATTCACGGACATGTTGTTAGGACATATATAAGTAATGATGAATTTATCGCTACTGCACTCATTGACATGTATATGAAGTGTGGGCAATGTTCTTTGGCACACAGGGTTTTTGATAGATTTGAGATAGAGTCTGATGATCCTGCAATTTGGAATGCAATGATATCTGGTTATGGAAGAAATGGTGAGTATGAAACTGCTTTTGAAATATTTCATCGTATGGTGGAAGAGAATGTACAACCAAATTTAGCAACGTTCAGTTGCGTTCTTTCCGTGTGCAGTCACACTGGTCAAATTGACAAAGGGTGGCAAGTTTTTGGGATGATGAGTACGGATTATGGCTTAAAACCGGCTTCTGAGCATTTCAATTGCATGGTCGACCTCTTGGGTCGCTCTGGCAGGCTGGACGAAGCGCGAGGACTATTAAAAGAAATCACAGAGCCTTCTACTTCGGTTTATGCTTCTTTACTTGGTTCTTGTAAATGCTATTCAGATTCCAAACTGGGAGAAGAAATGGTCAAAAAGCTTTCAGAGTTGGAGCCAGAAAACCCAACTCCATTTGTGATTTTGTCGAACATATACGCTCAGCAGGGAAGGTGGAAGGATGTGGAAAGGGTTAGAAGGGTAATAGATGAAAGGGGATTGAGAAAACACCCTGGCTTTAGTTTGGCTGGAGTCACTTAAAAGAACTACATGTTCATAATGCACTGAAATGAAAAACTATTGATCACTCGTTCACAGAACCATATCAAGAGTTGATTACATCTCTCTGATCCCGAAGTTGATAACATATTTGAATGACAAAAGCATTAATGGTTCAACATCTCTTTTGCTGCAAATCCAATATAGTTATCAAAGAAGTTGGGAGGTTCAAAGATGAAGCAAGAAATCACATCTCTGAGTGTAATCACGCCACTGACTTCACTGTCCTCGCTGGCTACCACATAAATCCTGTGAACTGACTTGGAAGCAAGAGTATGTATCACACTACCAAGAGTTGTATCAGGTTTGCATGTTATTGGCGTGACAACCTTCTCGGTATCGTGGGTTGCGGAGGCAATGGTGTTCATGAAATCCCTCACAGTGAGCTGCCTGAAAGCATAAATGGAACATGATCACAAAATTCTCAATAATGGGAGGGCCTGTATTACTTTAGAAGGCAAAGAAGATTGTTTCAGGTGATCTATTGAATACAAGTGCAGTTCTTTACTCTAACTCTACTAACATAAGTAACTTTGTAATCAGTGATTCATTTGCTAATGAGATTGGCAACATAATCATGTTATTTTTCTTTGCTTGATGAGGAGAATCATGTGCATCAGTTCATGTAGTGATCTTCTCCACAATGCAGATCCATGAAAAGGAAATAATTGCACGGATTTGCATACACGAGAAGTTGTGTAACTGCACATCAGACCACCTGCGGCTTGAGAGTATTCAGTTTCGTTTACCTGAAATTGGAGAAGAGCTCAGGCCTGAGCAGCAAGAATCTGATATCTCTTATGCTTATGTTGCCGACAATCTTTTTCTTTGATCCCTCAACAACTGGAAGCCCACCAATTTCATTGTCTTTCATTCGTTTAAATGCTTCCAGAATTAGTTCATCGCTTTGGATGTTAATGACCTGACCAACCGGGACAGACAGAGTACTTAAACTTCATATTCAATGCCAACTGAAATAGTAGTCATCTGAAATAGTCACGAATTCTCACCTCTTCACAGGACATGAATGGAAGTCCCAACTCAGATATAGGATGTGAAGACATGCAATCAAACCAATCCCTCCCTTTGCACCCCTCAAGTCCCTGTACAACAGCAGATTGAGTTATGAAGTTCTTGATGGATGGGTTGCCGGTCTCAATGACAGGTACATTCCTCAGCCTGTATTTTGAAAGCAGCAACAAGACGCTCAACATAGAACTATCTGTTGCAACTGGAATGAAAGGCGCCCAACGGTAGGATTTGAGAATAGACCTCACCTGCAGCAAGATTGACATAATATCACATTTGCCTCAACAATAGCTAAAAAATGGGCGAGGCTGTCTTATTCTAGATTATACATCTTGTCTAGTTAAAATCTCAGCAGTGCACAACAGAGTATCTAGGGGTGAGTTTTCTGGGGAACAGCAATTACATGAAACACAAAAAGGCACTTATTTTTCGGAGAAATGACAGGCAAGCATTGCGATCTAAGGATGGATGACATTAGATCTATTCTCTCTCTTGAGCAGATTTGTTACCTCTCTCTATCGGTCTGATCTGCTACTCAAGTCTGGTTTGCTCTCTCTCGCTCTCTCTCCGTGTATGCAAGTTTAACCTACTAAGAGTGGTCCATGAATTCCCCCAAGATTTACGTTGAAATTTTTTACAAAAATCCAACCATTGACTTCTACAATTGTACCCCTAACTCTCAGCCCCTCTTCCCGCAGGGACTCTGGGGGACACCGCCTGCCTGGGGATTCTGTAAAGATGAGTATACTCTTCAAATGAGGAACCAAAATTGTTAAAAAAAAAATAGTCCTCTTTGCAAGTTCACTTACTTTAGTGGACTTAAAAGGTTCTTCTTGAAGGATAACTTTGTAGAAATCCTCTCCCAACATATCTGCTGCAGTGGGAGCATCTTTTCCCATCCCTCTATCTGCAGCCACACCACTTGCCACAGCTGCGCCAACAGCAGCAATGGCTAGCCCTGCAACCGCCACAGGACCTGTTGCACCCAGTGCTAATGCTCCCATAGCACCAGCAGCCCCTGCACCTACTCCAGCGGCCGTTGCAGAGCTGGCCAATAAGGCTGCCGCCACAAGATCTGCACTCTCCAACACCCACAGAACGATGGCCGAGTAATCTATGATTCCCAAGTACCTATCTCTCCAATCCACACTATTTGTAGCATCAGGGTTTCTCACAGGAGCCGATAGAATGTTGCACTCAGACAGAATCTTAACGGCATCACCAATGGATGTGCCTGCTAGAATTTCAATCACTACAAAAAAACGTTGCAACATGTTTTTAGTAATTATGTCACAACCATGAAAATGAAATAGTTAGTAAATACATTGTGATAATAATGAGTTTTGTCTATTACCCTTGCCTCCAGGAACTTCTGGGAATGATGAAACTGGAATCATTGCAAATGCAGCTGTCAAAGTCTCCTGCACTGAATGTGGCAATCTCTTTCTGCTCTGGACATTGTCAAAGTAAGCATCATGGCTTGCAATATTGTTACTTTCCTTTACCGCTTGTGCTTGTGCCATTTCTATACCTAACAACAATGTCATAAAAATAGCATCTCACGAATCGCAAAAGCTATCTCATTATCCACAACAAATCTAAATGAACTGGTAAATTTTGTTCTCCAACAGTCTGGCAAGACCCAATTCGGAAAATTTATTATTGAGCAATGTTATGTGCACCAAAACTTGCACCATCACTGATACAATGGCTGCAAGGGATTTGGTGCAAGTTTTGGTGCATAAAGAATTACCTTTTATTATTTATACGTTTTGGATCATTTTAATTAATACCACTAAGTAATTGCTGGGTGGGGATTTGTATTCCTGCAATATTTTTCTGGCTACATGTGTATTGATCATAATTTAAAGTCTGTAATCATCTCTGATCTTCAGGTACAAGGCAATTGTTGTCTCCCAGCAATCATCCGTCTAAGATGCAGATCAATGCTTGTGCAAACTCTGGCAATTTCTCTAAATCTGATGGGGTTAGTAGTTTTTAACATTTGAATGACGTCTTCTTCTTTAGTTATGAATCATCAGTAGAAGATTAATATCAATATCAGTTTGATGATCATAGAGTTACAATGCAAAGATGATCATAATGGATGAGATAATAAAATTGATATAATTCCAGGCAAATTTTGTCAAAAATTTATTCAACAAATATTCCAACAAAATGAATTTAACTGATAGTTACAAAAGAAAAAAATGGAAAAGATATAAAAAAGAGTACCTGTATGCTGGTGATTGGAAAAGGATCTGAAGAGTTTCTGGTTCCCCTGTTCATTTCATTCCTCTACTGGGATATTAGTTGGTTATTGCTGGTTGTGTGTATGAGCTATTATTCTGCCACGTGTAGGCATCAGCCACTTGTTGGATTATTGGCTCAACACATGTAAAGTAGAGATAGTATGGGCTCTAGGTTCTACTATCCTTTTTTTTTTTCCTCATTTAAATTCTGAATTGGTTTGACCAAGTTATCTGTCCATGCAATTTTCAAACATAGAAAGGTGTTTCGTTTTTTAAAAATAATATATCTATTATATCGTGTATTATGAAATATATATATATATATATATATATATATATATATATATATATATATGCACACACGTATACCTAAAAATATGTAAACATATAGCGTTCCAAGTGATATAAATATCAATTTAGTTCACTTATAATTTTTTGTGATGCGTGTTTCCAATGGAGATCAAAAGAGAGACAATACAATCAATTATTTCATGTCAGAGATCCAAATTTAGCTATAGTTTTGCCTGTTTGAAGTAGAAGAAAAAGAATAAGATTTAGGATAAACAAAAGAGAGTCATAGCAGAAGAAGATGGTCGTGAGCTTAGTTTGTTTGAGATAAAATATATCAAATAGATATATTTGTTCTTCTTCCTCTTCTAGCTGCACCATACACAAAATCTTGTCAAAGCATAAAAGAATTATACTCTTAAAACCTAAAAGTCTGATCTATTACTCCGACTTAATGATGGGTCAAGTGATATAATTTTAATAAAAAAAATATAGTATTTACAGTTATAACGATGTTACTAGATCATGTTAGCGATTACATTATTAGCTCAATCTTTTTTTTAATTTATAAGAAACATCATTCCATTAATAAGATTAATAGCTCGAAAATTATGTCAATTGAACTGTATCACAATTTTAAAACAAAAAAATTAATCGATTATTACAATAGTAATTTTTTTTGAATTTGTGCTCTTCTTCTTCCCTTTCATCAATATTCTTCTGTTTTTTTTTTTTTCTGTGCAGACTTGTGACGACTACTCCTTCGAGCTCTGAGCCGGTCACCATAATTCAAGATAGTTTAAGGACATGTCTTTTAAGGAATACTGGTGGCTGACCCTTAAAGAATATTAAAAGTATCAGAACTTGAGATCTTTTACTTGCAATCTTCTGCTGTATGGCTTCATGTCTATAGCCCAAAAGGGAAAATGGAAAGAGAAAAGAAAGAAAAAGGATTGATTGTTTAACAAGGTTGGCCTACAGTGCACTTGAGTCTACCGGCATAGCGAGTGAGTCTACCAGCATATGAACCAGGCTTATGTTTGATCATTTTCTGCCCTGAGGATGGACTGTCTTTCAATGGTGGCCCGGACTCCACGAAGAATGCTCCATTAATGAATTTGTCTCCCTCCGATCTCCACTGCCAGTCCTTCCACTCGCTCTCCATCGCGTAATCTCTCTTCGTCACCTGCACCAAACACCAAGAAGAACAATTTACCACAAATTTTCAGTCAAATGATTCTACAAAAGTGTATATAGACATGCACGTAAACATACTTGTACACGTTGAGTTGCGTAGGATTGCAAGTGAAGTGAACTGAATTGTTTGTGAACAACTTCTATTAGAGTTTGTTTAACCGAGCTTGAACAATGTTTTATTAAGTTTGTTAGACTTGTGAAGGTGAGCTCATTTATAAGATATTTCATGTATGTATAATATTGTTGTTCATAATTATTTGATAAATATATTCACCTATATATGATATATATGATGAATATTACATATTTTTGTATGTATATTGGAGGGACTTGAGGCAGATCAGAAGCTCCCTAAGTTAACACATGTGCAAATCTAACCATTGTGGAGCCCAGGAGACACTGAGGGAGGGAGCCAAGGAAGGATGGCTCGAAGAAGCCGAGGACAACTCTTGACACCAACATTTAATACAATTTAACTGCGCATTTATGGCGATGTAAATGACTGAAACAGGACTATAAATGAGGGGTTACATCCTCAAAGACTCAAACTGACAGTCATAAGTGCAAAATATTAATGGTTATGACGCAAAGCACAGGATCCAAGGTCTTATTCCCTGAGCGCCGAACACTCGGGGTTAGGTGTCACACTATTCAGAGGTACTTAAGTGTTCGGCGACAGTCGAAGGATCTGGGCGTGGCCCCGACGACTTATCTTGTCTCCCAGGCATTGATGGCACGTGAATCTAGGTGAAAAAAACACTCATTGCACATGGGTAAGGGCGAGGGACTTTTTATTATGATGAGATTTAAGACCTTTGACACTCATTATTAATTCAAATATAATACTCTTCAAAAAAGTGAACAAAGGTACGCAATATTGAACCAAAAATATTAGATACATTGAACTTGAGTCTTTAATCTTATACTGACTTAAGTTTTGGAAGGGATAAGTCGAGTGTTTACCTGACCTCCTTTTTTTTGACCCTATAGCTGTTGCAGGTTTACCAAGTTGAAGGTTCACCAAGTTGAAGGTTGCTATCTCAAATTGTAAGAAATCTCTCTTGCATATATATACATAAATTTAGTCAAATCCTTAACACAAGTTTGGACTCAAGTTTAAGCTCTAACACAAACTTGAGCTCAATTCATTTAATTAAATTAGTTAAGTTCAAGTTGAGTTCATTTATTCAAACGCGTTAATGCGAGTAGAGTTGAGCCTAAATTTGAACATAATATTTGATGGTCATAGCAAACTTGGCCTAAGCCCAAACAATTTTTACAAACTAAGGAGTTGAACTTGAATAGTTTGGTGTTTGATTAGTGATTTGAGACGGGACACGAAACGCCGCTCATATCAAAAAGTGACATGTGATTACGATCAATGGTCCCCTGAGTGAAAAATCAACACCGAAAATGACACCTAATGAAATGCATAGAATATGATTCTAAGTACGAATATTAAATAAGGAGTAGATCTCACTTGATACTTTATTGAAAGGAGTGACCCATATGAGCCCTCAAGTGCCCCATTTTTAATAATTTGCACCCCTGCAATGAATCTTCGGCACGACTTAATGAATGCTCGAGACAACATAATAAATGATCAACAAAAGCCATTAAATGTTAAAGAGATGTGTAATTAAAGTGAGATCCCCGAAACAAGTAATCATTCCGAGCCTAGGTCTCGAGGAGCCATTGTCTGTCTAAAACTCTAGTAATTACATGATTCGAGAACGGGGATAGCTAGCACATGATTGCCCTTGTGGGAGTGCTGTCAGGTGGACTGATTGGATCTCCCATCTCCCTTGTGAACTCTTATTGACCTGGGCATAAGAGAGAATAAACCAGACACCCCTTCGGCCCCCTTCTAAACCTTTTTTTTGGCTGTAGGTTGCTCGATTTACTTTACTATGGTGCTACTATCTCAAACCATTACATGAATTCGTCCATGCAATTTGCATTTGCAACAAGGAAAAAAAAAAAAAACACGTACATGTTTTTCTAAACTCTTACCTCCTTGAGATTAACGTCATCTGAGGCGATGAAACGGTTACCCTGGCTGATGATGGTAGGATGAGAGCTACCACCAATGGCATACATTTGCCAATGAGTGTAGTCATTGTTGACGACATGGAAGAAACCCCATCGGCACCTTGGCATCCTCTGGACCAAACCCTTTCCAAAGCGGTTGAATGCCACTGTAACTTGCATTATTGCATCTTCACCATAGCCATCGGTTGAACCCAACAACATGACCTGCATCATCCCAACAAATTAGTATTATTGATCTGATACCCGTCTCATTTTTATCTGAATTCTTATCATGTTTAGTTATGCTCGTGTTAACTTGGTTATTTAGTAGGTAAAAAATTTTATGACTCAAAACATAATTCTACATAAATTCGTATTAGTTAACAAATCGTGTTGTTTACTATCGATCGAAATTAAAAGTTCATTGGAATGATTAATAAGAATCACATTACGGCGTTATGATGGTTAAACTTGCAATTGGAGATGGTAATAGCTGTTGAGGCCATGATGGCATCAATGAGTCCATCGGAGCATTTGGACAAGGTGACATGGTCAATCCAGATATGATTCGAACCAAAGATCGAAATCCCATCACCATCGCTTTGTGTTCTCAGTCCGAGGTGGAGAACGGAATCCCTGACGATACCCCCAGTGGCCGGGAAAATGTGATGAATGCGCAAGCCGTGAATGATGACGTTTTCGACGAATTGGAGGGTAATGCTAGCCCCATAGGCAATATGGACATTGGCTCCCCTACCATCAATAGTTTTGTCACTAGTCACCAAGAGCTCTTGTTGGAGCCTAATTACCATAGCCCTATCAAAAATGATCCATAGGGGCTCCTCTTGTATCACTGCATGACGAAGGGTTCCGGGTTTTGGGTTTACAACGTCATCATCTGAGGGATCAGTAACCACGTAAAACTCTCCGTCCTTCCCACCGGTGGTGTTGTGGCCGAAGCCACGGGCGCAGTCTGCTAGACTCTTCCTGTTACTAGCCCAGTCAGCACGGCACCTCCAGCATTTGTCGATAGGGTTTGTGGCCATGCATGGACCACTGTCTTCAAGGTGCCTCCTTGTGCCATTGGAAAACTCCATAATCCTGCATGAAGAAAAATAATCAGAAAACGAAAAAGGTTTATTAGCTATGCCCTTCATTATCTATGTATAAGCTGCCATTATTTGGTGTTGGTCCATCAAACATAGTTTGGGTGCAACCAAAGATGAAAATATTTTTGGTTTCAAAGGAAACCAAACGAACGAGTAATTGAATATCGAAATTATTAAATTTTAGAGTTTTTTATAATATGTCAACGAGTTTTAGAATAAGTCTTTTTGAATATCTAGTTTAAATAGATTTTTTTATCAGTTTATGCAACAGTTGTTTAAACTAAAAAATGATTATTTATTCTAATTCAAAAAATTGATTTTATAAACTTTTCTTCTAATTTTTTGGAGTTTTGGTGTAGGTTTCACATAATTTTTTAGTTTATTATATTTATAAAATATTATTAGTGATGTAAAAAATTTTAAAATTCATATTTTAAAAACTATTATACATAATCGATATATACATGTAATTATTTATTTATTTTGACACAAAAAAACAAAAAAAAAATTTAGAAAATCACTCAAAACAGGATTTTTAATTTTTTTAGCTTTTTTAAAAAATCCTTTAATTATAATTTTTTTGCAAAATTTTTCGAACCGGAATTTTCCATCTAAAAAAATCAACTTCAATCAGACCCTATGTCTTGGTTATGGTTCAAAAGATTCTTGAACCAAATTCAAAATTGACTGTTTCCATTATATTTGTCAAATGCTTCGGAAACTTTCTCAAAACATTTATGTTTCAGAGAATCAGAGCCAACCGAAAAATTATGTAATACAATACATGGGTATGAAATTTTGATTCTTGGATCCAACCCTATTCTTTAAAAAAGAAATGGAAGGAATATTATTATTCATGAAAACTAAGAAACTCACTCCCCAACTTGTTTGTTGAAATTCTCAGCGACTTCCTCAGGGTTTGGATTATATGCCTTGAGGGAGGCCTCTAGAGCAAGCTCAGCCTTCTTTTTCAAAAAATCATCAAACTCTGCAATGTCGGCATGCAAATTTGTCACCATTGTAGTAAAGGTCAAGAAGAAGAAGAGAACAGAACCGCCATTAATAGACGCCATTGAGCTAAAATTCTCTTGTTTCTTTCTTCTCTTTCTTTGTGATCATAAAGAAGATATTTTTGCAACCCCACAGGCGAAATCGCTGGACTCGTATTGGTCTGCTGGACTTCTTATTCCAATGGATGGGTCTACTACCAATCGCTCTTACCCAACAAGTTCTATTTTTGAAACAGCCATTCTGTAATTACCGTGATTTGCTAACTTGGGGGCAGACCCAGTTGTTAGGGGAGATTAATTAATTTTATATATACAAAAAATAGAGAGAGACCAGAAGGGTGCCGTGAGAAACTTATGGCTGGAAGAGTGGTGGACCTCAGCTATTTAAAGATCTGACAGATATTAATTTAACTGAATTATAAATAAATTACCCAGGGTATAATTATTATTGAGGAATATTTTTCTTTTCAGGAATGAAAAGTTTTGAGAACAGAAAAAATAGAGTTATGCAACCAAAGGATTTTAAGCTTTTTGTGCCATCGTCTCAAATTTTAAAGTCAATAATACTGCTTCCACTTAATTTGAGAAGTTGATTCATCAAAACCTTCGGGTGCATCAAACATTGTAAAATGTGTCTGAGGTGGCTAAGCCAAGAAGTTCAAATCGATGACACATTATTAGATCAGACTATTAGGTCAGGTCGTGTTATTAAGTTTCAATATCATTACTGTTCCCTTATTGAAATACTGAATCAAACGGTACTAAACAAGAGCATCGAGTAATCTTATTTCTTATATCGAAAAATGTTACATTGTTTATGGCAACTATTATAGTAGGGCGATCAATCATGTTTATTGCATTGTAATTCAAGTATGCAAGTACAATTACAAGAAAGTACAATTACAAGAAAGGACAATTAATTTCAATTTCTTCACTTCCCACTTCTTCACTGAACATGATGATGGCTTTCGACTAACCTTTTTTCATAGGCATCTTGTTCTCAATCCTCTGTATACTGTATATAGATCCGGTAGCTGCAAGTCGACGCTAACTCCAACATCAATGTTGAATAAGTTTAGTGTTCTGTCCTCCTTAGTTCCGATTCAGTATGTAGATCGAATGGAGACATTCTTTAATTATTTTACAGCTTTAGATACAGAGAAAGTTGCTGCGATTCTTATGATGCTTCCCAGACCTTGTAATCATTTCCCTCAACGGCTAAAGACCATTTTTGGGAGTCATTCGGGGGCTCATAATACCCTGGTCCAATCTTCACTGCCACTTTTTCATCAATCATTGCCGCATAAACATCCCTTTCTGCCTTGGTTATTTGAACCTGAATTGAACATCAAAGTCGGATGAGAGAGAGAGAGCACACTATGCAGAAGTTCATAAAGCCAACAAAAGTAGTATAGGAAAATTTGATCACCATGGGATTTGAGTATTACAAAATCTTCTCGTTCTGTCTTCTTGCTCATTTCTATAGGTACTCATTGTTCATATTGGATTAGAGTAAGAGACCCTTATCCTAATAATGAAAAAGTTTGTGCAGAGCAGATAGTAGGCGGTTATCTATGTTGGATACAAAAATGTACATCAAAGCCAGGAGAGACATCCATTTGATGTATTTTTATCAAGGCCTTCTAGATTTTAATGGCATGAAACCTCATTAATCCAATATTCTATTCAGGCAGACAAGAAACATCTGTTAGATGATGATGATGATGATGTATTTGCTATCCTGGATGTTCAGTAAATTACTCTCCTTAATATGTTCAAATTTATGAGAAGTGAAAGTGGGCCCCTTCCTATTTAAGTCTGAAATGTCCCTAGAAAAAATAGCCAAGACTTGCTATAGATAAAATTTTCAGAAATTAACTCAGAAAGTGTCCTTTCCTTCTCAATCAATGCCCGAGTATTTCATACATCACCATCGAACTGATGTTCTGTGCACTGTATATGCTAGACCCCTCCTCTAGTTCAAGAGCTCCGGAGACTCAAATCCAAGATTGCAAATGAAGGTAAAATATAAGATGTCACATAAACAGCCTTTAAGTGCATGATGACAAGTGATATGCAGACGACTGATTTCAGTGTGCACTGTGCAACTTATTTTTGATGGTATTCCTTTGTCGTAAGCATGAGATGCTATATCTAATAAAAGGACTATTTTATGTGCGTGTGAGAGCTATAATAAACATTAGATAACTCAAAATAAAGTTTCTATTAATACTTACTGTACTCCGACACTGGATTTTGTTCCGGTTTCTGACAGAGATTAGTTGTGAAATTTCAGATTCATAGTGAGAGAAAATGTGATCATAGAAAACGGTCGGTGTCCCTGGATGAGTCAGGATGTACGCATACCCTTGCATCTCCTTTCCGCCTGGAAATCTCCAATGACCCTTTGGGGAGGAAGGGAATAAGAAAGTAGAGGACTTGAGAATTGTAAACAAGTAAAATCATACTTCCACAATATCAATTAACAAGAACAGCATTCTGATATTATCTGCATCCAAAGTTTAAATTTTGAAAAAGATGGATGCTTTTGTCCTTGGAGAGTAATGTTTTCAACCTTTGCCCATCTGATGTCTATGTCATTGTTGACCATGTATCCTAAGAAGGTTCAACTAAAACCATCTGGAAGTGAAGAAATTCTGAAATAAGCTACAAAGAATACCCCAGCCCAAAAGTAGTTTTACGTGGGCACAAACACACAAGGAAATGGAAAAAGAAAAAAGTTATACTAGGATGGAGTGGTTTCACACTTTCACTACAATTCTAGGGGAGGTCAATCTCAGATAATTGAATACCTTTTTCATGTGCCCAAATGGCTCAACTTCTAAACCATTCCTAAAAATCAAAGGGTTGTTAGTTCATGACTGGGCACCTTTTCAATGTAGCAAGGCAATAATGACCTTACAGGGCAGCTTCCTATTGGAGAGATGTTCCAAGTCCACAAAGCAATTACAGACTCTAATGGGGCTGGAGCATCCCCATGTTTAGCAAAACACAAGAAGAAAAACGAAAACAAGAATAAGAAGTGAATAGAATAAAAGGCTACGCATGCAGGGCAGGCCCAATGAACAGCGAGACACAGAAAGAGAAGAATAGGTGAATAACAATTCAGGTTGACCAATAGTTTAGTTAGGAAATCAAACAACTGCATTTACCTGTACTAAAGTAAGTGAGAATAAAAACTAGAAGAGACAAATAGTGATGCCTCTAGAAATTCAGAGGAGAAAGTAAAGTTATAACAAATAACAAAAGAAACTTGTATGATTAACTCTCATGACACCATAAGAACCTGATTTTAACTGGGTCCAAATCACACAATAGCAGAAGTTATTGTTACGTGTGCTCTCTCCAATTGTCTTCTGGGCAAGAAATTTCAGCTTCTTTTAATTACATGCATTTAAAACCAGAAAATGACAGGAAGAATGAATGTACGAAACAGAAGTCAAACCTGAGTAGAACCAGTATCATGATTCTCTATAAAGGTAACAGCACGAGAAGGCCACCACCCAACAACCCCTGGAGGTTTCCCTTTCTGATCTGATAACCTCCAATATTCACATCTTTCAAGTGCCTACATAAAGGACGCACTTTAGAAGCATGCCATCACATCCTCCAACACATTAAAGAAGTAAGTAAATAACAAAGACAAGACTGCAGTCCCAAAGACAAAAGGTGTGAGAGATGTGGCTAAAAAATATGCAATGAGTTCCTGGACATTAAACAGCCAGAAAGAGTGACTTATATGATCATATTAAAGAAGGAGCTGCACACAGATATAAAGGTGGAATAGACATCGATTGGTTGGGAAACTGCCATCCGGCTCTCAAGCTGAAGGACCAAAGGATGGGACACATCAGGTGACTAGGAAAGCAAAAATCCAGCCATGTTTTACAGAAAAAAAGGCACACTCTGAGGACAAGTTCATGAATTGAGCATGGCTAGATGCAAAAAAATAGTATTAGAAATAGATGTATTCAGAAACATATTGGAGACAACACCCTGGCAAATATGTGATTTCTTAAAACAGCATGACATGACAATGACAATAGATGATAAAAGTGAAAATGTATATGTAAGTTAAAAGTTGGAGATCACACCTAGTAATACAACATGAGAGAACAGGAGAACATATGTTGGTATATATCTGAAAAAGAAAGGAAAAAAACACGTGGAAAGCAGTAACATGATCCAGTTTTTATGGAAGGATGAGGGGAAGAATAAAACAGTTCTGAGTTGGGATGGTATAGAATGACATGATGGCATGGGACTGTTTAAGCAGAAATGAAACAGGTTTCCACTAAGAGTTGATATTATCAGATTCTTAGAAATTGAAAAAAGTGGAATTTTAATGTCATGTAAAGCAGACCAAAAAAACATTTAATCGATATCCATAATGTTACAAATGTCAATTAGGTTCCATCAAGTCTACATATAGTTCCTGGATCCCAATTCAACTTTTTGTTCTTATTGCAGCGTTAACATTCTATAATTATCAAACAATATAGAAATAAGGTCATTCAATGTAATCACAAAATATTATCTATAGTAGGTAGTTTTAAATTTTGTCATAAAAGATTGACACATTCAGTTCTAAAGCTGGGTAGAATCAACATGCTAATGTTAGTTTCTGCACCAAGTCCAAACACCCAGAAAGTCAAGAGAGCATCATCAGAACAAGTGCTTACAGAATGAAGAATTCCCTTTGTTGTAACATCAAATGCACCAGCAGTTCCATTCGTGGCATTAATCCAGTCAATAATTCTCTGCCGATGTGCATCTTGATTGTGGTCCATCTCACCATATGTGTAACTAAGTGAATCCCAATACTCGCCTAAAGCAAAGTAGGGCTCGCTGGCATCCAAGTAGTCCTTGACATAGCCACCCCAAAATCCCCGAACAAAGTCAAGCCTCCATCCATCATACCCAATTTCTTTCCTGCATCTCCGTATAACAAACAAAAGAAGTTGCCATTGTGAGTCACTGCTTCGTTGATGATAACAGAATGCATGCAAAGCACAGATATTTCCTTAAATTTATAAGCAATGCTTCACCCATTAGGAAAGGAAATCAAATTATCCAAAATTCTCAGAAATGAAAAAGGGTCAAGACAATAGACCTCAGCCAGTATAACCATTCTTTGAGATCCCTCCTCACGAATTCTTGTGAATGATCAATGTTTGGAGCAGCATGGAAATTATCTCCACTGCTCTTGTTCCCCCTTCCCTGCATGACAAAGATGAAATATTTTACACAGATCGGAATGAACACAAAACATAAGAGAATGTTGTTCCACAATTAGGTTACTCATATGCAGTTCAATTCAAGGGAAGACTCCGTAAATTCACAAGGTTGCTCAACTATTCAATTAGAAGAAAAATAAAGCAACAAATGTTTTCCTGGTTCAGAAAAAAAAGGCAATACACACAAGGCACTAGCCCAAAGACTCGTTTAGCCATCCTACAAGTTCTGCTGTGGCTGAGTAGGTCTCAAAACATAGAAATTGAGCAGAATATCATAACTAAGGGATCTTGCTTTGCAGAATTAATCCTTGTGGAAGGGTAAAATAAAGTCAGATATGAATTACGAACACCAAAATAAACAAACTAAAAGGTAGAGAAGCAATATTAGAAAAAAGAGAAGATAAGCTTGACAGGCACTTACAAAACAAATTGTTATTTCAGCACAGTGGTCAAAGATTTCAAAGCTTCTGCTTGTAGACAACAGATTTCTATTAAGATAACTTCATTATATCAGGAGCATTCCCTAATTCTCGCTGTTATATGACAGATACAAGTTTACCGGAAAGCATGAAATTGTGTCCTAAACTAGTCGAGTTACAAGAAAATTTGGAGTCATAGATAACATGATATCATTTTGTATAAGAATTATGTTTTTGCAGGCAACAAATAAAATTTTAGAATGGCAACTCATTATAACAGAAGGGCTATAAGCTCTATAAATTGAAGTCCATGTCTTCCAATTTCACACTGTCAATAATATATGCGGCGGCTTAGAAGCATAAAAGCTCCTCATCTGCACGCATCTCTCTAGGAGTACTCTTAAGATCATAGGGCTACCTTCTGTTGGTTCACTTGGTAGTAGAGGCACAAGGACACTAATTCTAAAACTTACTACATCTTAAGCTAATGAATAAAACTTGATAAATTCTGCTACTAATTATAAAACACCAAATTTATTCAACCTTTATTGTAATGACTAACATAGATGTAGTCACATAATAAGAATTAAGAGAGTGAAAAAAACATGAAATGGAGAACCAGTTAAATATAGACAAAAAATCACTACCCAGTTTGCTCTCTATTACTCGGGTATTGGAAGGATGGTCAGGATACAGAGCTAGCCTTTGGCATTATTGGCACAAAAAGACAACCTTCATATTCAAATCCACAACCTCACAATTGTTATCCCGACATCTTATTAATGCACCAGTAATGGCCCCAATTTGTGTATTGGCAATGTGAACTAAAAAATGTAACAATCATACATGAATTTTTTCTATCTTTTTTTTCGCGGTGGTAAAATGAAGTTCTAAATCTTGACAGTTACCCTAGGGGAAGATAGCACAAATTTCTGACACGATCTTATGATCTCCATTAGTAGCTTTCAAAAGAGATAAAAATAATCATCTATAACTGAATTTTGAAAATCTAATGGTCCTCTGACATGGGAAAAAGCTTATACCTGGAAATGTGGATCATCAGCAACGATTGCACGATCATCCCAATTTAGCCGACCACCAAAAACATTCCAAACACCATTTTGATTTTTAAATTGTGCACAGCGGTGATTTAAAACAACATCTCCAAGAACTTTGATACCAACTTCATGAAACTTACTGACAAGAACTTTCAGCTCATCAAAACTGCCATATCTGATAAATATGTCATACCAGAAGTCAATAATATTCATAAAAACTGTGTCATGAATTAGCGACTATAGTACCGAGAAAGAGCGAGAGAAATCTTAACTTAGAAATAGCAAATTCTAAAATTAAATAAGCTACAATATATGTTGCAAATGCAATGTCTTACACTTGGAAGATAAAAAAGGAGAAGGAATGTTTACATAGTACAAGCTAGATAAAGAAAAAGCAAATGACAAATATATAACGAATAATATTAGTGACTACATAGTTCATATGAAATTCGGGATGAAAACGGCTGCATCAAACCAGGGTAATTTCTATAATGCAGCTCAAAGGCTTAAGTTCAAAGTCATCTTCTGTATGCATAATATAGTCAAACTCAGCAATTAGTCTGGCCATAAGATGACAACAATGGTCAGATAATATAGAGATAAAATGATAGAGGTAAATATATACGAATAAAAGTTGAAAAAGAAAAGATAATGGAGCTCAAAGTGAGGTCTGGTGAGTAATAGAATACTGAAAAATGAAATTTAGAAATCATAGTAATTGCTCCTAAATTTAGACCACAGTGAACAACCACCACATGATGGAAATAAGCAAATCCAGAGCAAATGTCTGATTAAGAATCAAGTAAGCATAGTCCAAATTGTTCATCCAAATATGAAATTCTGAAATGATTTTTAATGTCAATTTTGAAACAAGGCATGTATAAGGTTCACAGCCTTTATGTACCTATGAGATAGTACCTGGAGTTTAAGTTATATAAATCTGTTGGCATATAGCCTTCAGGTGACACAGATTCTGTAGGCGGGGGTAACCAAACAACAGTGAAACCAAGTGAGGACAGTTTTTCAGCCTTTTCATAGAGCTCCTTGTACCATCTTCCAGATTTATTAGATTCCCAATTGAATCCCTGGCACAGAATTTCAAAACCAGAGCCTGTCCCTGAAGATATAATTACAGGGGGTTTTAACACCTCAGCTTCTAATATAGCCTCCTCTGAAAAAGTCGGAATAGAGCTTCTGAATATACTATAGGCTTCTGCAGCCAGCTTCTCAATTTCTTGAAGAATGCTCTCTTGTGCTTCTTTGCTCTGTGTGTGTCGACTAGTTTCAGAGGAAATGTCGCTAACCAAATTCCTTATTTCATTGATGATTTCCTCAGTATAAATAGAAACTGCTTGATTTCCTTCTCCACCCTCTCCAGATATTGGTGTACCAGATTCCTCTCCTTTGGAAATACCCTTTTGTCCCTGTCCTTCAGACTGAATTTGTCTAAGTTGAGTGTGCAAAAAGCTTGAATTTGAAAGGGGTATGTAGAAGTCATTTCCCATACTATTTAACCATGTGTTTTCATTTAGCTTCAGCACAAAAAGAAATCCAACAAGTTCTTCATCCAAGGTAAATAATCCCCAACTGCCATGTCCACCATCTTTCCGCTGCAAAGAAGGCACACAAGCAATCACTAAATAAGCACAACATGATATTATAATTTTTTAGGCAATGGGAGATAAAAACATAAACTGCCACAGGAGGATAGCAGAGCAATGAATATAAGTAAAACTTCTGATCGTATAGCCTTCAACCATCTGGTGCGTAGATTTTGAGGGAGGCACTCAATGTCTATATTGCATGAACGTTTATATGTATTTTCTTCTTTAACTAATTCTTTCTTGACAGTTCAAATGAGATTGTGAAATGAGGGATAACAGCTTAATGTTTCCTAGAACAATTCTAAAGCTTTTAGAAGGATCTAAGCAACCCATTGTCAAAGAATTTCCTATGAGATCTATATTTTTGCAAGCAAAACAGAGGAAAAAAAAAAAAACAAGTCTGTCCTGTACATCTCCAATGACATAACATGCCTATTACATTTGCACAATGTCCTTACAAACCAAAGAAACTCAGCTTGTTGCACTATTGCGTAATTTAATTTGCAATGCAACTTCTCCAGCGAACAAGAAAGTCGTAGTCTGTGTGAAATATTCAGTCATGTCATAAGATTTTCATATGTGACACATATCCAGCAAATCTTTTAGTTACCTTCATTTCATTAAATAAACCATCTTTCTCACTCTCAGCTTCTGCTCTTCACGCAATCTTGATCGTTTTCACAAATTGTTAATCATTTCTTGAATACTTATCCAAAAAAGAAATTAATCAGTTACAAAATTTTATCTTTTGCGGCAAAAAAAATTCTCACTATAAAGATATATTTCCTACAGAATTTGAGATAGTTCAACATACTGGCTTGAGTATGTAAGGGGGTTTAACTTTTCATTCACATTGAAGTTGATGTTTAAATTGATCAAATGCAAGAAGTCATCCCCTGATGACGATCAGGAATGTAGTCCTGCTGTCAATCCCTAGTTTTATTCTATGTAATGTGCAACCACAGATTGAGAGGACAAGCATCAACAATAACAATACAATAGATCTATTCTCAAAACTGCGAGGCTGAACAGGAAAGCATTTTTCACTTTTTACTTTCTTTTGAAATTGCTGACTTTAAATTTTCAGTTGTATGCTCTTTACTACTCGACTATAATAAACTACTTTAACTGGGCAAGTGAATATCCTCATTAAGTAGAACTTCCCTCAAGTTTGTTTAATGGTTTTTCTCAACTCCCATTTCTATCATAAAGAAATTGCAAGTCTTACAAGGTCTGTGGGTCTTGAACAACAGTGTCACCCAATATGGAAGATGTTAGCAACTACGGGCCATAATTGTTATACATGCATAGGATTTTCTTGTAATGTGCTGAAAGGAAAAGGAACTTCAACACATTTGTAGAAGCACAAATGCAAATGGAGGTACATTTATACATGTGAAATAATAAACAAGTTCATTGCCACCAATTATCCTTTGATAACATTAAAAGGTGTTGGGGAACACATCACCATGGGAGTAATCCTACAGGTATATACCTGCAACAATGTCCGCAAAGCCTTTTTCTTGAATACTGTGGTCCCAGCTGGATATGGCTCAGCAGGAATTTCCCACTTTTTACTTTCATCTTTGCAAACTCCCCAGTGAACAACCACATCTCCCGGTACATTGGTTTCTATATACACAAGATTCTTGGATGTTTGTTGACATCTCCTAACGGAAACACTTAGCAAGTTATCTACAAGAGCTTCTTTCACAATGGAACACTCTTCATAGAACCGTTCAAGGCACCTATTTTGTTGATTAGGTTCTCTTGAGTAACTACTGCTGTCTTCACCTGTAGAATGAGGTACTTCTGATTTGAGGAGCATGTTGGATAGCGGTCCCAATGCCCCTAAGATTTAAAGGAAACAATTAAGTTTCTTAGTCAGCTAATCTCCGAACTTAGGAGAGAGAATAACATCACGATGGGAAAAAAGAATAAACTAAAATAACAAGCAGATAAAGGCATAAAACTTTGCCTCTCTCATATCTTCTTAGATTCAACAGAGGGCAAAGAGCTTATTCAGTGAGCCTCTCAAACGAGATGTCTTATTTAGCAAAATAAAGCATTCGCGCATGAAATACATTGCAATTTGAAACCACATATTTCACAATCATCCACTCAATTAGCACTTTCAGAAAAATGAAGTGAACTCAGAAAGATATAAATATTCTAACATGGACCTTCCTGAAGCGTGTGATACTAGGCCAACAAATAGAAAAGAAAGGGCTGTCAATCAAACAAAAGACACAAGCTGGACAGAACTCATAGCATCAGAACACAAAATTAACAAAGGAAACACAGTATAGAGTACATCATACAACCTGGCCATATGCCAAAGCCCTTTTTAGCTCCTACCATATTGTCATCATCACGCGGGTAATCAATAAGGGGCACTTTGAAGTCTCTCCCTCTGTGCTGATACCAAGCTCCAGTTTCCTCATCCTGAACCACCAAAAACGCACCCGGGAAATAAAAAAGAAGGAACAATTCTGGTGAGAAGCTTCATAAATACCAAAGAGCCTCCATCAAACGTCAATGATGAACAAAAATGCCAAAGTGCAATTGATTCGCAGACCTTTAGGACAAAATTTATAGCTGCAATTGAACTCTTAGTATTGAAGTCAATCTTCACTTTGTGAAATGTATCTCCTTCCAATGATGTGGATGATTTTTCCAAGGGAGTCTCAATTGCATAGTCCTGAAAGGATTTTCAAAATTCACTTATATTGCAGTAATATGCACAGAAAGTGACTGGCTGCAGCAAACATAAAAACCAAAAAATTAGTAGATACCTTGATGGATATAGAACCTGGGGGTCTCATCTCAATAGGAGGTTGATCCCATTCACTGCCCATTTTGGAAGATAAAACTTTAGTCTACTACAACCCAGGAGACAATCTTACCAACCATTGAATATAACACCATGGCAAAAGAAGTGAAACAGTGAACTCCAAAATTGTCAAAACTATGTACAAAATTTGATTCACACAATGAGATTACGAAAAAGGATCATTGGTGCCAGTGTAAGTGAATTATATAGCCCTACAACAATGAGAAATCAAACTGAAGTTACAAAATACTGCTTCATGTGTTTGTTTATGCAAGTTTGTTGCAAATATCCATTTAAAATCTAGAAACATTGTCAAATAAGTAGCACCAAAATGCAAAGCAGACCTGCCAACTTCACCAACATAATGAACCCCCCAGTGAAGAATCCACTTCCCTGGAAGATTACATCCCACTGTAAGCCGCCAATCCTCCTTATCTTTCAAACTCTCTAAACCGATTGATATCTTTCCCTCTACCTAACAATTCACAACAATCAATAAAAATCCCCATTCAAGTTCAAACATACCCTTCTGCTTAGTTGCAAAGAAAGAATAGAAGCACTGACAATGAAAAAATAAAAGTGTAACAGTCAAGCTAATAAAAACAAGGAGAATAAATGCATTGAATTCAATGAAGTCCTAAAGGCATAAACTAAGGAAAATCTTAAAATTAAGAACATTGATTTCTCTCTCTCCTTTCAATCAATAAATTCCCCAAACAGATTCAAACCTAACTATATCACAAGAACTAAAGATTTAAGAAATGAAAACTTCAAGCCTCAAAGTTCTCGGCTGCTCATATTTTCCAGTAACTTAAAATCCAAACTGAATTAAATAGTTCAAACAAAACTAATAAATTCCTAAATTTTCATGCTCTTCCCTCTTGATCTAATCATCATTCATACACGTACAAAATGCACCAAAACTGACAAAATTTACAACCTTTTCAGTTCGTTTTACAGGAAATGTTTCTTCGTAAAACACATCTGCGGATTTAGAGGTTTCAACGACGGCCGTGTCGCTGACGGAGCTAGCTCTGAGAGTGATAGCGAGAGGAGGCTTATGAGGTCTGAAGTTGCAGAAGCTCTTGCCATTGGAGAGTGGCCTCAAAGTGTAATTCAAAGAAGATGGAGGGATTTTCCCGGAATTAATGCGAATTTTGGCGGTTTTCCTGTGAGAGTGGCGGAGGATAGGCTCCATTGCAACCGTCGACATGGTGTTTGATCGCCGGAAAAATATCTGGAGACTGGGCACAGAGATAGAGAAATATGGACTTTTTTTGCAGATATATACAAAGAGAGTGAGTGATGTATATTCATTTCCAATCTATTTTCTGTTAAACTTGCTTTTCTACTTTTCTGTAATTACTAATTACAACCACCCCCCTCTTCTCTCTCTTTCCCTCCACAAGGTTTCTAAAACATTGTTTTAATTTAAAAAAGTTTCAAATTTAAAACGCTTGGATTTTCAACTCGTCTCTATTATCAACTTCCTTTGTTTAGCGGAAAAATAGTAGAAAATAAAAAATAATAATTTAAAAATAATTTTCTTTCATACTTGAATTTTCTCACAAATAATGAACTTTTTTTTCTTATAAAAAATACAAGAAAAAGCAAAAAAGTTGTAATCGAAAACTAATTTCTTATTTTATCCTTATTTTTCTTAAAATATATTATTAGTTATTAATTTTTAAAAAATTTGGTATGAATTTAATTAATCATATATTTTTAACCAAAGACTTTTGTGCTGTGATTGTCTTAGAATTAGGTTTGAAACCATTTTTTAAAAAATTTTAACTTTCAATTATAATTATATTTTTTAGACCGATTTAATATAATTAAGGGTAATTTAGAGAATTATAAAAAAATTCTTATAATTTTATTTTCTTTCAAAACATAGAATGAAATTTTTTTTAAAATTTCGCTGTAAATTTTTCATTTTAACCATATGCATGCATTAAAATATAATTTTTATTTTTATTTTTTTTACTTTATTTTTTATTATTTTCACTTTCCATCATTTTTTTTTTAATAATCAAACTTACCCTTTGGGTCATGACATAAAGAATATTTATTCCATATGAATATTTTAATTTTAACATAAATAATTTTTTTTTTGAATAATACTAAATAGGCTTAAAAATTAGATTTGATAATCTCAATCATTGAATAGATAATGAGTCTCAATAAATACTGGGACGTACAATAAAATCAATTGGTGAGATTATTAAATCTATTTTTTAAGTTCATGTAACACTATTTTTTATTTTTTAGTCTATTTTTTAAATTTATCGGATCAAAGACCGAATTAATTAATCTACACATAATTAGAGAGAGAGAGAGAGAGGGGGGGGGGGGGGGTTTAAAATTTAAACATTTGTTTGTGGATGTGGTCCAAATCCAAAAGCTGTGCACTTTTTCCGGGAAAGCCATTTTAATTATAGTGGACACATATATTTACAAGAATCAGCCAATCAGATCACTTTTACCGCTTTACATATATGAAAAGGATCAACCATTACCACACACTTTAGGCCCAATCAACAATGGATACAGCAGTAAATATTATTGTTAGACTGATCAAATTAATAAACTCTGATTATGTTCAATCACCTTCGTATTTTTTTTATTATATTAAATTCAATTTGTACTATCCCTATTGAGTATAAGTCGTATATAATCGAATTCTTATTATATATAATCCAATTTATGCTAACTCATTCATATGACTAGACTTGGGCTTCATAAATTTTGATCGCTTTTTTTTGTTTAACGGTCAGATGTATTCAAACCAACTTAAGCATTTCGATTAATCTTTTTTTTCCATTCAGGTCAAAAGTAGATCATCCACACCGAAATTAAGATATTCATGAGAGATTAATTGAGGTACCAATACGTGTAAATTAGTTTAAACACATATAATCATAATACTAAGCACTAAACCTCCCCCGCTTTATTATACTCTCTGTGACAGGGCAAATGAATGCTAAAGTATAATGAGACACCAATTAATTCTCTTACTATTGACTTGCCTTGAATTTAATTTTTTTTTTTTATTTATAAAATGATCAAGTTTATTATGGCTATTCTCTCAAATTCAATTGCCGACTATAATGACCCCACCTGGATCGTGGTTTTAACCGGTCTGTAGTGTAGCTAATCAACAATGGCCCCAAATTGTACGTGCTTCCTGGTACAATTGACAACCCCTTTGATATTTTTCTCTCCACCAATGGGAACACTCCTTCAAATGGACGGACACCGTTTGCCATCCCAGCACCATATAGGATTTAAGAAGAGCTATAGTCTTATTTTCGCATATAGACAGACTATTTTTACGGCTTAGAATCTTTTTCGATTAGAGATGTTCGAACTAATTTATGCATACTTTCACTAATTCTCTCTTTAGTTCGGTCAAAAATAGGCCACTCATGTCCAAGCTAGAATATTTTTAAAAAATAAATCTCTTATAATAATCTAGATCCAATAAATTGCTATGATTTAACAAATACATTTGTTTGTATAACACATTAGAAAAGACAAAAAAAAGTTAGAGGGTATTATAGTAAATTAGCTATGCCCTACTCAAAGCCGACATCATCTCTCCAGCTTTCCGCCCAAAAGTGGACGGACCGAAAATGGTAAGCAGAAGTGATAATGTTTTCTCCCAACTTTCCTTTCAATGGTAGGCGGAAGTGATAATGTTTTTTTCCCAACTTTCCTTTCCCTCACATTTTCTTTTGAAATCAAACAATGAAAAAGTTTTTCTTCGCTCCCATATTTTACCTTCTATTTTCCATCCATTCAATTTTCACTGCACCAAACACACGGTAGAAGAAGTGTGAATTTCCTTTCCAAGTGTTTTACAAAACTAAGATTTTGAAAATTTATGTGATGTGAAGCCACCATCGTCAGTATATATGGCAACTTGAACGTGGACTAGAAAGGTTTGGAACTTTTTAGTGTCGTCTCGTGGTCCACTGGCTAATAGCCTCCAAACAAAACACCTTTTTTTGTCGTGATTAAATTTTACTGTAGCTAAAAACGTATAATATGATTAAAAAATTAATTATAAATTATAACATAAATCGACTGTGAATTTCTAAGTTCACATCGCACACCATTGCCGACAGCCTCTTACTCAAGGAAATTAGAAATTTGTTTTCCTATATGAATTTTTCAAAGTTAAACCCGGTTTTTCATATTTGATTCAACTTTGATCTAAATTTTTATGAGGCATTTTTTTTTTTTTAATCACACCACTACATGGGGAGGTTTCGAACAGTGCACCATAGAGTGGAGAGAGAGACACTTCATGATCTTTTTTTTTTTAAGGAAGTCTTCTTTAGTAGAAGTATATCTTAATCTATTATGACACTATACTTTCATATACCATACAATGCCGAGCGAGTATAATTCATTAGATTAATTCGAGATTTTTTAGGGGTGGCCTTGGTTGACCGTGGAGGAATTGAACTTCCCATTCTGTCCTTTCTCACCCAGAGAGAGAGAGAGAGAGAGAGAGAGAGAGATGTTCAACTTTTTTCAGAAAGTGAGAAATGTTCAATATTTCCAAACAGAAAATTTAAGCCATAGACTTCAGATCCCCTTAACATTACATTCTCCCCCAACTGGAAGATCCACAACAAAATGCAAAAGTGTTCACCTCTTTCTTTTGCCAGTCGTCTAAGAACAATTGAGCAGACAACATATGATTTCATGGGGAGGGAGAAGAAAAACAAACGAATCGTCAGAACGGTGGGTGGGTGGGTGAAAGAAACAGATAATTACCAGCCCACTATGGTTTACCGTTTGGTTTTGGTGATTTCTGGGGAACCTGATGGTGATATGGAGAGGCATGAGAACCATTTGATATCGAGAGGCTTCTCGGATGGTGCTGACCATTTCGCGAAAGCAGTCCAGCCTGTGTTCGAACTCCATTCTTAGCGTTTGGGCTTGACCCAACGCGGTCAGCTTGCATGGTTTGGAAGTAGTATGATGAGCTAGCCATGTCCTTGAGGCTTGGCAGAGGCTTCAAGACTTCCACAACTTCACTCATGAGAGGCCTGGCTTTAGAATCTCGGCTGAGGCAGCGGGCAGCCAACTGTGCAGCTTTTTGGGCACCTTTTATCGAAAAATGACCTTCAAGCCGAGGGTCTATCAGCCTATAAAACTTCCTCCTCTCTCCCAGATGTTGTCGTGCCCATTCCACAAGGTTGTGTTCCCCATTAGGGCGGTTTTTGTCCATTGATCTTCTACCAGTCAGCATCTCAAGTAGAACTACACCAAAGCTGTAGACATCACTCTTCGATGTAAGATGTCCTGAGACCAAAAAAGAAAGGATCAGCACACGTAGCATGGGCAATAGGTAAACCAAAGGAATAAGTCTGATTTACCCATCCAATGAGGGCGGGGGCTGGAGTATTAAAAAATGTCAAATATCAATTATATTTACCTGTCATTACATATTCTGGGGCAGCGTAACCATAGGTTCCCATTACACGAGTAGAGACATGAGTCTTATCACCCTCTGGACCATCTTTGGCAAGTCCAAAATCAGAAAGTTTGGCATTGTACTCCTGGAAAAACAGGTTATTAAAAGATGATGTATACAAGGGAAAAAATATAACTTTCCAAGTTACTGTTACATACTGCATCTAGTAAAATGTTGGATGTTTTGAAATCACGGTATATCACCGGTCTTTCTGCCTCCTCATGAAGGAAGGCAAGACCCTTTGCAGCACCAAGAGCAATTTTCATCCTGATGGACCATGGAAGAGGCAAAGACCCTGCATAGTTTTGGTTATGTATGAGAGAAAAATACAAATGATACACCAAAGGCGTCATCAATACCAGTTCAGCCACGTAACAGGCAATCCAGAGCAAAAGGTATGTTAAAATCCTACATCTGGAGTATGGTCCAGAAAGTACTCATGGGAGGAATTTATAAGTGAAAAAATGGCAGATACATACTTCTAAAGAGGTGGTTCTCCAAACTTCCCCGGGGCATGAACTCATACACTAGCAGCCTTTGATCGTCTTCAATGGAATAACCAATCAATTTAACCAAATTAGGATGAATGAGATCACCAAGAAAACTCACTTCAGCCTGCCAAATAAGACAATGCTTCAGAAGGGCAAGAACTAAATGAGAACTCAGCATTATTATAAAACTGCCAGAAGAAGAAGAAAAGAGTTCAGTGAATGGATTAAGAAAAGCATCAAACCAGCCATTCTTTGTGACCCTGAAGCCCATCATGATTGAGGGTTTTCACAGCAACCGTAAGTCCTGTGCCAGGTTTTACCGGTGCAGTTCCATTCTCTTCAATCCATCCCTTGAAAACGCATCCAAAACCCCCTTCACCCAGAAGACTCTCTGGCCTAAAATTCCTTGTTGCCAACTTAAGATCATTAAATGTGAACTTCCGGAGCCGAGAAGCAACTTTAAGTTCCTCCTCAAGTTTTGAAGTAGATGAATTACTTTCTGCATTACTTGTGGCACTTGATGAGACAACTGGAGCAACCGGTTGGTCCCTGCTGGTATCATTTGTAGACTTACTTTCTACCGACACAGAAAGGAAGCAACATACAAAAACACCGTTATGAACTGTCACAACAGGGAAAATTGAATTAAGTGGGCTTTACCTAGCTACAATGCTAAAAGGTATAAACAAATTCTAAGGGGTCACCTAAGTAAATGAACACAAGATCTAGTTCAACGAAAATAAGTACTAGAATATCACCCAATAACAGTCAGCACGGCAGAACAACACAATAACATGATTGGCCTTATATAGTTCTTTGAAACCATCATTGAAATCATCTTATAGAAGGGACTGAGTCAGACTCGCATGTTGCATGCCACACTATCACGGCAAGCCGACTGGACCGCTCGTGATGAATGCAAAGGTCAAACCTATACCTTTCTACTGCGAAGAAACATGCTACTCTAAGTGGACATCTCAACATCTCTCTAGTAGGAGGATGGGAGAGCCCAAAATAGTGACTCTACACCTTCAATCTCTCACACAATCCACGCGTTCCTGGACAAATGCCTCACATACATTGTACCACGCCCTTATTTTGCGTGTCGTGAGAATATCCCCTATAAAGGATAGCAGATAGCTTACATTTACTTAAGGATCAGCAGAGGCGTTGTGATAGCCTGACTGCCTTAGGAGGTGTACACTCCACTTCATGGAGGTTTGCTCCTGACATCACTTTACATCAAGAAACTAAAAAAATCTAATCCCACCAAAAACCACAGCCCTAGTCTGGGTACTGAGCTCTTCATCCAACCTTGGGTCGCATCACATAACGCCTCCATTTCACCAACCCATCCCAAGACTAAACCTTTGATGCAAAGACATTGTCTACAGTTCTCATATGCAAGTGCTAACCCATGTGGCCCCTGATTGCAAACCCACAAGAACAATGTTTTCTACTTCAAAAAACCAATCCGTTAATCACATGTATGGTGTACTGCCAGTTATATCAGAGATCATGTTTCCTAAAAGGATATAGAAGTCACAAAAATCAAGAAAATCAAGTTCCACACATTTTTGAGCATTTATTAGTAAATTTCACACTCGAATCTTAGCAGGCCACTTCATATTGAGAGAAAAAAAAATTTTAAAAAGGAGAGGAAATCGAAATGTCACATTTTCACAATTACTACTTCCATAGTTCCATCCCTTCTTTTTAAGTTAATATATTTAAGTTTACCACATTGAAATTTAATAAATTCTATACTCCCTCTCCCATAGTTAGGGACCTCCTTTCCCTTTGGGTGCCCCAGAAGTTTGTACATCTAATATCAAATTTGCATAAAGAAGTGACGCACCTAGGGAGAAAAAGGCGTAAATAACTGTTACCCACCCAACCAGCTGATAAAAGGTAGCATGTTCCTACCCAATTATAAGGGACTTTCTGCAATTTATTCACAATTTTTACTAAGAGCATACGTAGTGTTTCTATGGGCTATGTGGGTGCCTAGTACGTGCAGGCCAATATCAATCAATCATATTTTTTGTTATCATTTGTTCATTTTATTCTGGCACCACTAAGTTGAGTCTCTCTCCATCTCTCTCAATAAAAATTTCATTATGAAACCCAACTAATGAATGTAGGCAAAGCAAGGTATAACTGTTTTATCCAAGCAAATCAAAGGGCCTAATCAAATTTATTTAGAAATGTTCAGTTGGAACCTACTATGATCATGCTGCCACCATTAAATTCTCCTTGTGTGTGAATGTATGAGCGCACGCGCGTGACAACCACATATCTCATACCTGAACCATAGTAATAATATGACAAGAACAACATCCTAAGGTACAGTACAGAGAAATGTAACATACATATAACATACTAAACTACCAGTAATTAGAGGTCTAACAATTTCAGTAATTGATGTCAAACAATATCAACCACACAGTTTGATTCGATTCTCTAAAATTTTCCAGAGTAGGTTTTCGGTACCCATTTCATCAGTACACAAACCAAACACACTGTTGTACCCAGATGAAATAGGACTTGCAAAGAAAGTTCAATGAGTTTCTTCAATGAAACAGAAAAAAGAAAATGCAACACACTGCCATTTTCTTGTCTTCCAAAATTGTTGAGCCTCTCCCATTCATTAGACCACATAACTTACAAGTGTCCCACAGGGTCTAGGGGTTTCCACATCCCAAAACATACATTGGAATCACAAGCATCAGTAGTGTTGTTGACAGGCTCTGTGCAGTTGCAGAATATTACGTTGGATCATTTGGATCTTAAAATTCTACTCCTCAAATTTTTTTGATTTAGTATCAAGACGAACGAGAAAAAAAAAAAAATAGACATAGCCCTTTTCTGTGCACACAACCAATTCCTTCATTTCAAATTTTCCCTTATTAATTGCTTGCAGCAATCAAGCAAAATTTGAGTTAATCTTGGACAAAGTAAATAAAAATATAGATCCTATTACAACATGAAAAAAAAAATTTACCCGATTGGGATCACAGAATAAATAACAGCAACCAAAATCTATAATTATAGAAAGGCAAGAAAGAGAATGAAGGATTACCACATTGAGTACTGATGCCACTGAGAGAGCTGTCAACTTTAGATCTTGAAGAAATACAGCTGCCAATAAACCTCCACTTAATACAACACCCAGTTTCTTTCACAGCACACTCTTTATTCTTCTTCTTCTTCTTCTTATCTTTTGGTTTTCCCACATCCCAAGACTCCACTTTTAAACCATCACCACTTAATCCCATCTTCCACAAACCCTAACCTCAGACCCAGATATCATCAATAACCCCCCAAAAACCGAATTTCACCAAACACCCTTCTCTTTTCCACCCAACACCACCCCTTTTACACAACCCCAAAAAGATTTCCAACAAGTCCTTCAGTTTCAAATTTCTTTGCTCAAAAACCCACCACCAATCATGTACAATAGCTCAAAACCAGTTCATAAAATCAGTCAAAAGCATAAAAATCAAGGATATGAAGAGCAAAGAAATTTACCCAATAGGTCTTCCACTCCCAAGTATCACTCCCTCAAATACCCAGCAAAATCAGATGACCCAATTCATGAAAAAAACCGAAAAATATTACATTTGAGGCCTAAAAAAGAGTCAAAATGCCTCAGATTACATGCTTTCACCTTCAACGAAAGCTTGAAGAAACCCTTGATCAAGCACGGTACAAGCTGTATCAGATAATCTCAGTCCAAAAGTACCTAGAAACTGTCTACTCCTCAAAGATATTGAAATCTCAACAGAGGACACAGACCAATTCTACGCTTCAAAATAATATACAAATCAATTATACCTTGTGTGAATAATATTAAAAAAATAAATGAAAATTAAAAATCAACACATACTGTGAATTATCGGTTCTTACTTTTTTTTATAGAATCGAAGACTACAAAAGCAAATCAGGGCTGCCGAGGAATACGGGCAGAGGGTGTGAATTACCCCAAATACCCATCAGCCCCATGAGAGATCTGACAAGACGGAGAGAGAAAGACAAGGAATGAAGGGGTAGTTTGGGAAAGAAGGAAAGCGTAAAGAGAGAGCGGTCAGTTTTTTGCAGAGAGAAGTGGAAAATGAGTAAAGTTCGGGCAGGAGAGAAGAGAAGAGGTGGGGGGACCCACTTGTATGGTGACGTGTCCGACTTTGGTGTGCGGAAGCAAACACGCGCGTCAGTATTGATCTTGATAGTGCTGAGCTGTGCTATGCATGCATCTTCTCTAATTGAGAATTTCAATGGGTATATACCCCCTTGGAGATTTTCCTTAATTTTTTTGACAAAGCCAAATTAGCTTTTAATTATTGTTAAACAAAAATAATAAATATTTTAATGTGGTTTAATTCTTTGGAGTTCGTTTGACTGAAATCATTCTCCATTTTATTTTCCTTTTTTTTTTTTGTGATTGTCATCTGATTTTCATGGATTTGTTTTTTGAAATTAATTTTTTTTTTGTAAATGAGTTCAAATTATTGGATTTTTTTTTGGTAACAAGAAAAATCTTTGACCTACCTCCGGGAAATAGAGGCATGCTTATATCACTTAGGCTTGTGCGTCCGAATAAAACAGAAGGTAAACTCCAGGTATATGAATTGATCCCTCAATTAATTTACCAATTCAATTAGAACTTGCGTTTCAGTAAGTATTAAAATTCACACTAGAGACTTGAATACGATTTCATTTGAGAAACTGAAATTGATTTTACTAACCAAACACGTTTTTATCGCCCAAGTGATTTGCACCCTTAATATCAAAAAAATAAAACTTTCACGCGATAAGGGATAATATTAGACCAAATGCACGTTGATAAAATGTGAATTTAAAGTGTCATTGTATAGGAATTTTAATAACTCATGATACATTTTCTTTTAATTTCTTTCAAGAAAGATGATCGATCCATTGTTATTTTATATACGATTCACTATTTATATGTTTATCTTGAGAAATTTATTCTTCAACAAAAATTATACTAAAAAATATCGAATCTCAAGATCTCTTCCTAAATTAGATATATTTAACCCTCCTTAATCACTGTAATGGCGCCATATGTACGACTATGTGGAGGATAGATGTAAAACAAAGCTTTAGCATAGAAACTACTTTAAAAATGATAGTTTAGTAATGAAACTTTTATTAGGAAGTGAAAAAAAATTATACGTAATCTTAGTCCAAATACGATAATATAACATTATTATGTTTCGCCAGTCCCACCACCTACTCATTTAACATGGAGATGGAGGTACTGTTTTACAAAATAAGAGGTATGTGATCCAAATTAACAAGCAAGTGTGCTTGTAAGGTATAAAACAAATAAAAGTGCACTTGCATTTTGTTGCTTCCCCCTTTATAAGTAAAAGGATATGTACTTTTGTTTTTTTGCTAAGTAAATAAAGTGATGGGGGCAAAAGAGAGCGTCTAGAGATCATGCCAATAGATTTTTGATGGTTGGATCATAAGGTCATTGATCGTGTTCATTATTCTTCTTTAGAATAAACGTAACTAGACTATCATAGTGGTCAATCATCGATCTCTAATGTATTGGAGTTCACATTAGGGCTCGATAATTAACTGCTCTGCTAGCTTAACAAGGATCGTTTAGAGTTCGGCTCAATAGTAGCTCAACTGATAATAAAGAGAAACTGTAAATTCAGACGTCTTAAATTTGAATTTTAACATTTTTTTGAGACCAGTTCATGGGGGATTTATTCCCCATGAATACCCTTATTCAGGCATAGATGATTTGTTTTTGAACAAATCAGATCGAAAATTAATCGAGATGCGTATAAACTGATTCAGATATCCTTGACTACCGAAAAAAAAAGTGAGTTCACCGAATAAGATTATCAAATCATATCAACTCAACTCCTACAGCAAGGGGGGATAAAAGTCATCCTTTAATGAATAATCATGGAAGATAACTCATTTATTTATTCATAGACATAAAATAATCAAATTAGGACAGTTAGACTTTGAAAAACCTTCCCTTTTCACAATCTAAAATTCTCATTTTGAGTATTTTTATATATTTAATTGGTTCATCCAATTCAAAATTAAAATAATCAAATTAGGACAGATAAACTTTGAATAACCTTCCCTTTTCACAATCGAAATATCTAATTTTGAGTGTTTTTATATTAATTATTTAATTTCTCTCGTGTTTTCAATTACTGATTTGAATATTTTTGAGACAAAATTAGGATAAGAAAGAGTGTAAATTTGATGTATCAAACGATACATCTAAGTATATTAAAAAGCTACCCAATTGAGCCAATTAAGTTGCTAGTAAATTGTTTTTGAGAAAGTGTCACCCTCTTCTACTCTAGTGGTTATGAGTTTGAACATGCTTGCAATTGTGGTTCTTATGAATCAAATATTGTTAAAGGGGCTGAATGTCCAACTTGCCCTCAGTGGTGTTGTACTAAAAAGACTCGATCATCTCAAGTTAGTAGTTATGACTTAAACCAAATATTTTACAACGTGTAGGAATCTCAAGATACGTCCTGGGGGATTGTTACACCTAGTCACCCCTAACCACCTTTTTAAATGGAAAAAAAAAATCTAAGAGACTGTGTCCATACTATATATTTATACACATATTTTTAGGTTTGTTTACGATAAAAAAAATTTTAAAATTTTTGATGTCATATTATAATTTTGATGATCAACCCCAAATTGTAGGGTTTTTTTTTTTTTGGTAACAAGCGAAATTCTTAGTCTGTTTTAGGAAAGTAGAGGCGTGCTTATGTCGCTCAGATTTGTGAGTCTGAGTAGAACCGAGAGTAAACTCCAGGTGTATGAACTGATCTTTCAATCCATATACTAGTTAAATTATGACTTGAACTTTAGCGAGAATTCGAACTCACGCCAAAAACTTGAATATGACTCGTTCAATCAACTGAAGTCCATCCTACTAATCAATCACGTTTTTATGGTCTAAAAAACTTGAATATTTGACCTCAAGAAAATAAAATTTTCATAAGATAATGGGGTATTATTAGACCAAAAACATGTTGATAAAATGTGAATTTGAAGTGCCGTTTGTGTTGGAATTTTAATTAACTCTTAATATTTTTTACTTTTAATTTCTCTAAAGAATGATGATCGTTCCATTGTTATTTTATGTACGATTCACTATTTATATGTGGTATCCTGAAAAATTTTTCTTAAACAAAAATTATATGAAAAAGTATTGAATCTCGAGATCTCTTCCTAAATTAAATATATTTAACAGTACTTAACCACAGTAATGTCGCGAGACGTACGTCTATGTCGAGGATACACGTACAACAAAGGTTTAGCATAAAAATTACTTTAAACTTTTATTAGAAAGTGAGAAAAAAATATACGTAATCTTATTCCAAATACGACAATATAACATTATTATGTTTCGTGGGTCCCACCATCTACTCATTTAACATGGAGATGGAGGTACTGTTTTACAAAATAAGAGGTATGTGATCCAAATTAACAAGCAAGTGTGCTTGTAAGGTATAAAACAAATAAAAGTAGGCATGCATTTTGTTGCTTCTCTCTTTATAAGTAAAAGGATATGTACTTTTGTTTTTTTTGCTAAGTAATGAAAGTGGTAGGACAAATGAGAGCACTTAAAGATCCCTCTAATAAGTTTTTATTAGTGGGATTATGAGGTCATTGACTTTGTTTGTTACTCTTCTCTGAAACAAACCTATCTATGCTAGCATAGCAGTCAACTACTGATCTCCAATATCTTAGAGTCCATATTGAAACTCGGAAGTTAACTGTTATACTAACTTAATAAGCTTCATTTAGAGTTCGACTATTAACCTTAATTGTAGCTCAAGTGATAAAAGAGATCAACTGTAAATATAAATGACTTGAGTTTGAATTTTGATAATTTTTTGAGATCAGTTCATGAGGGATTTATCCCTTATGAATACTCTAATTTGAGCATAGATGGTCTGTTTTTGATCAAATCAAATCGAAGATTAGTCGAGATGCACATAAACTGGTCCGAACACCCTTAACTATTGAACAAAAAAAATGTAAGTTCACTAAATAAGATTATCAAATCATATTAACTCAACTCCTACATCAGGGGGAAAAAGTCATCCTTTAATGAATAATTATGGAAGATAACTAATTCGTTTATTTATTCATAGAGATAAATTAATCAAATTAGGACAGTTAGACGTTGGAAAACCTTCCCTTTTCACATTCTAAAATTCTAATTTTGAGTGTTTTTATATATTAAATTGGTTCATCCAATTCAAAATTAAAATAATCAAATTAGGGAAACTTTTTCTTTCATAATTGAATTTTCATTTAATTTCTCTTATGATTTCGATCACTGATTTAAATATTTTTGAGACAAAAAACCATTATAACTACTTATCAAAATTTCATGCACCCTCGTGGGTAAATTTTAATGTATAATTTTATGATGCGGGTGGGTGGGGATGAACTAGTATAAGAAAGAGTGTAAATTTGATATATCAAAGGAGATACTAGTTATTTGATCAAAAAAAACGAGATACTAGTTAAATTAGGACCTTAACTAGAAATGGTAGTTTAGTACATGAAACTTTTAGTAGATTAGTACATGAAACTTTCGGTAGGAAGTGAGAAAAAAATATCCATAACCTTACTCCAAATACACATACGACAATACACCATTATTATGTTTCACCGGTCCCACCATCTACTCATTTAACATGGAGATGGAGGTACTGTTTTACAAAATAAGAGGTATGTGATCCAAATTGACAAGCAAGTGTGCTTGTAAGGTATAAAACAAATAAAAGTGGGCTTGCATTTTTTTGCTTCTCTCTTTACAAGTAAAAGGATATGTACTCTTGTTTTTTTTTGCTAAGTAAATAAAGTGATGGGAGCAAAGGATAGTGCTAAAGGCCATTCCGATAGATTTTTATTAGTAGGATTATGAAGCTATTGATCGTATCTGTTATTTTTATCGAAAACGAACCTAACTAGATTAATATAACGGTCAACTATCGAATCTTAATGTGGACTCAAATACATTGGTTAACTATTATGCTAGTCTGATTAGGTTCGTTTAGAATCCAGCTATTAACTTAAATAATAGTTCAAGTGATAATAGAGGTGAACTATAAAGTCAGACATTCTGAGTTTGAATTTTGGTAATCCTTTGAAATCAGGTTATAAGAGATTTATCGATTATAAATATCTTAGTCCTGACATGAATGACTTACCTTTGATCGGATTAGAGTAGAAATTTGTCGAAGTGAACATAAATTAGTCCGAATACCCTGAACCATTAAAAAAAAAATGAGTTCACTAAATAAGATTATCAAATCATATTAACTCAATTCCTACATAAGGGAGGAAAAAAGTCATCATTTAATGATGGGCAAAATCCAGTTTACCCCATTGTGGTTTGGTCGTTGTGCACATCACCTCCTTGTGATTCAAAAATCAGCACATAGCCCCCTTGTATTTTTAGACTAAAGTGCATAGTTAACACCGTTAATGACAATGACAAAAAAACCACCTTGCCCTCCTTAAAATCAGAATAAACTTTGTCACCACATCTTCTCCAATCTCAATGCATCTTCACATACTATTCAACTCTCCACTGAATCATTGGTCATTGGCCATCACCACTAAATCACATCATGGTTACAAAAAACTAGTTTTTATTTTTCTGTGATAAAAATTAAAAAATATAAAACATGTTTGATAATTATTTTATATTAAAAAAATTATGAAAACAAAAATAAAAAACATGTTTGAGATTTTACCCAAAATTAACCACTCAACACCACTTAATCCCACCACCAGTAACCACCTAACCCCACCACAAACCCACCCTTCAAATCCTTTGCAATCCACCCACCACCAACCACCCATATCGAAAACTCACCCTCACCAACAACTAAACACCACCGAAACCCCCACCCCAAGCGCCACACCTGAAAAATCACCCAACACCCCCCCTGAAAAATCACCCAACACCACTTAATCCCACTACCAGCAACCACCTAACCCCACCATAAGCCCACCCCCCAAACCCCTTGCAATCCACCCACCACCAATCACCCATACCGAAAATCCACCACCACCAACAACAACCCAACACCACTCAAACCCCCACCCCCAATGCCACACCTGAAAAATCACCCAACACCCCCCAGAAAAATCACCCAACACTACTTAATCCCACCACCAGCAACCACCTAACCCCACCACAAATCCACCCCCCAAACCCCTTGCAATCCATCCACCACCAACCACCCATACCGAAAACCCACCCACACCAACAACAACCCAACACCACCGAAACTCTCACCCCCAATGTCACACCTGAAACTCATCCCTAACCCCCTGAAACCCACCCAACACTCTTTGAAAACCCACCCCAAACCCCTTGCAATCCACCCACCACCAAACAAAAAAAATCATTATCGTACTTTCAAATTTTATTTTAAGGAGAATTATATTTAGACTCCCTGAAATTTGTATATGTGCAACACTTAGACCCTTATCATCAATATTCATTAATAAATTACACTCGGATCTTTTGAAATTTATAAACATGTAATACTTAGACCTCTTAAGTTTAAAATATTATATTTAGACAAAAAATACTTCAATAAAAGATAAAATATCAAATATTTTAAATTTTAAAACCAAAATTCATGTTTTATTATGACATTTATTAAAGTAAAATCAAAAATAAAATCTAATTTTTAATAAAAAAAAAAATCATAATTGGTATACAATTATAATATCTATTGATATTTAATTTGGTCGTTTAAATGTACGTACAAATTTCAGGAGTTTAAGTATTACGCGTGTACAAACTTCAGGAGATTGTGTGTAATATTTTAAATATCAAGGAATCTAAGTGATTAAGTGATAAACTTTAAGAAGTTTGAGTGTAATTCTCCATTTATTATATTAATGAGTGTTTTTATAATCTTCACGGATCATTTTACAACAAGCAATTTTATAGTTTTTGTGAGCGTTTTACCACTTTTGTGATACTTGGGATCGATTCTAAAATGGTACAAACAATTACCACAAAAGTAATAAATGATACTAGGGTACCCATTTTTTTTCCGATACTGTAGACTTGCCCCTCATTTAATTACATCACTTATGCAAAGCATGAGACATCTCTCTCTGGAGTTGACTATATAAATTTTTAGGTCTGTTTACGATAAAAAAAATTAAAAATTTTGAGGTCATATTATAATTTTTATGATCAACCACAAATAACCTTAAAAATTATAAAAACAAATTATAAAATTTGTAATAATGATACAATATCAAAAAAAAATACTTTTCGGTCCTTTCTTTCATCTCTACTGCTGATACTGGCGTAACAGCAACATTCGACGTTCACATATTTAGAAAAAGGGATTAAAATTTCCAGTCAGCTTGAGTAGTCCAGTCAAGTTTAATCGGGTATTGGTTGAAATCTAAAACTTAAACTTCACTTGGTTCTTTTGGCATTTTATGAAAAGGTCAGACTTGAAAGTAGGAATAGGATTACCTAACCTGATCCAGTTGGCAGAAGTAGGTGTTGAAGTAGAGTTTGCCACCACTACATTCATCCCACAATGAGGTTCTATGCAATGGCTCTCTCTCTCTCTCTCTCTCTCTCTCTCTCTCTCTCTCTCTCATGGATCCCACTATTTCCACGAAGCAAGGCTTGCTTATCTAATAAAACCAACTTATTGTCTTTGATAGAACCTCTACAGGTGACAAATTGGGAGTAAATAAATGTATAGTTCAATGCGCAAAATTTCCATTTTTTTAAATGTTAGAAGAGTCAAAGATATACAGTCTTACTCATTTTGTGCAAAGACACCACTTCAATGACTCATATTTGCGATGATTCAAGTCACAATAAAACAACTTTATTGTTGTGTCAAAACCCGCACTCACAACGTCCGTGTAAATGGCAAACAAATTTCTTGTACCAATGGATTACTAATTTCATGGCAAAGAAGCATCTAAGCTACTGAGCATATATGCATGTATTGTCATAGTGCCAATTTTGACCCATTGATACAAACCTGACACAAATTCAACACAATACAATTTTAAAATTGACACGATTATTAAATACGCATCATAAATAGCATAAACTAATATTTAATACTTAGAACATACTAAATAGATTTTTTTTTACGTTGGTCTTGACGCGAACACGACATAAATAACAATGACATGACATAAACTATCAACACATGGGTCACACGACACAAATTGACACCCCTGTGGATCGCTTCCACAGACTCCTACATTAGATTTGTCAGACAAGTTTACAAAGCAGACATACTCTTAGTGCTGCTACAGAGGGTAGATAAATAGGTCGGATTAAGGTCAAATCCGTAACATATGATGCACTATGCCTAAACTTGCAGTTTAAACAGAGCAACTTCAGAAAAGTCGAGGACAAAGACTAAGCCATCAGTAGACTTTGTTTTCGGACATAGGGACTGGAATGCTTTGGTGAAAGCACTAAATTTCATTAGCAAAAAGATATTTAAAAAAGAAGATGCCTTTGAATTATAGAAAAAATGCCAACCGTCAAACAGAGAATCTGTAATGTACCTCCAACTCCGCTGAAAGTCATAATAAAAAGGTAACGATGCAAAACGGTATGATAAATAGCAGACAGTGGCACAATCAAACGGGTATAAAAACTCACCTTCCAAATAGATCAACGATAGCTTTGATGAATTTTCCACTTTTCATTCAAAATCTATGTAAGGATTGTAATTCACCATGACCAAGGGATACACTGAGGTACGAAGTAGGAACTCTTCCACACACACAAGAATAGATGATATACCACAAATGTCATATCAAATGAGGATTTATAAAAACAAGTATTAAGGTTATATTTTGAAATCAATTGACACTAAAGTTACATTCTACAACACAGAGAGAGAGAGAGAGAGAGAGAGAGAGAGAGAGAGAGAGACCAGTATTGGCTTGCACGTCTGAAAAGTATGCCACATCTATAGCCGTCTAATGTCCAAGTTTGAGTACCTTGCCATGCATGACAAGAAAGTTGAAAAACCAACTTTGGAACATCAATCCTACACAATCACAGTGGCTATGCTGGAAGTTGCATTGATCTTCAGGGAGTGCTCAGGCACATAGGCAAGGCCCGTTATGCCAGAAAGTATTCCTGAATTATTCCGAAAAAAAAAAAGAATCCATCGATAATTCAGCAAGTGTGACAACTGTGAGGGACAAACGCCTATTAAGTAAGATACCTACACTAATCTGGAGGGGTAGCATACTACTAGGCAACCCGGCCAGATGTGGTAAAATGATGCGAGAGCTAAAAAAATACTGCTAAATTGCTACTATCTCTAAATTGTAACTTCCATTTTTCAGATATTGGGTTTGAAGTTTGAACACTTTCTTTTCTTTTTTCGAACAAAGAAGTTTGAACACTTACAACAACTGCTATCAGGCAAAAATGCAACAATTTTTCTACAAAACAAATAGAAATGTCTTGAACCTGAACCATTAACGTTAGCACATGAGGTCTTCGAAGGCAATATGAGTTTAGTCAGATCATATCTATTATATGAGCAAAAAAAGTGACCATAGCTATTACATTTATATCGGTGGTAAAGGATAATGGCCTTACTAGCATAGGGTGCACAAAACTGCAATTTTAAGTATGCACACAATAGCCGCTGATAAAAAAAAGGAATTCCATAACATAGTATTTCGTTTTTGGATCAGAATTCAATCCAAATTTCTCAGAGTTATTCTAATCAGGCCCCCCTGAAGAAGCTAGATGGAGATCTGTTAATCATAACTGCAAAGGACACTATGGAGATACATTCTCTAATCCATCTTACCTAAATTTCAGGAAACTTCAAGGATTCAAGGGTATTGAGGACAGCATCCCAAGGAACGGAGTTGTACGCTTTTTCCAAGTTACAGACATGCTATGCAAATATTAAGTAAACATATCACTTGCCATTAGTCCTTTTTATATTAACCATTCTAGTGCTCCTTCTCTGTACATGAGAAACGGAGAAACCTACTTTCTGTCTACGTGAACACCTTGTATCACTGCCACCACATGATCAGGCAAGTCTGTAGACCCTACCACACGGTAAAACACCAATATAATGTCCAGTTCATCAGAAGGACAATATTAGGAACATATTTCAATATTTATAGATTCTGTTATCGGTGCAAGTATAAATTTTTCACTAGCAACCACAACTACCCCCACCAATCCCATCCCCAAGGCACGCAAAATAAGAAGGCCAGATCTTGATAATGCTTCTTCCAACAAGTTATACTCGTCTTGAAAACTATAAAACCACACAGCACACAACAGATCAAAATACAGAAATGAGGGGATAAGTACCTTTCTTTCTAACATCAATCTGTAAAGAATCAAGTGTAATTATGCCATCAGTCAAAGGCAGTAGCTCGAGCTTTATGGTAGCGGTAGATTGAGAAGGAACACATCTGATGCAACCACCCAAAGTTGTAGTCATTTGTATGAATCTCAAAATCGAAGTATAGAAGAAGTAGAACAAGAGGATTGTGAAGTATTACCCCAATGGAACTCTACTTTGCAACCATAAATGCGTACAACCCAAATCACCACCTGGAAGGACATCAGAGATAGGAATGCCATGCTCATTTAAAGAAACAGATCGAGGGCCAGCATCCCCATTTGGCCCTTCATTCTCCGATAAAAGAGAGGTTGAGCTTAGCTTCTGCACAGCAGCACCTCGTCTATCACTGCTCACTCTCCCTGTAAACTCAGAAGAATCAACAATCGGGCTCATAGATGAGGAGGGTGAAGAACTCAAGGAAACCACTGAAGGAGGAGAAGTAAGAGAGGCCGGGGCAAGAACAGTCAACATTAGATCTTCAGATGACAAGTTGGAAGCCTGAAGAGTTAACACCTAACAATTTGAACCAATTAAGACCATAGCCTACAAATTTTAAGCTAAAAACAAGCTGATGCTCAGATTCATGTGACACCTGAACAGGAAGCTGAGATAATCTTCCATTGGATCCTAGAGTTTGCCTCGACATTTCTGATGCAACAGAGATCATAAGATCCCTTGAGATTCGAGGTCTCCAGCTCGTCAGCTGCTTGAAAAACAACCTGGATTCTACATTTACCAGAGGATATATACATTAAGATCAAACTCCAGAGTTACTCTGGTATTATTCACTAACAAAAGAGTAAAGTAAATACCTGTATAGTTGCACCGACATGACACTAGCACTGCATACTGATCAGCAGGTGAAACACTTTGCTTCCCTTCAATGATGGAGGGATGATGCAAACTTGATGTTGCACTTTCAGCCTGGACATGTGATGACTGTGAACTTCTTCCACCATGGCACTTAGGACTCTTCCACACTGAAGTTGCTGGTTTGAGAATAAATGAGTGTTCTTCACCTCTCCTGCCAAAGAAACAGTCACAATAACCTACTGAGAACAAGCAGGAGCTGTGAATCCAGGCCATTTTTCCATCTACAAAGAAATCCTGATAGATATAGCTTCTCCCACTTCAGTGAACATCTATATTTACTCTAATATTATTGTGCACTCATACATGACAAGATTTACATTTATTATTTACCTCCTGTTTTAGAGACGAGTCAGGGGACAAACATAACACACTGACACAGAAATGGGGAATTAGATATTTGTTTGCCTGTAAGTGCAGTCCACAACTAATTCAAAATCGCTAATGTAATGAAAATTGACAAGAAGATAAATCTGATGGAAATTAATCAAAAGCATTAACCAACAAGTAAACCAAACAAACGTCTCACATATGATCATAGAAACTTCAGTGCACACAAGTTGTTACATTACATTTAAATTGTCATCTGCGTGGCTTTACCTTCACTGACAATATCATATACAACAAGAATTGAATAGCATGAACAGAACTCAAAATGGAAAATGCCAAGACTGGCTGTGGCCTAAATGGCCAGACCCAAAATAAAAAGATCATAATCAGAAGCATATTAATCCTGTAAGCTTTAATTTTGCACTATATTTTCAAGTATGTCATCACTGATTTTGTCCCAAATTTATACATGAATTCACATGTGTACCTTCCAACTTTCCTGGTCACAAGATAAGGTTCACTGTTCTGTTATTACCTCTTCCAAGTTTTTTCACAAGATCTAAATCATGTTTGGAGCAGGTAGAAGAAAATCCAATCAAAAGAATGAACAAATTGTTAGAGCATCTAACCCAAAACTAATTGGTAATGAGTGGAGTAGCCCCTCAAGTATATAAACCAACCTTGAATGGTCCTAATTATTCAATTTGGGATACAAGCTCTTTTTACACCCTCCTCCATATGGAATCTGGATTCGCACGTGGGGCTAACAAACAACTAGGAAATTTAAATGGGTAAAAAGACTTGGCCCATTGACCAACCAAGGTCCACCTCTGATACCATCTTAGAGCATCCAACCCAAACCAAATTGGCAATCAGTTGAGTAGCCCCTCATGTCTATAAACCAACCATGGGTATTGGGTGGTCCTAATTATTTGATGGGGAATACAAGCTGTCTTTACACAAATAATAAATTACTAGATGCGGTCCATATGTCTTACTAAAGAAAAAATAACATAACATATTTCCTCCTTCAGCTATTTACATCTTCTCCTAATCGGGAAGTCTGACAGAGTTCCAGCAAAGCTTTAATAATCTCCAAATGAGACCACTTCAAGAAAAGGGAGGAAAGAGGTTCTAATCCTTCTCAACATGATGATGCTTAGTATTAGTCAGTACTATCGAGTTCCACCACGTAATGTAAATCTGACAAATGACCAATTCCAAACCAGACTCAACCAACTCCAACTACTTGGGATGGCCTACACTTACAATGTAATGGCTTTCAATGTTTTATTGTTGGCCCACAGAAAACCCAAAGACACAAATAATCATGCATATTAACACAGAAGGTATATGCTGTTATCAGAGAGTCATAAACATAAATAAAGACACCTTGAGAAGAAGACTACCTGAGCATTAAATTTGGTAAACTGTGGCCACTTCCAGCTTCAATACAGGCTATGGGCAAAGATAGAGGTGGTCCACCTTTTGATGCCTCCTCAAAAACAATTGTTATGGCATCTAAATATAGCACTATATCTGGTGCATTTGCCGGAGAAATGTTCTGCAAAAATAAGTTAACAAGTATTTAAGAATTTATGGTCAAGACAAATTGCAAATATTCACCCAGTATCCACATTATAAAGGAACATATTTCGACATGTTGCATACAGAAACGATTCTAACGTCCAGTAACAACTCCTTCAAACTTTACTTAGTTAAAAAGCATGACCTAAACCTTTATGTGAACGCAAATAAGGTCATCTGTATTGCAGTCAGCAGAAAAAGAATGGATTTCTATAGGTTGAATGATTTCAATTTTCCTCCTCCACCTTCTTCCTGGTATATAAATGCCTTCCAATCCACAACGAACAGAAAATCTTTCCGGCTCCAATGATACACCTCGAAAAGATAGAAGCCCCTGATTCCTGCTTTTTTCACTCTTCCCAGACTTCGGAGGTGATAATCGATCCCAATCTGCTAGGTCAAAGTTTGGCCTAGAATTGGGGAGGGTAACAGATGGAGGTGGTGCAGTATTTGCAGGAAGTGAGGACATGGAATAACTTCTGAAGTGACCAAAAGGAAAAATCTGAGATCCAGATGAACCAGAAAAGTTGGACCTTGTGGAAGTGCTGCGAATGCCTGAACTTGAAGTAACTGGAGGAGGAGATAAAGGACGAGCTGGAGGGGGAACAGAATTATCCAAAGGAAGCAACCACTTCAATAGTTCTCCACAAGGGTCTTGATTTGCAGAGACCAAGTCTTCCTTGTTTGCAGAGGCAAAGTTTCTCTCATGTTTCTCAAATTGAAGAATTTCCAGGACAGGATCTGTCACAAAACTGTCATCAACATTCACCTGTAAAAGCACCTGCATCCTTCCAAACAAGAAAATGCAATGCCAATTAGTAGCCGTCTGGACAACCAGCTAAGGCTGAAAGAAATATAAACATCCAGCAAAACTTAGCATTTAGATCATGGAGTAAGCATTACAATATCAATAATACAGAGCTCATGCATTCACACTTGCATGTGCAACTAACCTTACAAGTATCGTCACTGTTTCCTATTGCACAGAGATCATGTAAAATGAATCTATGGTCTATAAAATGTTGACTTGAGGGCACATTTGCAGAAAACCAAAAGATGAAAGCAATTGTGACCAAGGGAAGTCATAAAAAGCAGTATCTTGTATGTCTGCATTTATTAAAATTTGTTCTAAACAGAGGGAAAGACAACAATCTGCCAGAGAGGAAGGATTTTAATCGCCCCAAATGAGAAGGACAAAAAAAAAGCATTGGTATACCAATGAAAAAGATCTGGTCCCAAGAATTCTCTTCATTGTGTTTAGCAACTACGAAGAAGATTCCTCGTTGCAGAAAACAAAACCTACAATACCCTATAATGTTTACTAAGGGGTTCCACACAGAGGACTGCCCCAGAAAGGAAGCCAAGGGTCTGTTTGATGAAGTGAACCAGCTAGACTCAACGTGCAAGGAGCAAATATCTAAATAATAGTTATATAAAAAGTACAAACAAAATTTTCCTATTTTTCGTCAAGATTATTTGTTTTTCACAAGCAGCCTTGACCTTAGCTGTCTCTTTTTTAATTTCTGATTTTCTTCAGAATACTTACATAGGTTAGTAGATGTATTAAGTCAATAAAGATTATTGATCGGATAAGTACAAATTTCTGTATTATTGCCAAGAGATTAGTAACATAAGCCTTTACTGATGTAATCACATGATAATATGACCCAACCTGTCATTTATTTGTAAATTGGTAAAAGAGAAACATACAGGCACACACTCATTCGTTGCATCCTAGCCATTTACAGAACGATAGTAATGAGTTTGCTGTCCGAGCGTGTGCCTATATCGTGTCATTGTGATTCCCACATCTTTCTGTGTCAATTCAAAGCAACCAGGGGCCTCATGATCCCACCAAGGCCTACCGGGATGGTCTCTAGGCACTCTCCTTTGCCCCCACCCCTTTCATAATGAGCAAAAAAAAAAAAAAAAATTCAATAAACACACCGTCAATCCCTAATATTCAACAAACATTACATTATTTTCACTCTGTATGCAACATCTCAAAACCAGACTGCAAAAACTTACATCCCACACTATTGACATGAAAATCAGTTGTCCAAGTTAGTAAATCTTCCAGTCTAAAACTTTGTGTCCCCTTCCCTCCCCCAAAAAAAAAAATCACCAAAAATAGAAGCAAAAGAAAAGATATTCACTAAATAAAGAGAAATTGGAACTATAACCATCATATAACGCTCTCACACTGAATTTAAAAATAAATATAAGTCCACAAAAGTATATCGTATACACTATTCATATAATAAATGTCTGTTTGGTATTACATGAGTTAACAAGAAATTGAATGCATAGATAGTAAATATTATTTTTTATGAAAACCCATTAATAAATTGTAAATAACTTAACCATTAAAGACATTGAATTTTTTTCTACACAGAGAGTAATACTTGTGGGTCCTACAAAAGAAGCCATCAAAATTAGCACATGTGCCAAGACAATATAAACAAATTCCATGTGCTGATACCCTCGATCAAGATTCTACAAGAGATCTATTGAGTACATACTCTTTTTCTGTAAGATAACTTTAATTTTAACTTAAAGGTAAAATACTCTTAAAACCACCTGAAGAGAATCCCAAGCACAGAGAACGGATACAAGAAACGACCCCTTTTCAAAAATAACATCCAACAGTAGAAAAGTCATTTTCCACATTAATTTATATACACAAACATATATATTTCCCAATTGCTTTATACTTGACCGCTCTTTGTATTAGTATCACTATCTCCCCTTCAACACAAAAAGGACTAGAAACTACAAGTATAAAGTAATGAACAGTTAATGATCATTTAAATCACAAATTTGCAAAAGGGGGAAAAAGGCGCTGGATATGTCAACGGGCTCGCACACTAGATGCAAGGTCTCTCTTGAAACTTAAGCTCAAACCATTGATATTGTATACCAAAGAACCAAGTAAGCAACTCTCCAGTTTATTACTATCATGGACCCTAATACATGCCTAGCATAGGCAATAAAACCATATCATCAAGCCAAACTGTAGTACACAGAGAAAATCATCTATCAGGGGAACCTAGAAATGTCATAATCCTGTGTTGTCTCACCCATGGGGGGTTCTAACAGGGATGGACTGGGTACAATTACAAACCTACCATTATATTATTTGCATACTGCATACAATGTGGCTGCCTCTCAGACTCAAAGCTGCATCACAACAATTGGCAGCCAAAGCCTCTACATTCACTAAGCTACTGCCCTGGTTGACAACAGACACCTGTATATCAACTACAAAATCAGAAATTTGTACAAGTTGAGATAAAAATGAGCAGAGTCTTATAGTGAAAAGTCCCGCACCAACTTACAGACTGACATTCAGTTACCTTTTCCATAAGTGAATATCTTCATAACCACGATATCCAGCATATGAAACAGAATGTTGAAGTACAAGTCATAAGAATATCCAGTTCCAAAACCCTAAATTACCAAAGATTGAATGTAAAACAAAAGCCACGAATTTATTAAATCTCAGGGCCACTTTTATATCAATATATTAATCAAAACCTGACAAATGTACCTCGCTGTTCTTATAAGGTACACTATGAAAAACAACCCAAGGAACATTATTGAAGTTTTTGTGGAACATACCACTATATCTCCATTTTCCAGAGAGCAACACTTTACAGCATTTCTTGCCATGCCTCCAGAGGCATTGGTATCAAAACTTCCTCTATCAACGGCTGCATTTAGAGGTGCCTTCTTCCTTGAAGTCTTCCCAGTCTCTGCACCATCTGCAGTGAAATTTTCTCCAACCACCTCAGAATATTCTGGAGGTGCTTTTGGAGCAAATCTTTTTGACCAAAGTGGCTCATCTGCTTCAGCAATGCGTGCAAAAAAATGAGAATTCCTAAAACTTCGCAACAATGTTTCAGTCTGTCTTTTGTGATCTTCCATTCTAAGAAGAGATTCGCCAGCAAAAACATCTTTCTGTGGATTAACCTTGCCTTTCAACAGGTCTTCACCATATTGGTCTATATCACCAACATCAGAGCAAAAGTCCCCTCTTCCAAAAACAGGACTAGTTTCATTCACTTCGTTTCCATTTTCTTTCTTGGTGTTTTGTCCAATCCCGTTTCTAGTCATCACTGCAGCAACTTTAAAGGGGGTGATAATTTCTGTATCATGCTTATATGCTGACAAGCATGCCAGGATATGGACTTGTTCACCTGGACAAATTAAAGAATTCAGAGATGATCAAAAGCAAAAAGACTCACAAAACTTAAAACAAACCTTATCATGTAAAAGCTGAAAAAGAACGAGAGTAAAAAGAGAACAGCTACCTGGAAAAACAAAGGATCGGTCCAGAGAGCGAAATGAAAGTATATCTGGTGCCTCACTCCAGTTATCAGGAAGTTCCTCTAAAAAAGGACATCAACCAATAAGATCATTCATGTGAAAATCTCACTCAAACCATTAACAAATTACAAAATTTATTGAAACTACCTCGAAAATAATTAAAGTATCGAAATGAAAGAAATACCATGTCTAATATCATACAATAGAATTGTATTTGTTTCCATCAATATTTTAAACCATAAACTTTATATTTATGTTAGGTTTCAAGACAACCATAGTGTTAGAAATAATATTTATATTTATATTTTAAACCATAGAGTTGGATAGCAGCATTGCATAATAAACTCCAAAGAATAGTTCAAGAAGTAACAGGGATGAACTACAAACTTCAACATGGAGGAGAAAATAGTATTTGAATCCAATTGCCCTGAAACTTTGACAAAAAGATCTAATGCATAAATTTTTGGGGTTTTTTGGGGGGTTGAGGGAGAGAAATGGCATATAACAAGGAGCATTCCAGTTTGAATTAAACATATAAATGGCTATAGGATCTCAATGCAGTAATTTTTGAGGGGTATGGGAGAGTAATGACAAATAACGAGGAGCATTCCGCTTCAAATTAAACTAAGAAATGTTTATAAGATTTTAAATTTGCTAGTACTAATAAAGTGCTTTCCTCATTGGTTTATCTGCGTTCATCCATTTTCTTCGGAGAGACACCACAAGAAATAGGATGACTCATCAGTTTTAAATCCAACAAAAATGGCAACAACATATCATTGTGATTAAGAACGGAAATATAAGTCTAGGGCAACACTCTGCTTGCCTCAAAATCAAGTTGCAAGATTGAAAACAAATAAACAACAGGGAAAAAAATTATGCATGATGCAATGATTTAAATTAAACGATCACGAAGGATGCCATAATATAGCAAGTTATTCTTTTTCAGAATTTCTGAGTCCTGCAATGTAAGATACTTAAAGTCTTGAAACCTTAACAATCTAGTTGAAGCATATAATAAGATGCCAGCACAAACAGGAGCCAAATCAAAATTTTACTCAAGTAGGAATATTATTTGAAAAAGTGGCTGGGTTGATGCCCTCTCGCTGCATTGAATTCATTAGGCACCAAAACCTTCAGCAGACAATTAGGTTAATGGTGTATAGATATTCTGAAACTACAACTTAAACATATTTTTGATTTTACAGAATTAATTATCTATTTTTCGCCATGTTTGTTCACGAATTTCAGACCGGTGACATGGATATCACAAGACGGAAATTGGGTAACAATAATACCAAAAAGGGTCAGTGATTTGGTCAAGAAACATGCACCTAAATGTATCATGTATGTATATGCACCGGTGTATATGTTCGGGTATTAGATAAAAAAGTATACAATAATTATATAAACAGACTACAATTTGATCACAGCAGTGTACTAATTAAGAGATGTGGTGAGAAATTACTGTACGGAATAGTTATGAATCCTTCATGTTCAGTAACATCCTTGTGGTTGTCTACAATGTGAGGAGTATTTTTCCCATTTGACCCTGCAAGACCTCCATTTTCATTCCCATATGCTTCACTCTCTCTGTCATGCTCTTCAATCACGGTGCCCTGCAGCAATGGATCTTCGGCTATAAGACCCTCCAAAGTTGTCGTGGGTTTCGACACATAATTTGCCTCTGCCTGAAATTCTTGAACAGATGGCTGCTCTGCAGCTGCAGTCTGACTAGACCGCAGCATCAAGAAATTCATTTCTCACCAAAACTATTTCTGAAATATAAGAATAACACATTTAATCCAATTCTGTATAAATGTATTGCTTACAAAGAAATTAAAACTGAGAAGAAAATTACTGAACTGTAGCGAGAGTGTTCCAGTTTCATCTATGTGTGCACACATATGTATATCTAGCACCTACTCTACAAAAATCAAAAGGGGATAACAATCGGGTAAAAGAGAGATCAATCGATCTAGACTTGGACTCCATTGATAACCTTTTATTCGTTTAATTGTGATAGTGAATTACATTCATATTGCATATAGTGATATCTATGGATTAAATAGATGAAATTAGAATGTGGAAATAATCGGAAAGGAGTTGAAAACTTACTTGATCGGAGATCACAGAGGAGAGTTAACAGTAGTTCGTATGGAAAGCAGTGTTGAGTCGGTTCACAGAGAGAGAGAGAGAGATCGGCCTCAAACCGGTGCTGCAATCACCGGACGGCGAACAAGAATTGTGAATAGTGTTTGGATCTACGTAAAACGAATAGCGCAGTGTGTAATCGGGTGTCAATTTGAGATTCAAAAAAGAGTTAAATCGATTTTAAAATATTGGGCTAATCGCACTTTGAACCCGGAAAAATATTGTAATTCTCAATTTATACCTTTAAAAAATTGGATTCTCTAATTTCACCTTTAATCTCATAAAATAGATGTAATATAGCCCAATTCAAGGGTGAAATTTAAGATTGAGAGTGTAATTTGAGATTGAAATAGGACTACATTGCAATCACAGGCACGTTCAGGAGGCAGAGTCAAACTCCTAATATTTAAATCTATAATTCGTTCAAGTCCAACCCTACACTGCCAGGGTGAGTTTCTGAAATGTTATCCTTACTAACTCTTTCGACACAAAAATCTCTAACTCATTTTTTTTTTTTTTGTATATAACACGAATATGCAGATAGATTACTCTACAAATTCGCTAGGGAGCATTGCCCCTCAGCATTGCACAGGCAGGGATGTCAGTGGACCGAAGTGGGGGCGGAGTGTGTAGTCTTCATTCTCACTTAAAAAACTTTATTCATCTCCGGTCCACCCCTTTTAATGGGTATAATTTTCATCTCCATCCCCGTCCGCAGGTTAATTTCTAATCTTTGTTCCCGTCCCCGCTTCTCCCGTACCCACCTAAGCCCAAGTCCAAGTAACATAATCCAAAACTTTAAATAAATCCAATATTTTTAAATAATCCAACAACATTCTAACATAGTCTAACACAACATAATATAGATTGTAAAATGTAAAATCCAAAATAATATAATATTCTATTTAAAGTGTAATTGGATCACAAAAAGAGAAACGGAACTATCAGAGAAAAAGGAAGAAAAGGAAAATAAAATTAAACTAAAAAAACGATAACACTACACTTGAAGTTTCCTAGATGAATTTTTATTATTACAATTCATATTACAGCCATAAAAGTGTTAAAAGATTAAAACTTAAAATTTTTATAATTCAATAATTCTCTCCATTTCTTAGTTCACTCTAATAGAGAAACTCAGCAACCTCCATTCACAATATTTTTACTCACAATGAAATGCAAAACTATCTTACTCTCTCTTATCTTACTTTCTTATATATATATATATATATATATATATATATATATATATATATATATATATATAACGGGTAATGGGGGCAGGGAGGGAGTAAGGATAAGTTCATCCCCGTTTTCATTCCCCGTACGAGTTTATACGGATATCCCCGTATACGTCTACCGTCCAATACGTATAGTATATTCCCAAACGAGACGGATTTGGACGAATACCAATTTTTTTTCGATACACTGTCATCCCTATGCACAACTATTTGTAGGGGACTACATCACACCTATGTCGAGGCCGAAGCTAACGTCCTACCATGTGCTTTTAGCCCTAAATAGTAGGTTTAGCTCCAACGAGTTGTCGTAGTTATGGAGATTTAAACCTAAGTATTGAGCAAAGAAATTCAAGTTCTTACTCACTAGGCCAACAACTAGTTAGTAATTATTTACATTGAATTTGTGCAAGAAAAATGGTGAAAAGAATATGTAAGAATGGTATTGTTAATTTTTGAACAAACTTTATTTGATCACTTTATCACCTTCTAGACCGGGGTGGGGGCGGAGGAAAAGGGAGTATTGTCCACCCCCATACTCACTTCAAAATATTTGTCTATCCCCGTTAGTAGAGGAAATTTTAATCTTCATCCTCGTCTCGCGGGTAAATTTTGATTCCCATCCTCGCCCATAACAATTAATTTCTATGATTTTAAGAAAAAAATCATAAAAACCTCAAATGGATCTGCAAGAATGACGAAATCTCATTATACAACAAATGGATCAAAAAAAAGAAAAAGAAAATAATTTTTTTTTGGGTAAAGACAAGAGTATGGGTAAGTGGGTGAAGTTTGTGATATTATATATATGTGATGGGCTCGACCTAAACCTGACCCAGCTTAGAGGCCTAGTGTAGAATCACATACCAAGCCCACCTCAAATATATAGACCAAGTCCACCACAAAATGGAGCAAGCTAAGACAGGTCAGCCCCACCATCTTGAGAGAGTCAGGTTAGCCATATTATGATAAGAGACTTAGTCCATAACTAATATACAAAAATATATCATTGGGACGTGCCCGTCACCAATTCTACCGGACTATCTCACTGGATACGAGAAATGTGCTTCAATCTGTTAAGAGGCGCCTATAAATTGTAAACCCCACCTATATAAGAAGTGCATCTCTCACATATCATTCATATCTGAGTATTCTCCATCTCTTGAGTAATAAAATACTCAAGTCATCCTAACCCTTCACGGTGAAGTAGGTTATCCTGATTGAACCACTTAAATTATGTTTTGTTTATGTGGACTCTCATTCTTTATTATTGCATTTAATACTTGATAGGTGGTGCAACATTAATATGTATTAATCAGTGAGCGGGAGAGTGGGTGGGGGGTTTGTGTCTTTGTAATATTATATATATATATATAGCGTGGCGGGGCGGGGTGGAGATGAGTTTCAGTCCATCCCATCACAGGTTTATACGGGTATTCTCATATACGTCCACTGTCTAATACGCATGGTCTATCTCCAATCCAAACGCGACGAATTTGGACAAATAACCCCTTTTCTCTGGTCCATTACCATCCTTATGCATCCCTACGATAATTAGACAAATGAATAATAAAGATGCTCAATTTATAGTGGTTTATCAGCTACGGAGCTCGACTAGTTTACTCTAATGAAATCTCTTTCTCCCTGAAGATTTTCTTATTATTTATGTTCCGTTTGGTATGATGAAAAAATAGAAGGATGAAAAATTAGAAGGATGGAAAGTTGGAGGGATAAATAAAATATCATGTTTGGTAAAGAAGGAAAATATGAATGATAGAAAAGTGGATGGTTTAAGTTTCCTTCCAACTCATTAAAATCAATCCCTCCAAAATCGGAAGGAAAGTAAATGAAAAGTTAATTATTTGTGTTGAGATGTATCTTATTTGTCTATATATTATGCATATATTAATTTCATATAAAAATACAATAATAGAATATGTGTGTGTGTGTCTATATATATTTTAAAATTTTTAAAAATAATTTAAAAAATATAAAATAAAAATTTTAAATTAAAAAAAATATTTTTTTCATCTTAACTAGGGGTGAAAATTTTCGACTTAACACGATGACACAACTCGAATTCAACACGAATTTTATGACACGAATTTGATTATAACTCGACACGAACTTGAAAATGGCATGAGACGTGAACAAAAAATATAAAAGACTCATATTCAGTTCAACCAGTCAAACTCAAAATTGACATCATCAACCCATTTATTTAAAATAAACACTTTTTCTATTTTCTCGTTTGCATGATAATACAAAATTAACACAAAACTAGCATGTTTAACTAGTATTATAGACTTAAAATGTTAATTACTGGTAACTATTTATTAAGCACTGACATAATTATTATATAAAAAAGATATTTTTACTTGTTATTATTATTATATTTATTTAAGTTAATTTTTGATTTGTAGAAAAAATATTAAAATATATTCAATTAAGTGAAAATAGAATATTAGCATTAAATTTTTTATTTAAAGTTTATGTGAGTCAACACAAATACGAACATGAACATGACACGAAAATAAACAGGTCAACTCGCAACTTGACACGATACAATTAGTTAAATGTGTTGAGTTAGATTTGACTAATGTTAGACACAAACCCGTAATGATTTAACACGAATCTGACACGACACGACTTGATTGTCACCCTTAATCTTAACCAGTACAAAAAAATAAAAAACAAAAATAGTCATTTTTATTTTTCACCCATCCAACCAAACACAAAAGAAAGAAAATATATCATTCTTATTTTTCTTTCTTGAAGATAGAAAATGTATTTCTCCTACTTTTCATCCTTCAAAACATTAATAAAGAAGATAAAAGTACAATACCTATTATTTGTGTATGGAGGTGTTTGGGGTTAATAATCCTCGTGGGAGGCGTAGTCTCCCATCCACTACCTCATCTTTTTCCTAAATTTGTTAGGATGACCCTTTAGTTTGTTAGAATTCCTAAGAAAATGTTGAGTTGTACAAAAACAATCTTTCGGTACGACGTGACTCATCTTCCGGAAGTTGGATGATGTGGCACAGGGGAGGCAGATGCCTAGTTTGTACGAGCTGCGTGGTTAATGCTTGCGGGCCCTCACCTGACCATCTTTCGACTGATGAATTTTGATCACCAATTGAAAAAGGTTAGCTCACATGTCCTTCGAATCAACTATAGCCAAACTCCCATGCAACTTGGAGGTTAGGCGTCCCTTCTTGCTGGTGACCTCATTTGCTACGCACAGGGACTGTGTTGTTCAAATTTGAGCTGCTATTTATGTAATTAAAATATGGTATCATCAGGTTGGGACACGATTATAGCCGATGTTGAAGTGGACATAGGTAAAAGGTTAAAATATAATTTACCTAAGAGTAAACAAAAGAATGATTTGCAAACCTAGTTTGTAAAAAGAGAAAAGATGTTCGCCTTTCTAAATCAAGTAATGGTGACCCGCCGAAAACTAGATTTTCATAATATGTTGACGAAGATATTTGAATTGAGAGTTCGGTAAGTAAAAAGGGCGACTTTGTCTCCCGAAAGAAGAGTAGCCCCGCTCTCTAGCCGATTGATCCATCCTTCACTCGCATTCAATCTGCTAAATGATTTGGTTGCCTAAACAATCAGCTCAAGACATCTTGAGGCTTAAAGCAACAAATTTAAATAATTTTTTTATATTTTCAATTAACAATTGTTTATTTTCTTTTTTGTGTCCAAATTTTGTTAACATATTCTTTTTAATCAACTATGTTGCTAATCTACTTAATCTTTCTCATTACATAATCTATCTTATTTAGGTGGTCAGTAGTTGGACAGCTATTCAAATTTAATACAAAACTTGCATATTAGTGTGTGTATTTATATAGTTATCAAATTTTGTTTGGTTGTCCGTAAATAATTGATTTATCACCTTATTCATGCGTAGATTTATTATTGAATGGTGACATTATGTGTCAATGATAACGTAATATCACCGTTACACCTAATATTTACGCGGTTAAAGGGAGTTTATGGGTAACTATTTGAGACATTTGGTAGAATATGATTAGAGGAGAGTGAATTTAATTCAAAATTAAACAAAAGGAGAGAATATTTCTTAAGTCAACTCCTTAAAAAATTAATCTAATTTATTGATATAATGATGTGATTTTATAAAAATTATTGGTTCAACACCAAATTTCAATGTTTAAAGAGATCTATAATCAATCCAAAAGTCACAATGAAGAGCAATGTTACATGAATTTAAAAAATAGATTTAAAAATTAGACTTAATAATTTTAACCATTAATTTCACTGTAGGTCCCAATATTTATTAAAATCCACTATTTATTCGATGGTTGAAATTATTAAATCTAATTTTTAACTCTATCTTTTAAGTATTTCCAGCATTCCTCGTCAACAAAATGAAAACACAGTCTTCACTTAAAAGACTACTTTGTTCCAACCCAAAAAGACCACTTTTTTTTTTCACTAGAGAAAAGACCATCTTCAACGCCATGCCATTCAAGAAACTATCTTTCCTCCTCTACTTGATTGCCATTTTCTCTCTCCACACTCACCCATCAAATCTCATCGACTGCACCACCGTTCCAGGCTGAGAACCTCTCTACCTACGCGGCTGACATCCACAATCTCGTCATCAAGATCTCTTTCTCAACCCATTCCGAGCAACATATTCCCATCACACTTCGCATTTGCGACGTCGTTCGGTTTCGCCACAACAAAAACGACGCCGGATGCACCCAACAACCCTGACGGAGAATGGGTTCTCCTACAAAAGAGTATTGGCGTCTCAGCCATGCACATGCAGCTTCTATACAATAACAAGGTCGTCATCTTCGACCGGACCGACTTCGGACCCTCCAATCTCTCTCTTCCCTCCGGCTAGTGTCGATACAACGACGAAGCCGTACCAGAGGATTGCACTTCTCATTCCCTGCTTTGCGACGTCGTTTCCAACACTTTCAGGCCTTTCATGGTTCAAACCGACGTATGGTGTTCCTGTTGAGCAGTCGACCCCAACGGAACCCTAGTCCAAACCGGTGGTTACCACAAAGGCGACAAGAAAATACGATTGTTCACACCATGCAATAACTATAACTGTGACTGGATTGAAATGCCACAAAACCTAACGGTGCAAAGATGGTACGCTTTGAACCATATCATCCTCGATGGACGTGTCATCACATCATCGTCGGAGGCCGGAGAGCTTTTAGCTACGAGTTCTTTCCCAAGAACTCAATGACAGGGACAAACATGGACGTTTATCAGCTTTCATTCTTGAGGGAAACGATAGACCCAAAAGAAGATAACAATCTTTATCCGTTCTTGCACATCTTGCCAGACGGTAACCTCTATATCTTCGCAAACCAACGTTCCATATCGCTTTGAATAATCGTGTCGTTAGAGAGTTTCCGGTGATTCAGGGGGAGAAGAGGAATTATCCAGCGACTGGTTAGTCGGTGTTGCTTCCGATCAAGTTGAACGCCGGAGATGGGTCTCAGTCACCGGAGGTGATGATATGTGGTGGTGCACATAGTGAGTCCTACATCAAGGCTGAGGAGGGTTTATACGTGGAAACTTCTAAGACATGTGGAAGGTTGAAACCCACGGATCCTGAACCTCAATGGTCCATGGAAGAAATGCCCATGGGCCGGGTCATGCTTGGCATGCTATCGTTACCCAATAGTGACATTGTCATCCTTAATGGTGCATCAAAAGGGGCAGCCGGGTGGGAACATGCTATTGACCCGGTACTGAACCCGGTTCTTTACAAGCCCAACGAACCTGTGCAGGTAAAAAGATTTGCAGTGCTCAACCCTACCACAATTCCTAGGATGTACCATTCAGCTGCCACTTTGTTGCCAGATGGCAGAATATTAGTGGGTGAAAGCAATCCACATGTGCAATACAATTTCACTGGAGTAAAAGACCCATCTGAGTTGAGTCTGGAAGCGTTTTTACCCCATTTCTTGGGCCCACAGTATTCCCATCTACGCCCCTCGACCTTATTAGTCGAAGGGTCCACAAGTGATTGTGTATCCAACGGTCAGAAATTCTCAATCACTTTTGCTTTGGGTTTGATCGGTGGAGATCGCGGCTTCACCGTAACAATGGTTGCGCCATCGTTTACAACCCACTCGGTTGCAATGATTCAGAGGCTGCTGGTGTTGGATATTGTTGAGGTACAATAGTTGTCCGCGCTGGGGTATAAGGTTTCAGTATGCGCCGCCAACAGTTTGGGTCAAGATGAAGGGACCACCAAAACATTTCTTTTTTGTTTTTTTTGGATTCTTTATTGTAGGAATTTATTGGTTTTTGACACTTTGTGAGGGTATTTGATTAGGGTTTGCATTGCTAATGCAGTGAGTAGATTTGATTTCTTTCAATTTTTTTTTTGTTTGTAGATTATTGTTAATTAATTTACAGAAGCAAATTAAAAATTGAGTGACAAAAAATAAAGAGATTGTATGTGAAGATATACCCTTTTCAAGTACCATTTGTGCAAAAAATTTCTTTTGATACAACGCCTCTTCTTTATAAGGTCTATAGAACAATTTCTTAATTATACATTTGATTTTACCATTCTGCCTATTTGATGAAAAAATTGTGCCACAAATCTTACGTTTTTGTCCACGAAGAATTGATCAAATTATAATAATGTCTCTTGATGCCAAAATATAAATTATAATAGTGTCTCTTGATGCCAAAATATGTTTGTTGATCACTTGAGGAGAACGCTTGAAAAACAAGTCGCATATTATAGGGATTTTGAAAGTCGATCCTTCGTACTTAACTTAAAAACAAGATGAGAAATTGAATACCAAGATGGAGCTTAGATTGCTTTACCAATTTGATCATTTGTCCTCTTTCTTATAAATAATCATGTTATTGTTGGAGGATGTTTATCTCCACACACCCCCCCCTCCCTTTCCCTCCCTCTTCCCTCCAACTCCACCCCTCATTCCTAGGCCACAAGTCCCACCCTTTTTCGATCTATTTAAATTTAAAATACTATTAGAATCGTGAGTAAAAAAAAGTTACCATTAGAGAAAGATGATGAGAGGTGGATAAAAAGTTGAAAGAGAAAATAAAGCGAGAAATTTGAAAAGAAAAATTATGAAATAAAATGATAATAGATGGGATGCATGAGCAAAAAATAATAAGACAAACAATATATGGCTTTAAATGGAGATGCGGGGTATTGATCCCCGTACCTCTCGCATTTAAGCAACGCTCTACCATCTGAGCTACATCCCCGACATCGCATATGCATTTTACGCATGTGATTTATTTTATGCTCCATCATGATAATTAGCAGCCAACCAATAACAAAGGCATTCAGTCATCCAACCTATGCATAAAGTCTGAATTTCTAGTCAAGTCACTCCACTCGTACATTTTGGTTATGGTTTAGACATTAGTTCTGCTCTCTCTAAATTCGCTATTCTTTTCCATTACCTCTACAACATCTATGGCATTGCCTTCCATAGCATACTAAGGCCATTTGAAAGTCATCAAGAACAGAGTACATGAAACCATGGTGGCTTTGATGAAATAGTCCCTTTTTTGGGGACTTTGAAGATGAAAATATAGTCAAGATATACAAACAATAAAAAGTTTGTGAGAACATAAGCATGTGGACTTGCATATCTAATGAAGGAGAACTAATTATTACAAAAGAGACGCCGGTGAAGAGGAGTAAATTTGATCATCCAAACCTGTGCTACTACCTCCTCTTGCTGGAAGATAGTCAATGAACTTGGATACAAAAAATAATCGGAGGAAGTTGCTGGAAGGCAGTCATTGATGGCATGAAAGAATGAATCGTCATATTCCTTATATAAATGAATGTTGGGTTTGGAAATGCACACAATCTACCAATAACCCTTACAAGAACACTCCCCATCTTTAAAATGGTGAAATCTATTCCTATCCCGCACTATAATCTCTCTATTATAAATTTTAGAGATCATTATTGTCACAACATGACAATCCCAACAAACCCGGAGGTTCTTCACAATTCTGATTGGCACAGACTCCTGCAAACTGAACAAACCAAAAGCAATTGCAATTTTCTCACTATGCAAACCTAAAGCATCCTCTTTCTCCTCTTCTTCTATGTCAAAAAGAACTGGATTAGTGTTAGTCACATAACCTGATAATTTCAGCCTTTTAGACATCTCTTCCATCTTTACTTCAATTTCAGCAAATTTTGGGTGAGATCTGTCCCCAACACAAAATTCATGGACTTCACCATTGACCTCTATGACACTACAACCAGGGACCTTTCTAACTCCTTTTACCTTCATTGTTTCCCTCACATTACTGACCCTATTCCAATTCTTAGAATCGGCATAGATATTTGACAAAAGCACATAAGCACCATGATTCTTGGCATCTAGCTCTACTAGCTTTCTTGATGCAAGTTCACCCAGTTCCATATTTTTATGAATTTTACAAGCATTAAGCAAAGCACCCCAAGCACCAGCATGAGGCTTAACGACCATGTTATTCATAAAGTCAAAGGCTTCATCTAAGCGGCCAGCTCGGCCATACAAGTCAACCATGCACCCATAATGCTCAAGCTGAGGCTCAATTCCATACACTTTTCTCATCGACTCAAAATGCATGCGACCTTCCTCCACTAGTCCAACCACACTACAACCTCTAAGCAGGGAAACAAATGTGACCTCATTAGGCTCAACCCCTTCTTGTTTCATAACAGAAAAGAGCTCCAGACACTTCTCTCCAAATCCATTCATAGCTAGGCCATTCATAGCAGCACTCCACGTGTAGACGTTCTTTTCTTTCATTTCCCAAAAGACTTCCATAGCCTTGTTCATGTCCCCACATTTCGCATACATGTCCACAAGAGCAGTACCTAGTGTCACTGTAATTCGGATTCTATTTTTCTCGATATATGCATGTGCCCACCTTCCTTGATCCAATGCACCTAAATGAGTGCAGGCAGACAATGCTGAAACCATCGACACTTCATTAACTCTCACGCCCTCCAATTGCATTAAATGAAACAAATTTAATGCCTTCAAAGATTGCCCACATTGTGTATAGCCTGCTATCATCGCATTCCAAGCAATAAGATCCCTGTGAGGCATTCTATCAAACAAATACCTTGCAAAAACAACATCACCCGACTTTGCACAAGCTGCTATCATTGCAGTCTGTGTCACCATATCTGGCTCAGAAATCTCTGCAAACACTCTCATCGAAGAACTTAAGAGACCAAATTCAGCATACATGAAAACTAACCCACTTTGGACATGTGGATCATGCTCAAACCCATGTTTTATCACAGTGGCATGAACTGTCAAACCTGTTTCACAAGCCAATATCTGTGCACAAGTCCTAACTAAGAATGTGAATGTGTAATTATCAGGTGAAAGTTTAGTACTTGATTGCAGAATGTTGTTGTAAAAATGGAAGCTTTTTTGTGGATTTGTGCTTTTGGAGTGAGCTCTGATCATGGTATTCAGGGCAAACAGAGTTGGGTTATCACATTGGTCTAGGATTTTATTGGAATAATCGAGATTATTGGGGTGTTTGAGAGCAATGGATGCAACAAAATGGCCTTGATGGTGAGGGTTATTGAGCAGGCCGTTAATGAGCAGTTGAGTGTGGATTTGCTTGATCTCTCTGAGACATTTGCATGTCTCTACAAGAGAAATTGTTGGGTGTTTCGCTATATGTTGTAAAGAGCTCATGGCTAGTTCCACTTAAAGACGAAGAAGGTGGCATGTCTGAGAGATTTCATATTGGTCATTGTTAGGAGATAAAGGTTGGAAATTTGATGGGTTTTCCCATAATTATCTGAACCGGACCGGCACCGGAGCAACATGGTCATTTAACCGTTGGGTCCAACTGGACCGATTATATAATAAGAAAAATTAAACAAATTATAAAATATAATAAGTGTGTTTCTACTGTTTGTGTATTTGACTGTGTGTCTATTTGACTCTGTTTTGTGAAAAAAAAAAAAGACCGTGTGTATTTAGTGACTATGTATTCCTCTGTGTGTGCGTTCCAATCCACGTAAGACCCTCTGTGTGTGTAGACAGAGAGAGAGAGAGAGAGTTGGGAAATGGGAGACGACGACGACTTACCGTTACCGGAGCCGGAGGAGATCAAGCCGCTGTTCGTAACGAGGAAAGAAGACGGAGAACAAGCCTAAGGCAAAATTAATCGTCTGACCTAGGGCAAAGTTAATCCACAGACCTAGAAGACTTTGACTTTGAGAGAGAGAGGGTGGAGAAGACTAGAGAAGCTGCACAGTGGCGAAGACGATTGGATTTCGGATCTCGTTTAGGGCTAAATTGCCCAAAAAAATGGATTTTATTTTTCAGTTGAAAGTCGAACCGGAAGGTTGTTAAAATCGTCCGGTTTTATGTAAACCGGATGGTTCAACGATTTATAATCGATTCATTTGCTTGGGCGATTTAATTAATAAACCAGACTGATCTAAGATCCGGTTCACTGTCCAACCGGCATATCCACAATGGGGCCTAATTGGGCTCCACCGGTCCAACCACAAGGACATCGGCATCAAGTATTATATGGTGTACCCTTGACAATTAACTCATATGATTTTAGGCGCTAAAAAAAACCTATTTTTTGAAAGGAGAAATGACTCGAACTCCTGACTTCAACGAATCAAAATCTTCAACAAATCAAAATTTTCGCAAGATAAGGAGTACTATTGACGTCCTAAAATAAACCTAAAAAAATTTAAACTCAATCAAAAAAAATTGAAGTAGTTTAGGCTCATAAAATCATTCCATAATATATTAAAATGGGAAATTTAGACTTAACATTAAAGATAAACTTATTTTCAAATAAATGTTTTTGACAAACTAAATTCATTATAAGTCTATTAAAAAAGACTCGATCTCAATTTTTACTATTAAAAACTCATCAAAACAATTTTGGAGGGAAAAAAAACAAAGATAAGGGTTAAAAAATAATTTCAACTAGTCAACTAAAACACAACTCATTTTTAGCCATTCATTTTCTCTTTCTGAAATATTCATTACAACGATAATACCACGTCACAAAGTAATGTGGTGTCAGTAATCAATAATATTAAAATAAATAAATAGATGAATCTCACAAAAATTAATAACTAATCTGTCTCACCACCCTTTTGTCATGTAAGCATAAATGAGGTTAATTTTACCCATTAAAGATTTTATTATGGGTCGGATCGTTTACCACCCTAGTCGTTATCCATGAAATTTCAATTACCTGGCTAAGTTTGGATTCGCCTGCATGTTTGAAACAGCAGAGAAATCAGTCTGCCTGAGATTGCCTCAGCTTCAGCTGCTGCCTCTGAAAAGGAACAAAATAGAGAGAGACTGGGAAGAAAAAGCCAAGATAGCTCCTCTGCCTATGGGTTGGACTTGCTCACATCGATTTAGTGATTTCATTTAGTATTTCATAATTATTTAATGATAGCATGTATTGTCGATAACCATTGTTGCATCGTATCGCCTCATTTTCAGCTGCACATGGGAAGGAAAAAATAGCGAGCATGGGAAGAAAAAACCAAGGAGGAAAAGATAGGGACTTGACTATGGTACACATAAAAAAAATTCGGTACCCTACTTATAAATTTATTATTTTAATATATATTTTTATAATTTTTGTGGGTTATTTTGTAACTAAAAAATTTATTATTTTTGTAGGTGTTTTTATTAAGTTGTGGTAATTATTTTTATCCCTTTTTTTTGGTATAAAAAAAATATTATTTTTATGGGTATTTTTACTATTATTGTGGTAGTTATTTTTACAACTTTTTTCAATACTATAACAGTGATAATAATAATAATAATAATAATTATAAATATATATAATAAATAGAAATATGATATCAAATTTTTTTTTTTTATAACACAGACGAGTCCAAAAAATAGAGAGCATGGGAAGAAAAAGCCAAGATAGCTCCTCTGCCAAACAGAGTGGGACTCCACTCATTGCTGTCCTGGCTTATTTAATAATAATAATCCTTTCAGGACAATACACTTATACACAGAAGAAGCACGTGCCTCAATTTCAGTATCCCACGTGAATGAGCCAGATATAATCAGAATCAAACTATTAATGAATTTTTAAACTATTTTTTTTTTTTTGTGTCAATAACCTCTCAACAATGCAATTTAACTCAATACCGTCATTTTGTCTAAATTTACGGTTAATTTTAACCACAAGTTTAATTATACATCACGTATAGATTATGATATTTAAGATTCAACACGTGATGTGCATGTGAGATGGTCCGTTAAAATTAACGACATATTTAAATGAAAATATAACATTAAATCAAATTTTATAGTTAAAAAACTAAATTAACACAAAAAATTAGTTTAAGAAAACTTAATTACATGTTGGTAACATACTTTAGTAGTCATCTATATAATTTACTCTAGGTTTTTATTGTTTCCTATTGGTAACATCATGGAGCCACGATAAGAACGTGTTTATGATCATATTATACGTGGCTATTAATTGAAAAAGAGATTTTCGTAATTTGTATTTCGAAAGATTTAAAAAAAAATTATTTTATACCCCTCAAAACTTAAATTTTTTATATTACATTTTTAATGTGTCAAAATGTGACCCTTCTGTTAGGTTATATTATTTTTTCAGTTAAAAGACAACTCATTAACACTAACAAAAAAATGAATAAAAAATTAAGAGAAAGATCACATTACAACAATTTTTATATATTAATTTATTCTTTAAAGGTATAAAGTGATAATCTTCAAATCTTTTAGAGTATAGAGTGCAATTTGCCCATTAAAAAATAAATCTCCCAACCCAAGTGAAAAAATGTGACATGAAAATATTCCAAATGAACCAGCAACCAACAACCCCCAAGTCGACCATTGCCGACGGCACGGTGCTAAAATTCAGTCAGATGTGGACAATGGATGCCTCGCGAATATGGCCAATTTTACTACTTGTCTTGTCCTGCCATGTTTAAATTATATCGTCTTAAAATTTATTTAATTTATATTATATACATTATTGTATATAATTAATTTTATATTGTATTAATTTCAACCCAATTTCTGTGATCTTTTTATTTGATGAATTTAATAAATTTACTTATTTATTATTTAAAATTAAAATTAAACTTAACTCACTATTTTCGTATCAAATTAATATAGAATTCATTTTGTGTTTGGAATTATGGGTCTAACCTGGTGGCAGCAGCGTTTGAAAGAAGAGGCGGCTGTTGGCGGAAGCGGCAAGAGGTACCTAAGTATGCAAATGGAGCCAAAACAGTCGCGGCCATTCCGATGTAACCAAGGAAAGGGAGGTTTTATTTTTTGGGCCAGAGGGGTGGGTGAGTATGAGGTGAGTTACTCGCCCCCCTGGCCAAAATGGGGGGCCAAAATTCTAGAGCTCGCCATTGATAGTAACTGATCGAGCAAGTTGCCTTTGTTTTCTGCCTCCTTCACTATCTTTGTTGTCATATAAATTTTGTCTCTCATAGACAATTACCAATCTGCCCCTCAATTTATTTTTAATAATATATTTTTTGGGGCATTTTCCATCTAATATTAAAAAAAAGTATAGCAATATTGCCTATTAGAAGTAGAGGGAACTGGGTGGGAACAACAATATGGCATTACATAGATAATAATTGAGTGGCATTGTTTCTTTAACCCAATTCCAGAAATCTCTTAATATTGCAAAATAAAATTTTGTTCTATCCTTGAGATTTTTCAATAAAAAATATAATAATCGTCAACTAAACTAGTTGGGTATGTCCTTGTTTGTCAAATTGATAGATATTAGAATCAATCATGTTTAATTTTATTCAAGATAAATATTCTTTAAGTTCGAAGTTTTTTATGACAGTCTTTCGCTGTAAAAAATTTTAGACTTTGTCAATTTCAGAATCCTACTCTTTTCACTTTTCAACTAAAGCATTCAAAAGTCTATATTTCTAGACCTTCCTCACTACCATAATGAAAATATTATAAAGATATACATTAAAAAAGTAAGGTTAATAATTCAAGTTACGACAGTTTATTTAAACAAACTCTACTATCCAGTGTTCAAATCATGTGGTGGGACCATAACTTCGGTTTCAACATAGGTAGTTGGTACGGTGGAGTAAACTTATCAACATATCTATTTTATGAATTATCAATCTGGCAAATATTATTGAAAGTTTGTTGTTTGATAGGTTTTTATGTTTTTCATCGGATGGTCTGGTAAGGGTACTACAGTAAATTCACAACTTGGCCAGTCTTCCAGCTACAGAAGAAGAAATCCCTGTGTTTTGCTTTCAGCGAGCTTGTTATAAACCTCATCAAGGCTCTCCTCCACACAGGAATTCTTTTTTCAAGTCAGTCACCTGCCCTTGCATATTTCTCTCTCTCTCTCTCTCTCTCTGCTTGGTATTATGAGTGATGGGTTTGAGCCCTGTCTACTCCCATTCTTTTCACATTAATTTAATTCTCATCACAACCTTTTTTAGACACAAGCCTTAATTCAGACTGGACTCATTATCGTTGCTTATCATCCTTCTCCCCAAAATATGAACCTCTGAGTGATCAATTCAATATAGGGAAGAAGCTATGGGGGATGGGAGGGGATATGATGGTTCCAACATGACCCTTTTACTTCAAAATGAAAGACTTCCTTGTTCTTCTGACGTTCTTGATTCTCTCTTGATATCCAACTTTTCTCCTTCTTTCCATGGTAATTTTCATTTATACTTCCAGTTTAATTATCTATTAATCCTTTCTTCTTGTCGGTATTCTTGAATACTGATAGAATATAAATTTATTCAAGTTAATTTCCACAATTATCTTTTAGATTGATTGACCATATCTCTTGTATAGTTGGCTCTCCTAATTTGTAGTGATTGATATCTTGTAATTGTAATTATCCTAGCCTAGAATTACGTTAGTCATGATTGTATATTAGGAACACTGATTCAAGGCAATGGACAAGGGAAAAATAATTCCTTTTACTTTCAAATACTTGCTTGAAGATTCATATATATAGGGAATTTCATGCTGTAATCTTTTTTATATATTTTCATGCTCTCTCTCTCTCTCTCTCTCTCTCTCTCTCTCTTTTGTTGAATTGGTAATTCGTGAAGTTAAAGTGTCGATCTTGTTCATATGGAAGATTTGACGCCTCTGCATACCATTGTGCCCTGCTTTATTGAGTAATAGGGTAACATGTGCCATTAGACACGGTTCAACGCAAATGAGAAGAGAGGAAATTCAATGTGAATAGTTTTGAGGGGATGTTGGTGACTATTGGATTAGTCTATTTGAAACTGTCAGATGGACTTATTGAAGTCTCTTCTATTTTATATTATAGATGTGTGTGGGAATAGTTTAAAGCTGCATAATGTTCTGATTTTCTTAGCATATATTTGTTATATTGTTCCCTATATAGTTGTCTTGCTTTATTTGACTGGTATAAAGGTTGTTTGTGTACTATGTCTAAAAAGATTTTCTAGCTTTACTGGTTTCAATTTCACTAGCTATGTACAGAAAGCAACATTTATAATTAGAGAGCATCAAAGACATGATTCAATCCAGGTCTCTAACTGAAACTAATATGGTTACCCTATGCCTTCATGCACGGATAATTACTAGTATTTCGTATTGTGCTACTAGCCATATCATAAATTATTTAACGGCTTATCTTATGCCCAGATGACTCTGTTTCAGGTTCTACATCCATGTTTAATTTCCAAAATTCTCCAGCAGAAAATGTTACTAATAAGCCATTGTTCTCTCCTCTTGGTAAGGAGGAAAATGGAAATGAGGATTATGATGGATGCTTTCATCCACCCCAAAAAATAAGGCGACTTACTACCGATCAAGTTCAATTTCTAGAAAAGAGTTTTGAGGTGGATAACAAACTTGAACTAGAGAGGAAGGCGCAGCTTGCTAAGGAAATTGGCTTGCAGCCTCGGCAAGTTGCAATTTGGTTTCAAAACCGGCGAGCCCGATACAAAACCAAACAGCTTGAGAAGGACTATGATTCTTTGAAAGCAAGCTATGACAAACTCAAGGCTGACTATGATTGCCTCTTCAAAGAGAATGAAAGTTTAAGAAATGAGGTATTGACTTTTAGTCAGGAAACTCAGCATTGTTTAATTCAGTTGCGTCCCTTGGGGGACATCCAATACAATAAGAACGATACAGAGAAGATTAGCTCGACTCTTGCACAAGGATGAAATGCTGAAATCGAGATATGGGGGTGTATTAATTCAGTTGCTACTTAGCATTGATAGTTCCCACTTAATTGTTTGATCTTTCCTTTTCAATAGGTACAATTGCTCACAGACAAATTGCTTGTCAGAGAAAAAGGGCAAGCTAATTCAGAACCAAGTGATACAATCAATCCATTGGATGCAGAACCTCAGAAACTAATTTCCAATTCAAATTCTCAAAATGTATCCATTACACCAATGGTGGTCTGTAGACATGAACATGGTAGTTCTGCCAGAAGTGATGTTTTCGATTCCGATAGCCCTAATTACACTGATGGAAACCATTCTACCTTTTTAGAGCCTGCAAATTCTTCTAATGTTTTTGAACCTGAGCTGTCGGATTTTTCTCAAGATGAAGAAGATACGAGCATCCTGCCCCCATTATGCTTCCCAAAACTTGAAGCTCCACCAGAAAATTCTTGCATTTTGGGATTCCCAGTTGAAGATCAAGCTGTTTGGTTCTGGTCCTACTGAGTTATTATTGGCATTTAGGTTTTGGCACTGTAAAGTTGTTTTATTGTGACCTAGAGGTCACGGGTTTGAGTTGCATAAATAACCTCTCTGCTTGTAGGGGTAAGAATGCGTACATCTAACCCTTCTTAGATTTCACAATAACGAGAATCTCGTGTACTAAGTACGCCACTTTTGCACTGCTCTGTAATGCAGTGTTATGAGGTAGTCTCTTGTAATTAAAGTTAGAAGTCAATAAATACGTTTATTCACACCCTTACTGTTGGTGTTGGTAATTTTGGCAATTGAAAGTGGAATCAATAGACTGTGAAGTCCAATGTGAAAAAGCTTTTTTCTAGTGCAAAACTTTCAGTATAGAGAATGGTGGGCTTGTTTGGCCTATTAGGGAATGGTGAACCTCAAATCACTTACTGAGATTAATAAATAATAATTGATCAAGAGCATGCGAAAATTGTCATATTGTATGCAAAGACAAGTTGGCTGAAATGAGGGATTGTCAAAATATGTGTGCTGCTGAAAACTAACTTACAGTATCAGATAATAGGGACAAAATGGTAATAAATGTTAGACGTGACGAGAGCAGCATTATGTTATATTACGGTATCACCGAACTGTGTTGAACAATACGCAACGATTCAATGATGATGACTCACATGAGTTGACCAAGATGTTCGAAACACTTATTAGTCAACCACGGGTCGAGCGAGATTCACTGTTAACTTAGAATGTATAACGGTCTTGTAACAAAATGTGTCATTTCAAATTTCAAATTGTATCAACATCTACCCACACTAGAACAATGCCACCCCCCCCCCCCCCCCACACACACACACACAAGGACTATGGGGATAAAAGTTGATGAATATTAAAACTTCTAGAAGAAACAGCAACAGGAATTGTGAATTTTCTATAACAAAATGACAGCAGAATTTGAATCCCAACCAAGCAAGAGAAGAAAACTAGGGAGATACCCCTGTGAAAGTCAAATTATTCGAATGGTTAATTTCAACATGTTATTCAATGGGCAATGACTTTAAGATGCATATGTGTACCCTTTTGGACGTCTTTATGTAGAATCACCTGACAAATGAATATCTTGGTGATGCAATTTGATTATATATATATACAGCTTTGAAGGAACCAACAGAGTGTCTACAAGTTTGTCATGGTTGAATTTAAAAAAAAGGTGGGTTTGAAAAGACAATAAATTAGTAGTCACCTAATCTAGTAAAATAAATATTTTATTATTAGAATAAATAAAACATACGTGAAATTGATTAACTCATATATATCGATCAAAGACAATACTTCTGTTATTTAATACATTTTTTCATATTTTTTTAAAAAAATAATTATAGCGTTGTCTCTAATTCATTTTTCGTTAATTAGTGGCTCTAAACCCAGTAAAACATAAGCAAATGTTATGAATGATAAAAATATGCTAACTCAAGCGTTTATGCTTTTTCAAACACATCAATTTTTAACAAGATTAAAAAAAAAATTGCTTTATCTATGAAAATTAATGAATTATAGACGATTCTTGAGATTTGAAATTAGGGGTACAACTCGAGCGGATTTGACAATCAACCCTAACTCAACCCTAAATATATAATTTTCAACCTTTATCCTAACCCTAACCTTAACTCGGGTTGGAGAACTCAATCCGAGCATTGCCCGAGTTTAATTCGGGCGGGCTCGGGTTGAATTCGGGTTGATGATTTCAGACTATTTTACAGGTTTAATTCGAATAGAACCAAAAATAGGCTTGTTGTTCTAAACCTAATATATATATATATATATATATATATATATATATATATATATATATATTACATAATATTCACCTAAATTAACAACAAATAATTTTAACCAAGTTTTTAACAAGAGAGGCTGAAAGAATGAGAGAGGCAAAGAGAAGGAGAGAGACAGATAACGATAGAACAAAAATGAAAAATCAGTGCTAATGCTTTATATATATATATTTATTTATATATATATATATATATATATATATATATTTTTTTTTTTTTTAATTTGTCGGGTTCGAGTTGAACTCGGATTCACGAGACCTTAACCCCAGCGCAACTCAAATTAAATTCGGGTTAAAATTTTTTGATCCAAGCCTAATCCAAGTATTAAAAACCCTTACCCAACCCAAGTTACACCCTTATTTGAAATAGTGTCGTGTTTTTGTTTAATAAACGAGTGAGTTGAAATGTGCTATAAAAATATTATTGTTTTCATTTGCTCATATTTTATGAACGCTGACAAATTTTTGGTGTGAAATTTACACCTAATTTATTTCTTATTTTTTAATACTAATTGGTTATATTTTTTAATTATGTTTTTACCCCACTAAAGTAGAATCCTGACTCCGTCGTGGAACCTAGTATATAATGAAGGTTACTAGATTCTCCTTACAAAAATTAGGAGGGAGTTAATCATATATTGTTTCCCACACTAGGATTCAATACCAATCGCAATGACTCGACCAAATTGTACGAGAAAGTTTGTAATTTGGAATTTCTCTTGTGGCTTTGTTAAGCCTCACAGTAAATTAGAGAGAATTCATACACATAGCACAATGACTTTTTCTAACCAGTAGGACATGTACATAGACCAGACATGCAGGCACCTCGTTACACCCTTTCTTAGGGTCTCTTAGACTGTTGAATGACTCAACATTGGACTTTCACAAAAGGCCCGCACATCTCGTGTGGGACCTGCACAAGTTCGTGATCATGTCGTTTAGAATTTGCTGTAATTTAGACAAAGCTTTTACATATATGGCATAACAACCTTATACATATATAGACGATACTCCGCATTAATCTACTCACCTCAACAATTTTTTAATTTTTTTGAACTGTTAGAAGACTAGACTTTTGATTTCTACACCAAAATTGAGAATGTCATACCGAAACTCCTCGTAATTCAGAACTAAATTGAAGATGATGGATTTCAAAGGGATCAGGTGTTTATCAATGATCACGAGATCATTAAAGAAGCCCACTTAATTGATGGATTTCAAAGTGATCAGATGTTTATCATGTGTTCACATCAGGTGGTTCTGATTTAAATGCTCACAATGTCGAGCAGCTGTGGACCAGTAGAAGTCCGAGGCTATGGAGATGAGAAGAGTCAGCTGGAAGAGTCCTGCCTCCTGCCTCCTGCCTCCTGCCTACCACTCCAAAAGTTGATACATAGTCCCTACTACATGCCAATATTTTTGGAAAAAAAGTGCAGGCATGCCATTGGGGCCAGGGCATTTGGTTGGGTGCATTTGAGAAAGGGCTAACAATAAATACCTCATCCGCTCTGAAGGATTGCATTAATCTTGAATTCATGTCGTCAGAAACCTTGCCTTCCACTTTGCTTAGAACTGCATTTCCTCCTGACTCTGACACCAATCATCCTTCTCATTTTGCAATCTCTCTATTGGATTATTCCTCTTTCTTTGTGATGCCCAAGCATGGAAAAAGGCTGAATTCCGATCTCCTTCTCGGAGCCAATTAACTCGTGATCTTTGCCTCCAGTGAGTTTCCTCCGGATCTAGCAGTCCATCTAATTCAGCTATGAGTGCCTATTGTTGTTGCTTAACATTTAAGACAGTGAAATTGAGTTTTTTAGTGTTTGAATTTTATATTTCATCGTGTCTTCAAGTTATAACTAGTTATTTCAACAAACAAAATGTCATTGCAAACTACATAAGACTAAAAGTATCATTTACACCTTCGTTTGTTTTGGAAAAAATTATTTTTGAAATAAGAACCCTAGACTACCCACTACTTTTCTCCATTCCCTATAACCAAACCCCTTCTTGCTAGCGGGTGGATGCAAGGTGGAGGGTAGGCGTCTCCACTGCAATTTAGAAAGTTTATGGGTTTTGTTTGGAATTTTATGAATCTTACTTTTTAAAATTTGCTGAAAAATGTGTAAAAAAATTAAGCTTAGTTTTATATTCTATATAAGTTAAGTGGGATTTTTTCATAAACTAAAACTGAGGCTTAAATTTTTCACATATGACTCAACTTCGCTACTCTTTCCTCGGTCACTAGGGAGTTGTTTGGTAAAGAGGTATAGGAGGATTTGGCTAAATGGGTTTGGGAAAAATAGTCCAAAGGACCCCCAACCCCCAATATTTCAAGATAATGTGAAAAAAAATCGCATAATTGGGGGGTTAAAATGAAATATTTCAACACTAAGTTTTAATGTTTGTAGAATATCATTATATGAAAGGTCATAAAATCTAAAAACAAATCAATAACTATTTGCATGCAAATCACTAACACGAGTTGATGTCTAAAAAAACTATGTTAGAGAGTTGAAAGAATTGGTAAAGTGTTGGTTGTTTCATTACCATGATGCTTAAAAAAAATTTGATTTTTGTTCAAAAGTGTTACATAAGTTTAATGGAGTATGATAATTTGTCAAATCTATATCTATACTATACTACTCCTAAAAGTCTATTAACATGAAAAATTTTCATCCTGATTTAACCTTATTTAATGCTTTAAAGACAATGTCATCCTCATATTTTCACAACTTGAGAAAAAATAGGATCATTTCTTTGTATACTTAATGCAACTTTTAAAAGGTAATAGATAAAACTTGAATAGATAGACTTTTTACATTTTCTCTCAATGATCATTGTGTATAAAATTTTCACATTCTATCTATTTTTTCTATATTAATATAAAATGTTAACTAATCTTCAAAACTTTTCTTTTTCCTTTTATAGCCCATAAACAATACAATTAAGACATTTGTATCTTGGAAGGAAAATTAATAGAACTTGAATAGTGATACTACTGCCTTGCATGCACCGGATGTTACTTCACCCCTCTAACTCTCTCTCTCTCTCTCTCTCTCTCACACACACACACACACACACACACACAAATGGGAAAATCCCTCAAAGGTATACATTCACCTTTTAGAAATGGGTCTGCTTCTATTTTAATTAATTATAATTTCATTCGTGTATCATGATATTCTACAAACATGAAAATTCTTGTTTGATAACATGAATTATTGCTTTGATGGTGTTTGTCAAATGCCTATGTATGAATCAAGTTATTATGACATAATGATGCACAACATGCTTAAAAAAATGTGTTGAAAAAAAATGTTAATATGTGCTCATTGATGTATTGACATTGTGATGATTTATGAAATTTATATGCATATGATATGAATCTTCATAGAACATGTAGACATGTAATTTAAAATTGCTCATATGACATTCATTATATATGGGCATCATGTTGGA